TGCATGGGCGCCACCAGTTGTTTGCAACGTTGTATAGCTACACACACGCAATGAGATGTTTGCAACGTTGCAAGCTACACAGACACCGCCAGTTGTTTGCAACGTTGTATAGCTGCACAGACGCCACCAGTTGTTTTCAAAGTTGAAAAGTTGCACAGACGCCACCATTTGTTTTCAACGTTGTATAGCTACATACACGTCACCAGTTGTTTGCAACGTCGATTGCTACACAGACGCCACCATTTGTTTGCAATGATTCGTAGCAACACAGATACCTCGAGGTGCATATTCAAAACAGTAAGCATTATAAACATAACTCCAAGTGTTTGCAACGTTGTACATTAAGAAGAGAAACTTGGTGTTTGCGCTATAGTACGGTTACACACATGAAACCGGAGTTTTCCAACTTTGTATATTTATGGAGAACTCTCCGGTCTTCACTTAAATATGCATACTTGTAAAACACCCGAAGCTCGCACTAAAATCATGGTAACATTATACATAAATAGTTCATCGAAATATAAATAGATAGATACACAACAGTAAATATCCAAATTGTGACAGTACACAGTTTATGATTAAATACTTCATATTTTATATCAATTTGTTTTTTGTTTTTTTGCCGTATATTTCATTTAAGTCTTTCTACAATTAATATAATTGAAATGTCACTTTAGTTAACCATCATGCCAAAGGCCAAGACATTTCATTTAGCAAGCTGAAGGCTAATTAACATCAATACAATTAAGGCAATTACCATCGTGTCACGGTCACGTGACACCTGCTTTAAAAACGTATAAGATATCAAGACAATTTAAAAAAACCAACTATAATTAATCTGTTGAAATTAAAGCAATTACCACCGCGTGTAGGTCACGTGACGCTTCCTCTAAAAACTCATATCGGCCTGTCTAATCAAATCTCTTATGGTAATCATCTACTCTATTTCAACCATCCAAAATTATAGTTTAGAGACACACACAGTAAACTTTGAAATTAATGCGTCTACAAATTAATATACTGAACAACAAAAGTTCCTGTGACATTGAATAAGATTTAATGCAAAGTTATGTTTTTTACCAAATCTGAGACAAATTCGGTTTGTAACAGATAAAAGACTCCTGTAAGTGTTCAAATGGTTTAATTTTCCACACTGACTTCAGAAAATGCGTTATTTCATTAAAAAAAACATGAACATGCCAAAATGTCAATTTACAAATCAATACCGTGTGTGTCCACCTCTGGCTGCGATGCAAGCAACACATCTTTGTCTCATGGAATGGACCAGGTGTCGCACAAAGTCCTGCGGGATATCTGTCCATGTCTGCTGGAGCATGTTTCGAAGTTCCCGGAGTGTCTGTGGAACATGTGGTTGACGTCGAAGGCGCCGATCCATCTCATCCCACATGTGCTCGATTGGTGAGAGATCAGGAGAGCGAGCCGGCCAGAGGATGACATTCACGTTGTTTTGTTGAAGAGAATCCTGAGCAAGTCGAGCAATATGAGGCCGGGCGTTGTCATGTTGAAAGGTAATGCCTGAGCCATGACGACGCAAAAACGGTAGAACAACAGGGCCGATGATCTCGTCGCGGTAGCGCTGTCCATTGAGATTTCCCTCTACCACTATCAAACGGGTCCTCTGTCTTGCTGTAATCCCACCCCATACCATAACGCTCCCGCCCCCGAACCGATCTTCTTCCATGACACAATGATTGACGTAACGTTCACCCCGACGTCGGCACACTCGAATCCGTCCATCGCTGTGGCTGAGGTGAAAAAGAGACTCGTCAGTGAATAGAACTTGTCCCCACTGCATAGCCGTCCAGCGTAGACGCTGTCTGCACCACTGTAGACGTGCTTGACGGTGGTTTCCTGTCAAAATGGGACGTCTGGCGGGTCTTCTGGCGACAATCCCTGCACATCTGAGGCGGCGACGTACGGTTTGTGAAGATATTCGTCGAAGGCCAGGGGGGATTTTTGCAGTCACTGTTGCTGGCTGGAATCGATTTCGTAGGTGTGTTGTTCGAATCCGGTTGTCTTGTCGATTATTAGTTACGCGTGGCCTGCCACTCCGAGGATGGTATCTGACTGCATTCGTCTGTTGCCAACGTTGCCATAAACACCAAATGGTGTTAGGGTGGACGTTAAATTGTCTTGTAACATCACGTTGACTCTATCCTGCTTCAAGCATACCAATGGCTTGCAGACGCTCATTTTCGGACAGGCGTGGCATTTCGTAATGTTGAATAATTGCGTAATTTTGTTGTTTTTCTGAGTGATTGTTGTCAGCACGATGCTAAACTATGCATGTAGAATCCCGTTAACGCACATGTTTTTATACCCATTCTTGGTTAGTGAAATGCATGGGGCTTGCATAAAAGTAAACTTTTGCATGGAATGCATGCTTTTCTGTAGCATTCGCGTTTTTGTGGCTTGATTCCATACATGTACTACAACATTGAAAACCAAACTTTACTTGTTTGAAAAATAAACTTAAATATTGGTGTGACAGGAACGTTTGTTGTTGAGTATAAAAAAAATGATATTCAAACTTTATAAAAAAAAATAACATATCTTTGCAGTCAAACCTCGGACATTTCACATTCGGCAGTTACTCACTTAGGTTGTAAAAACATGTCGCGAGACATTATTGTGTCGATTTTGTTGATTTGTTGATTTTGTTGATTTTTCCACAGCTCATTTGAATCAACACCCGATTACTCTAATTTAGTCAATAGATGCCTGTTCGCATTACAGTCACCGACTGCGTGTCAATTCTAGATTGACACGCTGACCAATAATGGTAATCCCCTTTGCAAGTCGGCGGTCAATCTAAAATACTGCTTGTTCAACTAAACGCCAGCCTTTGGTTTTTCAATTACCTTATCCACTACAGATAGAGATTATTTAGGTAATTTATGGGAATATTGTATTAACCAGGAACAACACATGAAATACAAAGGAAGTAATGGTGACAATAACTTAAAATAATGCCTTCAAAACTTAACCAATCAGAGATTGCTATGCGTCCCTCCACCATATAAGTAGGTGCAGTTTGACAGCCGATAAGGCAGCTAAACTATCCCTCAAAATCCCAGAAATAAAACTTACCCATCTAAAAATCAGAAATTAAAAGCGTAAATAAGCAAAAAATCACCAAAAAATGGCATAACCTATATCTAAACTCAAATAACCAAATCAAAAAAGTGCTCAGCAAACCACTAACCAAACCAAAAATTCTCCATCAATCAAAAAAAATCGACAGAGTAATCACTAAACTCCAAACAGGACACACCAACCTAAATAACCACCTAAATTTTTTTTAAAAACACACTACAGGTAACTGCCCACACTGCAAACAACCAGAAACCCCAGAACACGCACTCGTCCACTGCACACACTACCTAACACATCGAACCGCATTACAAACCACCCTCAATCTAAACAAGGCTCTCACTCTAGAAGCAATACTAAACCCACAAAATAAACTAGAAAACTTCAAGGCCTTAGGCGTATTCTTAATCAAAACGGAACTAATAAAACGCATCTAAAAACACAGTAACCTACCAAATCAAAATCACATAAACAAACAAACATCAACCATACCCAGCTCCCTTAGTTCTCCTCCCCAACCCCATCGGCATCTGTTCCAAATCTTCGGAAACACATTAAATGGCCTGGCCGGGCCCGTGTGCGAAATACGCATCAGTCGGAAAGCGCACGTTAAATCTCCAAAGTAAGTAAGTAAGCCAAGTCATGGAATAAATCTTGGAACGCTAGCAACTCTGATGTCATCATTTATTCTCAATTCTTCTATTTAATTTTAAGGTAAGACATTGACATGCGTTGTTTCAATGGTTGTTTTCAAATTTGTTGAATGTGTCTCATGGTAATTGTCTTAGATGTCTTGAACATTGACACACGCGTTGGTTCATTGATAAGTTATTGTTTAATGTATTTTGAATCTCCTATAACGTTTTAGGAATGTTTTCAACACCAAAGTAATGCGCACTATTCCAATAGGTGTCATGTATATAGGTTGTAGTGTAAAGTAATTTCGATCACCAATATATGTAATCAATAAGTTGCTGATCAAGATCTTGATAACCGTTTAGATAAATAAGAAATTTAGTACAAGTATCAGTAACATCGTAAAGTAAAATATGCCATGTCATCAATTATGTAGCTTCATTGCTAGCAGTAATGCTGGACTTAGTTAATATTCAGTCAGCTTTGTTATTTATAGGAAATGATGAAATACCTGTAACTTGATGTTTATAGTCAAATGCAAAACACTCGTATGCGAGCTCTGCATAAAGTAGCTAATAACACTTGTATTAGAAGAACTACGGTAATGCGCGTAACTGCATTACCGCAATACTTCTAAAATTACGTCTATCATTTATGTTGCATTATTTCAAGCTGACATTGGCAAGGTGTACCATGTGTTTTTAATATCATCTATGAATGCAAAATTTTATCACTGACATGCTACTTTCCCCATCAAAATGTGTATGTACGGTTATTGTTGGATTATTTATTTATAACACACTGAACCTCACAATGAATACTCAAACATCTGTTTGACTGATCACTGACTCACGGAATTCTCGCTTCTATTTTAGAGTAAACGTTATAACTTGTTATCCAACAAGTATCAGGATAACATATGTAAGCAAACAGATCAGTTTGGAGGCGGACATTTCAGTCTTCACCACATCGTTATTGACACTGCTAGTCGAGATATCTTGTCACATGTAAATGTCCCTGATGTGTGTCAGAGGTATTGTGTTTAGGTTCACGAAGTGGAAACGTCTTCAGCAGTAACATGTGCGTCAATAATGAGACACATGTAATACACCTGTAAACTAAGTAAACAAAACTGCACAACAAGGGCAATGTTGTATTCGTGTACAATGTATTGGTTGCAAGTTGGACAATATTTTCTTTTTCGTAATGTATGAATAATACGTTCACTTTATTCATTGATACATTTTCAGGGGCCAGTTTGAGGTTTGGGTCATCGACCCCTTTGCACAGCGTCCGCTTTGGGCATTATTCATGGAATGTTTCCGTTGGCGGCACGAGTCTTCCTTGCGAGATGATACACTCTTGTGATAACCAACTTCTGTTTGGTCAGCTCTACCCGTCACGAACTACACCTGCAGCTGGTGTGACAGCTATGAGACGACGCATACCTGACCGAATTTAAGGGATTTGTTGGTTTGATTGTAGCAGAACTCAGCACGCAGCAGTACTCCATAAAAAAAACAGTGTTTAATTTTATGTAGGACGATCCACGCCATCGAGATCGATGTCACCAAGGCAACACCCGAGTGTCCCCTCTTGTGGAAAGATGGTTGCGCTGTTCTAGTTTATCCCCGAATTCCCACGGATTTATAAGGAGATGGCAGTTCACAAGAACATTGACCGAGGGTATGCGTGGGTGGTGTTGGTCACCAGCTGGCTACAAGTGGTCATCTCTGGCATCTTCTACTACACAACGGGTGTGGTCAACACCGCCCTCCTGGAGAATATGCAGGAGGGCGTGGTCAAGACATCGTGGGTGGGGTCTACCTTGTATGGGACGATGATGCTTACAGGTGAGTACTAAAGTATGGAAGAGAGGTATTAGTAAATAATAAGCTATTATGTTAATTTGAGGATATTACTGATTAAAATGACATCTTCAGGAAAAACTAGCTTGCTGGATTCCGGGCTTGTCGATATGCTCAACTCCTTTACCTTCATAGTAATTTTGTACTGTTCCACTCGAGAACACACTTTAGAAAATACGCGCTTCCTCTTGAAATGTTTTTACCGATCACTTTCATGACCAAGTCATGCCATTCAGGAACTACGCTCGTAGACGATTGGAGACGCGTGGCCCTCTCGAGGGTTACCATATTCATTGTGAAACAGGGGAACTCCTTCAATCAAGGACGACGACCCTCGTCTTATAGTCCAATGTTGTCATCACAGCAGCGCTCGCTTATTCCTGTTGTATAAGCATCGCATATCTCTGATATTTCTCAAAGCCTCACACACACTGCGCTTGTACAACGCAGACGTAACTCGCAATAACATATTTCCACAGTCTTTGAACACATGCATATTGCCAAAATTTATTTAAATTATCGGGATTGTATTGATCGAGGTTCCCGTATCCTCACGTGCATTCTGATTGGCTTTCGCCGTTTCGACTCATGATGGCCACGGAGAGGGAAAAAGATGTGAGTGCTGACGAATGCTCCATTGTGAAAAGAATGAAAGTATATGCTTCAATATCATTGATTAATATATGCTGTTAAATGGGACTGAATCAAGGACATCTTTCGGACTTTTCACTTCGTTTGACTACTTTTCGTCTTCTTATTTATCCTCCTCAGTCCCAATAATAGAAATACCAAACATACATTTTTGCAAAATGAATAGCACACTAATACAGTAGTAAATCGTAATATATCAATATTTATTCAAACTTCGATTTTATTCACATTCTGCTCAACAGGCAGTCTCATTTATCACGAAAACACATGGCGTCATCCATTGAAACATGTGTCGTGACGTCATGTCAATCCAGTATGATGTCATGTTGGTTTCACATCTGTGAGAGTTCACGTAGGGACTACAAATATTGTCATTATTATACTATTTCTACTACTATTCTTTCAGCACCGGTGACCAGCTCTTATTGGGCTACAAGTGGTTAATAGTCGTTACTAGTCCCACCACCTCCACCCATTAAAATAATGCCTCCACACGTTCCTCGACACCCGCTGACAAGAAATGTATCTCGCTTCTCATGACCAGTTAACGTAGGGACTACAAATTTTATCATTGTTTATTAACAGAATACCACTACTTTTTCAGCACCGGTGACCAGCTCTTTAACGAATGTGTTGGGGTGCCGCATTTCGGCCGTTCTTGGAGGTCTTCTGACTCTGGTGGGCATGGTGGCTGCATTCTTCGCCAAGTCGATAGATGGGGTAATTGTGTCCTATGGATTTATTGCAGGTGAGGAGTCGCTTATGGTTGCATTTATATGTTGGATATGTGAATATAAAACGCAAGAGAATATCGAGTCCCGAGAAAAAGATACCATTGGGCGCCTTGTTATGATTGGATCACCTAAAGGTAATGGCAATATGGTACAGATTAACTACTATATTACAATAGTTTATTGTCATTATGTGCTTCAGAAATGTATACACAGAAAGAAAGAAATAATATGTAAACAAATCTTCCGCAAACTAAAAGATAAGTCAACACCTACACATGGCAAAATTACACAGTTGTCAGCTCGGTTGCCTGACGTGGTTCAGCTTGCCGAAAATAACTTGCGAAAATATCATCATTTAACATCATCGTCAACAATAAGATCGATCGTATTATTATGTACAGATTAAAATAAAAAATGCAGCAAAGAGTGTTTGGGTGATCCTGGCAAAGTCAGGCTCATCGTTAGCTCAGGGCCCTTGCTCCCTCTACACGTAGCCCGGACAGCGAATGGGACTTCTCCCAGGAAGCGCTGCCTAGTCAAACCCACCCAGAACTTTTCGGAGAATGTAAAGGCTCCCAACACTGAACTCTTCTGCATTACCCAGATTGTCAGAAGGGCTGTATTCCTGGTGGCAAACCCGGGTATTCTCCTAATGTCAGTCATCAGATTGGGAGGTACCAAGCCTAAGGCACCAAGAACAATGGAGAGTCGGACAACTTGGTACTTGGGATGCAAGCGTGTCATTTTGAAAGCGAGGTTTTGGCCTGGATACGTCTGAGGTTTAACGGGACTATTCCACAGAATTGTGTATGTATCATTTTCAATGACGCCCTCTACATATTCCGGGTCGTACCATGTATGGACCTCTCTGTCAATTATTCTTATTCTTCTTCTTCTTATTATTCCAGGTCTAGGAATCGGATTCCTTGAGACATCAGCGACTGTTATTACTGGTCACTATTTCAACAAATACCTCCCTCTTGCCTCGGGGCTACAGATGTCCGGAGGAGGGTCAGGGATGCTCATAGGTGCTCCGTTAGTGAGATGGCTGCTTGATACGTTCGGACTTAGTGGGACCTTTCTCATACTGGGCGCCATAGGAGCTAACACATGTGTGTGTGGTATGATGTTTAGACCATCACCACATGAGCAACAAGCAGGAACAAAGAAAAGAGAGACACCGGGAGACGTGAAACGAAATTTTGTGGATGAAGAAGTAGAAGAACAACCAGAAGTCAGAACCAGTTTTCTGCAACGTTTACGTTCGACAGTCAGTGAAATGAGGACAGTTTTGTCAAATGTTAGCTTTATGCTATATGTCCTTTCCTATACATTATGGGGATTTGGAGAATCTATTATATATGTACATCTACCTTATTTTGTGGAATCCAAAGGAACAAGCCAACAAAATTCCGCCATGTTGTACACAGCTATGGGAATTACTAGTATCATAGCTCGTGTGCTGGCAGGATTTGCTGGTAACGATCCAGCAATAGGAGTCTTCATGCTACATACAGGTATGCTGGGTGTAGCGGGAGTCCTGATTATGATGTGTCCCCTTCTTGCCAGTTCGTTCACACTGCAGCTCCTGTTCTGTAGTATCTATGGTATCTACAGTGGTGGGCCTATGGCGTTATTAAACCCAATTATTGTAGATCTGTTAGGCGTGAAACAACTGGCGACTGGATACGGAATGGTTAATTTCATTGCTGGCCTTGGATTACTTCTCGGACCTCCGTTCGCAGGTAAGTAACACATAAACATGCATCAACGTTGTACGATGATAGAATTATCCCATCCTGTCTTATTACATGTCTAAGTATTGTCACTTGTTACGATAAGCCGATGGTTGTCAAATGAAGACTACATCGTGACAAGTGCGTGAATGAGTGAGGGAGGTTGGTTGGTTTGTTGTTTAACGCCACACTCAGCAGTATTCCAGCTATATGACGGCGGTCTGTAAATAATCGAGTCTGGACCAGACCATCCAGTGATTAAGATCATGAGCATCGATCCACGCAATTGGGGAGCGGATTTACACGGCTGAGGACCCTGTTTCAGTTTCAAGGGGTGTTCAAGAGGTTACATGCAGAAGGACAATATCATAATGGCCAATAGGACAATGGCGAACACTGACAGGTTTCCACATTGGAACTAGTTTTCTTGCACCTGGCTATCACATGACAACACAACCTAGTGACAGTCGTGAGCCTTTTCTATCTGTTCAAATTGTTTCTGTTTGCGTTTGCCTTCAAATGATAGTTAATAGTTAACTTATCAGAAGCAGGTACCCGTCTTCATAAACGGTCGTCATGGCACTACACGCAGCGGATCTGACGTTACATATAGGACATGCACTATCCCGACACCGCTGCTGCCCCATATAATGTAGTAAGCTTGGTGGCCCCGGGCGCGGTAACGGAGACAGGCCTAAGGGAGTCAGGCCTAAGGAGAAAACAAGAAAAGAATAAGTTCATTTCGTTTTACAACTTCTAGCTCTCAGGAAACCCAGCAAGTCCAGCGACCACGTTGCTTTATTCGGGTTGGGGCGGTCGGGTAGCCTAGTGGATGAAGCGTTCGCTCGTCAAGCCGAAAACCCTGGTTCGATTCCCGACATGGGTACAATGTGTGAAGCCCATTTCTGGTGTCCCCCGCCGTGACAATGCTGGAATATTGCTAAGAGCGGCGTAAAACCATACTCACTCACACACTTTATTCGGGTAAAGTCTTATTAACGACCAAATTAGAGTTTGCCAACCTCTGCCCCGCTCTCTTAAAATAGTTGTTCCCTTCAAATACCATGGGAAAAACTTGGGATACGTATACGTTTCTATAATGAAGACGAATTCGTTTCATTGTGTTTTGGTTTGTTGTTCACAGGGTTCATCATGGACGTTTCGGGAAGCTACGATGTTAGCTTTGCATGTTCTGGTAAGAACTATGAATCTTGATGTTTTAAATTTGACTATCAAAGACACCATCAGAAAAGTATAATTTGTTATGTTGTAATAATTATATTTGAACATTATGTTAATGAGATGGTGATGTTAACATTATCGCTTCGCACTGAATGTTACATGAAATATAATAAGCATGTTTACTCTAATGTACTTGCAAACTTGGAGTTTTTTGAAATAATAGTGAGTTACCACATCCAGTGGATTATTCACAGAACTGAGGTAATGCTAATGTTAATGCACTTTACATATACACACTATTCGCAATGCAATGTGTGTGGTAATACATTTACAAACAGGAGCTTATATGTAAATGTTAGTAGGTAACCCAGATATATAACTGTTTCAGGAAGCGCACTTGTGATAGGAAGTCTACTCTCTCTGGGCATACCGATCTTTAAGCGACCAAGTGCATCAAGTGTCTCCCGTGACAGAGAAATGAACATGGCAGTTGCTGAAGAATACACAGTTGTTGCATGTGGAACAGAGGGGCAATAAATATTATACAGTCATTGTTCTGTTTTTCGTTATATTAGACCATATTTCATTTTACCACAACATATGCCTTTCTGCAACTGTATATTATCCACTTTTAACCTTGTGGGCTGTCTTACAGAGACAGGCTGATGGCTCCACAAACATGACATACAGCTCAGCTCAAAGTAATACAACAGCTTAGTTCTAACATAACAAACAGTTCAGTTCTGACAATACATAGAGTTCAGTTCTGACAATACATACAGCTCAGTTCTGACGATACATACAGTTCAGTTCTGACGATACACACAGTTCAGTTCTGACAATACATACAGCTCAATTCTGACGATACATACAGCTCAGTTCTGACGATACATACAGCTCAGTTCTGACAATACATACAGTTCAGTTCTGACAATACAAACAGCTCAGTTCTGGCAATACATACAGTTCAGTTCTGACAATACATTCAGTTCAGTTCTGACAATACATACAGCTCAGTTCTGACAATACATACAGTTCAATTCTGACAATACATACAGGTCAGTTCTGACAATACATACAGTTCAGTTCTGACAACACATACAGTTCAGTTCTGACAATACATACAGCTCAGTTCTGACAAAACATACGGTTCAATTCTGACAATACATACAGCCCAGTTCTGACAATACATACAGTTCAGTTCGAACAACACATACAGTTCAGAACTGATAATATAAACAGACAGTTCAGTTCTGACAATACATACAGTTCAGTTCTGACAACACATACAGTTCAGTTCTGACAATACATACAGTTCAGTTCTGACAACCCATACAGTTCAGTTCTGACAATACATACAGTTCAGTTCTGACAATACATACAGTTCAGTTCTGAGAATACATACAGCTCAGTTCTGACAATTCATACAGTTCAGTTCTGACAATACATACAGTTCAGTTCTGACAACACATACAGTTCAGTTCTGACAATACATACAGTTCAGTTCTGACAATACATACAGTTCAGTTCTGACAATACATACAGTTCAATTTTGAGAATACATACAGCTCAGTTCTGACAATATATACAGCTCAGTTCTGACAACACATACAGTTGAGTTCTGACAATACATACAGCTCAGTTCTGACAATATATACATTCAGCTCAGTTCTAGCAGTACATACAGCTCAGTTCTAACAGTACAACTGAGTTCAAATGATGAATTTATATTTCATACTGTCAACATTTTTGTAATGAAGTAGAGAATGATAATTATTTATTTGTAGTTCTAGACTGCATAGCTACTGACTGGCACACCTGTGTCTCATCCCCGTGGGGAGTGTAAACAAGAATGGGTCCTCAGCACTCCATTGCTGGTCGTAAAAGGCGACCAAATTGGGCAACCCGTTTGCCGTGGGTTGTGTCGGCGGAGGACGGGAGTCGAATGTTTGAGGGCACTGGTTCCAGGAGTAGCGTGCCTTTGCCCAATACACCACTTTGGCTCCGGGAGAGCGCATGGATTAGTGATCACACAGATTGGGCAATCTGGGTATTAATTGGTTTAGGAAATTAGACGATCTCGGTATACTCCTTTGCTTATGAGCAAGCCCTTTGGACATTTCGGCCCCAAAGATGAGTGACCCTCCTTTTTGCAGTTTGTACACCAAGTGTTGCAGTTTTGCACGAACTCAGGAGCATTTTGTGGACTTGGTGGCTGGTTAAATGATGGTTTTTTTTTATGTTGAACGGTGTGTGCATTGTGTCAGCCTGTGTGTTGGTGGTGCCCATTGATTTGATGGTTGTTATTGCAGCTTGACTATTGGTTTAAACATATTTATTTTTACAAAAATGTGAAAATGGGTTGGTAAACAAGCGAAGCGCTGATGTCAATACCGCTCCGTTACACATAAGACATGATACTATAAAAACACCAATGAAGGTTAAGATGTAACAAAAGAATTGTACATGCTAAGCTAGATGTGTATATAAAATAAATATATTTGCAGTTCATGGAGTGATCAATGAAGCCTACTTTGACACGAGTGGGTAGAACTCTTAACCCCAGCAGTGATAACTCACGGGATGCCCATTGTGTAACTTCTATTCTTTAAATGACAATTGTTATGGACTTGTTACAACTTCTGCTCGATAAACAGTGTGTGTGTATAAATGCTCAGGTTGGTATTCAAACATAAAAACATGAAATCTGCCTACCCAATCCTCCAGCTAAACAACCAAACAATCAAATTCCAAAAAGAAACCAAATTTTTAGGACTCATTTTCGATCAACACCTCACCTGGGAGGCTCACGTCCAAAACCTAAAAACTAGATGCAGCAAAGACCTTAACACACTAAGATGTCTCACCGGCTCTAACTGGGGAGCCTCCAAAGATACCCTCCTCTCACTCTATACAACACTAATTAGATCAAAACTAGACTACGGCTGCGCCATATACAATACCCTAAACAACTCTCTAACTAACAAACTTGACTCAATACAATACCAAGCCCTTAAACTAATTACACGCACCCAACATGGCACCTCCTACACCTCACTTCAGGGCCTTACAGGGGAAATGCCACTAAATCTACGCAGGGAACATCTAAGCCTTAATTTCTGGGCCGCGTCCCAAACAAACCCTCTCATCCAAAACTTAATTAACCAAAACACTAGCCCCAGAAACCAAGCTCTAGCTCGTAAACACCCCTTACTCACCCCAATCTCCCAAAGAATAACTAACTACCTCAATGAACACCAAACTCAAAATCTTAAACAAAACTGCAAAAAATCAACTATCTTCACCTCTAAACTCAAAATACCCAAAATAGACACAACGCTAGCTAACCAAATAAATAAACAAAGCGACCCAAACATAGCTAAAACCACCACACTTGCATACATACACGAAAATTGGCCAAATTGGTTTCACATATACACTTGCGGATCTTTAGACCCGATCTCCAACCACACAGGCTTCGGAGTCCATACCACACAACCAGTTATATCCACACAATCTTACCGACTCCCTAACAACCAATCTATATTCACGGCCGAACTTATGGTCATTGCCTCAGCCCTGCATAACCAACAATAAAAAAACAACAATAAAATCCTAATTCTAACCGACTCCCTTAGTGGACTACAGGCCCTCCAAAACAAAAATACCAAAAAAGGACCTAAATTAATAAACCAAATACTTAAAAGCTCCAACGACCTAACAAAAGCAGGCAAACAAATAACCTTCTTGTGGATCCCCGCCCACGTAGGAATTTACGGCAACGAAAGCGCCGATAAAGCAGCTAAATTATCTCTCAAAATACCAGAAATAAGCCTAAACCTACCCATCTCAAAATCAGAAATTAAAAGTGTAAACAAACAAAAGAATAACCAAAAAATGGCATAATCAATATCAAAACTCAAATAGCCAAATAAAAAAAGTGATTAGAAAACCACAAGCCAAACCTAAAATCCTACACCCCTCTAAATAAATTGACAGATTAATTACAAAACTCCAAACAGGACACACGAACCAAAATAACCACCTTAAAAAACTTAAAAGACACACCACAGGCAACTGCCCCCACTGGAAACAACCCGAAACCACAGAACACGCACTCATCCACTGCACCCACTACCAAACACACAGAACCACACTACAGACCACCCTCAATCTAAATAAGGTTCCTACTCTAGATGAAATAATAAACCCTCAAAATAAACTAGAAAACTTCAAGGCCCTAGGCGTATTCCTAATCAAAACAGATCTAATTAAGCGCATCTAAAAACTCGTTAATCTACCAATCCAAAATCCAATAAACATACAAACACCCACCTCACCCGGCTCCCTTAGTTCCCTCCTCCACCCACCTCGGCATTTATTCCAAATTTAAAAATTCCAAAAATTCAATGTAAGCAACCCCTAAAAGCACACACCACTTTCACCCTTTTCGGAATACACTAAACGGGCCGGCCAGGCCCGTGTGCGAAATACGCTACAGTCGGAAAGCGCACGTTAAATCTCCTATATCAGCCAGTCAGTCAGTTTCCGCTATCTAAAGCGTAAAGTGAGGCCGTCTTATTTTTGATAGTCATTTTGGAGACATAAATAAGAAAAAAGACCAATCGCATTTTTTTGCATTTAATTCGCTTTAATTTCAAGATTTACTGGTATGTTTTGGTAATTCAATAGAATTCCGACCACGGAGACGGTCCGAAAACTAGCATACAAGTGAATAAGATGTGTTGGCATGAATAGTGCATTTATTGCACTCATGATCTATACAGCTGTCATAGTGCGAAATTTTGCTTAAGAATACACATCAAAATATATAAAAAAATAATATTCAAAATTTATCAAATACACTAACATATCTTTGCAGTCAAATCTCGGACATCTCACATTTTGCATGAACTCACTTAGGTTGTTAAAACATGTCGCGATACATAAATTAGACAATAGATGCCGGTTCGCATCACAGTCACCGGCTGCGTGTTAATTCCAGATTGACACGCTGACCAATAACGGTAATCCCCTTTACAAGTCGGCGGTCAGTCTAAAATACTGCTGGTTCAACTAAACGCAAGCCTTTGTTTTTTTTAATAACCTTTGTCCACAATAGGTAACTTGTGGGAATATTGTATTAACCAGGAACAACACATGAAATAACAAAGGAAGTAATGGTGACAATGAATTGAAATAATGTCTTCAAAACTTAGCCAATCAGAGGTTGCTGTGCGTCCCTCCACTATATAAGTAGGAGCAGTTTGACATCCGAGTCACACTGCATCTGAATAAATCCTGGAATGCTAGCAACTCTGATGTCATCATTTATTTTCAATTCTTCTATCTATTAAGGTAAAACATTTTCATGCTTTGTTTCAATGGTTGTTTTCAAATATGATGAATGTGTTTCATGACTATTGTCTTAGATTTCTTGAACATTGTATATTTTTGACTACACGCGTTGGTTCATTGATAAGTTATTGTTTAATGTATTTTGAATCTCCTATAACGTTTTAGGAATGTACACCAAAGTAATGCTCACTATTCCAATAGGTGTCATGTATATAGGTTGTAGTGTAAAGTAATTTCGATCACCAATATATGTATATATATATTGCTGATCAACATCTTGATAACCGTTTAGATAAATAAGAAATCTAGTACAAGTATCAGCAATATCGTAAAGTAAAATATGTCATCAATATGTGTAGCTGGCAGTAATGCTTGTTCTTAAAAGGAAATACCTGTAACTTGATGTTTATATACTTAAATGCAAAACGCTCGTATGCGAGCTCTGCTTAAAGTAGTTAAGAACACCTGTATTAGAAGAACTAGGGTTATGCGCGAAACTGCATTACCGTAATACATCTACAAATACGTCTATCATTAATTTTGCATTATTTGAAGCTGATATTGGCATGGTGAATCATGTGTATGTCTTAGTTATTGTACCGTTATTCAATGTTCCATTCTATCTATTTGTGTAGAATATAATGTGTGATTATTTGATATGTTTATAAACTTGAAGCGAATTATATATTAGATATGATTATCTGATTAAATGAATTGAAACACATTTAACAATTAAACACACTGCATCTGAATAAATCTTGGAACGCTAGCAACTGTCATAATTTATTCTCAATTCTTTTTTTCTATTTTAATGAAAAATTACCTTGAGACAGCACGTTCTCACAGCTAAAAGAGAACTAATACCATATTTGACTACAAAGCAAAACATCAAAATTATCTTTGTGCCTACCTAAGTATATTTGATATATTAATTTTCGAATTGTTCCTGAATGATTATTATCAAATATTATGCTGAAAGATTATATAGCATTTATGAATACAAAATGCTATCACTGAAATGCTAATTTCCCCATCGAAATATGTATGTACGGTTATTGTTGGATTATTTATTTATAACACACTGAACCTGACAGAAAATACTGAAACATCTCTTTGACTGATCACTGACTCTCGGAATTCTCACTTCTATTTTAGAGTAAACATTACAGCTTGTTATCCAATTAGTATCAGGATAACATATGTTAGCAAACAGATCAGTTTGGAGGCGGACATTTCAGTCTTCCCCACATCTTTATTTACACTGCTAGTCGAGATATCTTGTCCACGTGTAAATGTCCCTGATGTGTGTCAAAGGTATTGTGTTTAGGTTCACGAAGTGGAAACGTCTTCAGCAGTAACATGTGCGTCAATAATGAGACACATGTAATACACCTGTAAACTAAGTAAACAAAACTGCACAACAAGGGCAATGTTGTATCCATGTAAAATGTATTGTTTGTAAGTTGGACAATATTTTCTTTTTCCTAATGTATGAAAATGTGTATTTTCAGGGCCAGTTTGAGATTTGGATCATCGACCCCTTTGCACAGCGTCCGCTTTGGGCATTTTTCATGGAAGGTGTCACGATTCTTCCTCGCGAGATGTTACACTCTGGTGATAACTAACTTTTGTTTGGTCAGCTCTACCCGTCACGAACTACACCTGCAGCTGGTGTGACAGCTATAAGAACAGTGTTTAATTTTATGAAGGACGATCCACGCCATGAGATACGATGTCACCAAGGCAACACCCGATCGAGTATGTCCCCTCTTGTGGAAAGATGGTTGCGCTGTTCTAGTTTATCCCCGAATTCCCACGGATTTATAAGGAGATGGCAGTTCACAAGAACATTGACCGAGGGTATGCGTGGGTGGTGTTGGTCACCAGCTGGCTACAAGTGGTCATCTCTGGCATCTTCTACTACACAACGGGTGTGGTCAACACTGCCCTCCTGGAGAATATGCAGGAGGGCGTGGTCAAGACATCGTGGGTGGGGTCTACCTTGTATGGGACGATGATGCTTACAGGTGAGTACTAAAATATGGAAGAGAGGTATTAGTAAATAATAAGCTATTATGTTAATTTGAATATATTATAGTAACATCTTCGAGAATAACTGGATTCCGGGCTTGTCGATACTTAACTCCTTAGCCTTCATAGGAATTCTGTCCTGTTCCACTTGAACATTTTTTACCGATCACTTTCATGACCAAGTCGTGCCATTCAAAGTGACATTTGAATGTTGCGCTTTGAACATAAACTCTACATCGAGGCTAGCGCATTATAAGTGCACATTCCGGAACTACGCTCGTACACGATTGGAGACATGTGCCCCTCTCGAGGGTTTCCATATTGACTGGAAAATGGGAACCTCTTCAATCAAGGACGACGACCCACGTCTTATAGTCCAATTTGGGCATCACTGCAGCGCTCGCTTATTCCTGTTGTATAAGCATTGTATATCTCTGATATTTCTCAAAGCCTCTTTTTTTTTACTTTTAAGCAACACACACTGCGCTTGTACACTTCAGCATCCTGAAGGTAATCTGAAATCAAATACATATGTTGTCGTAACAGTGCACATGTGTAGCAAGTTTGTAGTGTCAGTCCTCTCAGTAGAACGAAATGTTAACAGAAAAATATAAAAGGTTATTTGCCTAGGAATTTCAAACTAGCAATGAAACAACAACAAAATAAAGTGGAAATAAATGATTAATTGGTGATCTAAAACTAGTTATACAACAATGACAAATAAAAATGTCGAAGTAATTACCAATGGACAATCGCAGATTGACTTCATGGACAAAGTGAAAAGTCTATGTATAATCATTGACTCAAACCTTACCCTTGATGCCCAAGTTAACCAGCTTTGCAGATCATGCTACTTCCACTTAAGATGCATTGGTCAGACAAGGCACCACAACACCACAGAGGCGACTAAGAACCTGATTTAGTCTTTGGTGCTGTCTCCGCTAGACTAAGGAAACAGCTTGTTGTGGGGGGTTGCAAAGCAAACGCTAGACCGTCTCCAGTTGGTGAAGAACACAGCAGCCAGGATTGTGACAAGGACATCACGTACTTTACACATCACTCCTGTCCTCAAGCATCTAAACTGGCTTCCGGTTGAGTCAAGGATCATGTACAAAATATTGTCTTAGACTTACAGGTGTGTCAACAACCAGGCTCCAGCTTATCTCTCCACTTTGCTCCAGCTTCATAATCCACCAAGAACTCAATCAGCAAATCAACACCTGCTTTCTGTTCCTCAGTATAGACTTTCTAGCTATGGACTTCCAGTGTGTCTGCCCAAAAGTTATGGAATGATCCTCCACTTGAGATAAGACTTTCCTCAACATTTCAGGCAAAACTTAAGACACATTTGTTCCAAAAGCTTTCCAGAGTGACATTTGAATGTAGCGCTTTGAGCGCTTAGTCGTTACTAGTCCCACCACCTCCACCCATTAAAATAATGCCTCCACACGTTCCTCGACACCCGCTGACAAGAAATGTATCTCGCTTCTCATGACTAGTTCACGTAGGGACTACAAATTTTATCATTGTTTATTAACAGAATACCACTACTTTTTCAGCACCGGTGACCAGCTCTTTAACGAATGTGTTGGGGTGCCGAATTTCGGCCGTTCTTGGAGGTCTTCTGACTCTGGTAGGCATGGTGGCTGCTTTCTTCGCCAAGTCGATAGATGGGGTGATTGTGTCCTATGGATTTATTACAGGTGAGGAGTCGCTGTTATTGACTATATATATATTGGTTGCATTTATATGTTGGATATGTGAATATAAAACGCAAGAGAATATCGAGTCCCGATTATCCGACAAACAAGGATACCATTGGTGCAAAGGGGAAAATAGTGGTTAAAAATATTATGAATGGATCACTGAAAAGTAACGGCAATATGGTACAGATATGTATACACAGAAAGAAGAACATGTAAACAAATCTTCCGCAAACTAAAAGATATTTCGATTGTGTCGCCCCTACATGGCAAAATGACATATATTGGTCGTCAGCTCTGAAACTGTTTACGCATGAAACCAGAGTGTTGACATGATATACTTGACACTCTGATGTGCAGGTATGACTTCACTTTCTTGAAACGTGCACTTGTCTGACGTGGTTCAGCTTGACGTCAAATACTTGCAAACATATCAACATTTAAATGTCGTCAACAATAAGATCGATCGTATTATTATGTACAGATTAAAATAAAAATGCAGCAAAGAGGGCTTGGGTGATCCTCAGGCTGGTTAGACTCATCATCAGCTCAGGGCCCTTGTCCCCTCTACACGCAGCCTAGGAAACGGTGCCCAGTCAAACCCACCCAGAACTTTTCGGAGAATGTGAAGACTCCCCAACACTGCGGCCTTCTGCATTACCCAGATTGTCAGAAGGGTTGTATTCCTGGTAGCAAACCCGGGTACTTTCCCAATGTTAGTCAACAGATTGGGTGGTACCAAACCTAAGGCACCGAGAACAATGGGGAGTCGGACAACTTGGTACTTGGGATGCAAGCGTGACATTTCTAAAGTGAGGACCGCATATTTGCCATGTTATTCCTAAATCTTGTCACTCACAATATTGTCAACAGGGACAGAAAATTCAATAATATAAATGATTTACATTGGATTTATCGAAAAGGACAAGATCAGGTGTTTTTGCCTGGATACGTCTGAGGTTTAACGGGCCTATTCCAAAGAATTTTCTATTTATCATTTTCCATGACGCCCTCTACATATTCCGGGTCGTATCATGGATGGACCTCTGTGTCTATCATTATTATTGTTATGATTATTGTTGTTATTGTTGCAATTAATATTGGTGTAATTTTTCCAGGTCTAGGAATCGGGTTCCTTGAGACATCAGCGACTGTTATTACTGGTCACTATTTCCACAAATACCTCCCTCTTGCCTCGGGGCTACAGATGTCCGGAGGAGGCGCAGGGATGTTTATAGGTGCTCCGTTAGTGAGATGGTTGCTTGATACGTTCGGTCTCAGTGGGACCTTTCTCATACTGGGCGCCATAGGAGCTAACACATGTGTGTGTGGTTTGATGTTCAGACCCTCAGCACATGAGCAACAAGCAGGAACAAAGACAAGAGAGACACCGGGAGACTCGACCTGTAATCTTGTGGATGAAGAAGTAGAAGCACAACCAGAAGTCAGAACCAGTTGTCTGCAACGTTTACGTTCGACAGTCAGTGAAATGAGGACAGTTTTGTCTAATGTTAGCTTTATGCTATATGTCCTTTCCTACACTTTATGGGGATTTGGAGAATCTATTATATATGTACATCTACCTAATTTTGTGGAATCCAAAGGAACAAGCCAACAAAATTCCGCCATGTTGTACACAGCTATGGGGATTACTAGTATCATAGCTGGTGTGTTGGCAGGGTTTGCTGGTAACGATCCAGCAATAGGAGTCTTCATGCTACATACAGGTATGCTGGGTGTAGCGGGTGTCCTGATAATGATATGTCCCCTTCTTGCCAGTTCGTTCACACTGCAGCTCCTGTTCTGTAGTATCTATGGCATCTACAGTGGTGGGCCCATGGCCTTTTTAAACCCAATTGTTGTTGATCTGGTAGGCGTGAAACAACTGGCGACTGGATACGGAATGGTTAATTTCATTGGTGGCTTTGGATTACTTCTCGGACCTCCGTTTGCAGGTAAGTAACATACAAACTTGCATCAGCGTTGCATGATGATTGAATTTTCCTATGGAGTACAACACTGTCTCATTATATGTCCATGTATTGTCACTTATTACGATAAGACGATAGTTGTTAAATGAAGAATACATTATGACAAGTGCGTTAATGAGTGAGGGAGGTTGGTTGGTTTGTTATTTAACGCCACACTCAGCAATATTTCAGCTTTTTGACGGCGGTCTGTAAATAATCGAATCTGGACCAGTTACTCTCGTGATTAATATCATCATGAGCATCCATCCACGCAATTGAGGAGCGAATTAACAAGGTCGAGGACCCTGTTTCAGTTTCAAGGGGTGTTCGTTTTAAGGACAATATCATAATGGCCCATAGGACAATGGCGAACACTGACAGGTTTCAACATTGGAACTGGTTTTCTTGCACCTGGCTATCACATGACAACACAACCTAGTGACAGTCGTGAGCCTTTCTATCTGTTCAAATTGTTTGTTTGCTTTTGCCTTCAAATAATAGTTAATATAAGAATCAGTTACCCGTCTTATAACGGCCGTCATAGCACTCAACGTTACATATGTGACTTGCACTATTCCGACTCCTCTGCTGCCGCATATCATGTAGTAACATGGTGGCCCCGGGCAGGTTAACAGAGGCTTAAGGGAGTCGTTCAAGTTCACAACTTCTAGCTCTCAGGACACCTAGCACGTCCAGCGAACATTTTGCTTCGGATAAAGCCTAATTAATCATCAAATTATAGTTTGCAACTCTCTGCCCCACTCCCTTCAAATGGTTAGTCCCTTCAAATACCATTGAACTTGGGAACACCGTATACGTTCCTTTAATGAAGACGAATTCGTTTCATTGTGTTTTGGTTTGTTGTTCACAGGGTTCATCATGGACGTTTCGGGGAGCTACGATGTTAGCTTTGCTTGCTCTGGTAAGAACTATGAATTTTGATGTTTTAAATTTGACTATCAAAGACACCATCAGAAAACTCTTGCAATGTTGTAAAAATTATGTTTGAACATTATGTGAATGAGATGGTGATGTTATCATTATCACCTACACTGAATGTTACATGAACTATAATAAGCATGTCTACTTTAATGTAGTTGCAAACTTGGAGTTTCTTGAAATATTAGTGAGTTACCACATCCAGTGGATTATTCACGTAATCCACTTGTGATAGGAATCTACCCCCTTCACAGAACTGAGGTAATGATAATGATGTTAATGAACTTTACACTTATTCGCACTATTCGCAATGCAATGTGTGTGGTAATATATTTCCAAACAGGAGCTTATATGTAAATATTAGTAGGTAACCCAGATATATAACTGTTTCAGGAAGCGCACTTGTGATAGGAAGTCTACTGTCTCTGGGCATACCGATCTTTAAGCGACCAAGTGCATCGAGTGTCTCCCGTGACAGAGAAATGGACATGGCAGTTTCTGAAGAATACACACTTGTTGCATGTGGAACAGAGGGGCAATAAATGTTATACAGTCATTGTTCTGTTTTTTCGTTATATTAGTCCATCGGCCACTTTACCACAACATATGCCTTTCTGCAATTGTATATTATCCATTTTTAACTTGGTGGACTCTCTTACTGAGACAGGCTGATGGCTCTACAAACATGACATACAGCTAAGCTCAAAGTTCAAACAGCTTAGTTCTTACAAAACAAACAGTTCAATTCTGACAATACATTCAGTTCAGACCAAACAGTACATACAGTTCAGATCTAACAGTACATACAGTTCAGTTCTGACAGTACATACAGTTCAGTTCTGACAAAACATACAGTTCAGTTCTGAAAATACATACAGCTCAGTTCTGACAGTACATACAGCTCCGTTCTAACAGTACATACAGCTCAGTTCTGACATTACATACAGCTCAGTTCTAACAGTACATACAGCTCAGTGCTAACAGAACCCTTTTCAACTCATTTAGACATGTTTTACACTTATAAATACAAACACTACTTTGTATGCACATTGTGTGCGTGGCGGGTTCTTCCGATATAGCAGAACATGCTTGCTCTTTTCGCGAACACCTGGTGTCATCACTGATTTTCAGTGATTCATGCATAAAATTTCATAACTCTTTTGCTTTTCCATCCAGTGAAGCAGATAATCGACCCTGATCATTTTCTAACGTTGACTTTTGAATTTAGTTCATTTGTAGTTTAGTATGGAATAAATGCGTTACGACTGTTTGAACTGTGTTAGATAACTTAGAACTGATTTGTCTTTGTAATGTTTGAATAACTGAATTTCATGTAACCTTTCGAGTATTGAGTGAGTGAGTTTGGGTTTACGCCGCTTTTGGCTATATTCCAGCATTATCACGGCGGAGGACATCGGAAAATGGGCTTTAAACATTTGGGGAATCGAACCCGGGTCTTCGGCGTGACGAGCCGACGCTTTAACCACAAGGCTACCCCACCGCCCCTGATGTATTGAGAAACTGTATTTGTAAACTGTACACTAACGTACACATGCTTTTGTACCACTGACCAAGGGGCTATTTTGTACTATTTCTTCTAATTGTTGTAATATATATTTATGATATGCTACCTTTTGAAGTCGAGGAGACGTGCAAAATGCAAACAACTGAAGCGCACGTAAACGAACCTTCTGCCCTGCAAGCACGATTACCTTACAGAAGCGCACCTGCATGTATTAACCCACATGCAGGGATGTGCGTGTCAACAGGCCCACACCATTTGATGCTGAGCTAAAAAGATGTACGGTTTGTCTATTGGACGAAAGGCTAGTCTCATGACCGCGAAACTGGCGTCCATATATGTCGTAATGGAGCTATGAGGATCGGCAGGAACTCGGATGAGTTTATGTTGTCCGATGGCGTGCATTGTTGCTCATGCTTTCGGTCACCAGTTAGTATTTGATATAATTGGAATACTGCCGACTGTGGCGTTTAACAATATTCACTCGCTTACCCGGTATATAGTTTTAATCCTCTTTATCCTATTGATGTTGGTTGGTTGGTTTGTTGTTTAACGCCGCACTCAGCAATATTCCAGCTATATGACGGCGGTCTGTAAATAATCGAGTCTGGACCAGACAATCCAGTGATTAATATCATGAGCATCGATCCACGCAATTGGGATCGATGACATGCATCAACCAAGTCAGCAAGCCTGACCACCCGATCCCGTTAGTCGCCTTTTACGACAAGCATAGTCACCTTTTACGGCAAGGATGGGTTCCTGAAGACCTATTCTACCCCGGAATCTTCACGGGTCTCCTATGGATGTAGTTGAGTGAGTGAGTATGGTCGTAGGAGTTCTAAGGTGGGTAGTGGGTAAGGCGTTCGCTCGTTACACCACGTTTCCCCACAATGTGTTGAGCCAGTTTCCCTTCGTGATATTGCTGAAATGTAACAGTTTACTTTAAATGGCGCATTAACTCACGCACTCACTGGTATATTAGGAGACGACTACTTGATAATGGGGATATAAATAATGTGTCCTAAGAATTTACCAACAAAATGAGACAGGAACTGAAGAGGCCGTCTTTAGGGCGGCATTCGACATAAAAAAGATAAGACCAATGCGTGGCTTCTGTGATGGCTGAAAGGGGATCAGTGTGTACCGACGTCGCCATGAACGTTTTGCCACAATGCTAATGGGAGGTCGACATATTTGGTGGTGGTAGCGTACTGATGTGTCGGGTAATCTACAACACTGGTAGAACAATAATAAAAGTGACAGGGTCCTTTCCACAATCTAATATATAGAACGTCAACACCAGAGAATAATCGGTCTGGATTATCTGCCGAAATAGATTCCTTTGGCGTACAAGGCAAAAGAGTGTAAATTATCTAAATGGATCACATATGATCGCAAAAAGGGTAAGCATCTTGCTGTAACGATAGCAGAAAGAGTTCAGTGCCAGAGGCACAGTCCACTTTATGATTCCGACTTTATCGTAAGCATGCGTTTATGAGGCACTATGAAATAGTGATGATACCAGGTCTGCGTATCCTGCTTAATAGGCGGTACTCATCACAAACACATGGAATCGTCCATTGAACTTGTGTTATGGAAAGGATTTAGTCGCTTTTATTTTCATCCTTCTTTACAAGACAGATTCAAATTATGAGCGGAAATGACTATTTACAAACATTTTATCAAAACTCATACATTTAAGACATTGTCGAAAATTGCTATGTTTTATGTTGCTTAAATTTACTCTTCTCAAATATCCATCTTTGATTCGCATCCCTGTTGCATGGACCCATCACAAGGGTTGTATTCGCTCCAAGTGTAAGACATGTGTCTGTTGTTCCCAGCTGAAGGCTCTTCTCCTGAAAGGTATAATATGAATACGTTGTCCCACTTAATGAGCGTGGTTATAGGAACTGTTTTATTTCTGACGTGTTGGTGACGTGAAGAGCTTCTACATTTACACATGTCTTGCTATGTTTTGCCTAGCATGCGAGCAATTAGCACTTGCAATACTCACATGCATACTTTGACGCAGACCGAGCAGCTGCAAACGCTTAATGATTCCTATTTTTACATTGCCAACAACCTGTTTAACATATGTTGCAATGGCCAGAATAGGTACTGTTTGTTCCAGTTGACATGACGCCATCCCGTTTTCGGTGCAACAGCAATAATCCTAGACGGTAACACATTTGTGTTTAGACAGAGACGATTGGGGTGATATATTAAAAGTTTGTTGTTTCTGTGTTAGTTGTTCGATGCCGCACTCAGGCATGTTCCAAATGTATGACAGTGGTCTGTAAATAAACTATACTCTAAAGTACTCTATATCTACCGTCAGGTCGAGCTATTGTCATGGACAAATGGTTTACAAATTCGAAAAAAAACCAAGAACACACCTCGGTATAAGTCCAGTTGCCCGCCATGTTTCCCCAGCACTGGGCATAGGTTAGCTCCCCTTCCTTCACACACAAGCTGTGGGTATTTGAATGCCACATGATTCCCGAAGGTAGCAGCTGCCAGTACTGCAGAGAACACGAGGACGTTTGTATAACGACATAATGTTGGTTGGTTGGTTTGTTGCTTTTACGCCGCACTCAGCAATATTCCAGCTATATGACGGCGGTCTGTAAATAATCGAGTCTGGGCCAGACAATCCAGTGATTGACATCATGAGCATCGATCCACGCAATTGGGACAGATGACATGCATCAACCAAGTCAGCGAGCCTGACCACCCGATTCCGTAAGTCGCCTTTTACGACAAGCATAGTCACCTTTAACGGCAAGCATGGGTTCCTGAAGACCTATTCTACCCCGGATCTTCACGGGTCGACATATAATGTAAAGTCAGTATGTTGCCAAGTTGTAGAGATGTAGCGTAGAACATACACTAATCGTCACCTTTCCATAGACACAGTGTTTTCAAATAGAAAGTTATTTAATTTCCTCTTTACGACAGGTCGCGTATTGCTTAGGGCAAAAGAAGCCGCGAGTAGTGCCGCAACGTTCTTCAAAGTACACAGTCGCCTTTTCGGAACGTTGTGGCATGACGTCATATCACTGTGATGTCATCAATGGAATATGGCTGCACCTTATATGATCTTGTTTTATGTTTTCTACTACTTGAGCGTGCATTCCATATTTTATTACAATATTAAAAGAATATTAAATTGTTAGGGCGGTGAGTGATTTCCTGTGTGTCTCTGTGAATTTGGTGCCGAAGCCAATTGCAATATATTTGTTTTAGTTTAAATCTCAACTAGATTATTCTGCATACCGAACAGTCTTGATACCTTAACCAGTTTCGTCTTATGAACTGAGAGTAGTAGGTAGTTATTTGGCAATGTTATCTGGGAGGACGTTTATGTTCCCGAAATTGGTGTGTCTACATTTCGTTACCAATGATATAGGGAACGTAAAATCATGCGATGTATCAAATTTCCACGTGGCAATTAGGTGCACAGAAAACAACACTAAATGCTAGATATACCATTTTCACGAAAAGAAACGATCTTGATGACATCTCGTGATTTTACAGGATGAAAATGTTCCAGTGTGACCTTCCGTACGTGACCTTAGCGGGGTCATGGTCTGATCACAAGAAATAAGACGAAGCGAACCTTCACGTGCGAGGATGTACCCCCTACGTGTCTCTTCACCCAGCGAAAGCACTGGGGTGGGCAAGTGGTTGAAGTGTTTGCTCGTCACGCCAAAGGTCCGGGTTAGATTCCCCACATGGTACAATGTGTAACATCCGTTTCTGATGTTGCCCCGTGGTGGTGTTGCCACATATGAAACCACACTGACTCACTCATCCTGTCAGTAATAAATTCACAAACCTCTTTACCACCAGCACCGTGACAAGGGTAAAGACTCGATACATTGTTCCAGCGCCCAGACACCCGTTCTGATGTCGCTCTATTGCTGTGTTGCCACATATGAAACCACACTCCCTCACTCATCCTGTCAGTAATAAATTCACAAACCTGATTACCACCAGCACCGTGACAAGGGTAAAGATTCGGTACTTTGTTCCAGCATCCAGACACCCGTTCTGATGTCGCCCTATTGCTGTGTTGCCACATATCAAACCACACTCCCTCACTCACCCTTTAAGTAATTAATTCACAAACCTGATTACCACCAGCACCGTGACAAGGGTAAAGATTCGGTACATTGTTCCAGCATCCCGACACCCGTTCTGATGTCGCCCTATTGCTGTGTTGCCACATATCAAACCACACTCCCTCACTCACCCTTTAAGTAATTAATTCACAAACCTGATTACCACCAGCACCGTGACAAGGGTACAGACTCGGTGCATTGGTTCCAGCATCCAGACACAGAGTGGGACTTGACACGCTGCGAATCTGGGGAACGAGACTGTTAGTTTAATATATCTTTCGCTATTTTCTATCTTCAACAAAGTAACTGATTCATGTGTAAAAACCGGGATTTATTACATTGTCTTGCAATATTTTGAATGTGATAAATATTTGTAATTTCTTCTTATTTCCCGTTCATGGCACGGGCATCACACACAGTAGTGTGGAGGCGACGGTTCGGATAATATATTTTAATTGTCTTTGCTTTCATATTTAGAGGACACAATGTTATCAACTTTTCTTCATTATGTTCTTAGCTATTCCAGAAACATTTTGACAGTGTATGACATTACATGTACTGCATAAAATACTTAATGCCCAAGTTAAAACCAATAATATACAGGTGCGTTCCGTCTGAACTGTGCTCAAACTGATCTGGATTGAAATGTCATTGTTGGGTTAGGTCTTTCTTCTGCAGATAAATTTCATTTTATTTCCCTGCTCCCGGAGTTTTCATAAAAACAAAGAAGTGCTAGGATGCTCATATATATGACAGTCAAATCAGAGAGAAATACGTACAACAACATATTGAAGTTACTGTATTTTTCCAATGTGTATGACATTTTTTTCATTCTATACACAGAAGAAACTAAAGGTTAAAGAACAAGGTATATTTTCTCACCTCTCCCGCATTCAAGGCTGGGACAATAACACACTCAGGGAAAACGTTCTCAATGTACCAGCGGAAGTTATGACAATGAAGACTTTCCCGAAGTTTCTTCCTGTCGTTAACTTCACCGAAGTTAACGCCCTGCAAAACACGACCAGTTTCCTCCAGTTAAAGAACGTTTACATACTAAGTCAGTTACTAGTTATTCCAAACATACATTATCCTATCTACTTCCCAGTTTAACTTTGTTTCCAAAGGCCCCAGTCCTTGTTCAACCGCCAAAGCATTCACAAAGTTTTGTCGATTTGGTGCACTAAAGTCGATAACGCTTCACACTGAGATTCACAACCATGTTGACTATTGCATTAAATCTGAAGTAACACTCCGTATGTACTCTACTGCATATGATTTTATTATGTGTCATTCATTAAGGTGTTGTCAGTCAGTAAGATATTGTTAATCAGTAAGGTGAGGAGCGGTGAAATGGGGTTTAACGTCGCGTACACGTGTGTGTGTGTGCATGGCTGCTTGTACTACATCGGACTGATGTCGAATAACAGTGCAAGCCCACTGAGATACCATGCCACAGTTTAACATAAATAGATACAGTATACTTACTCCGAGTAAGGTATTGTCACTCAGTAAGGTATTGTCACTCAGTAAGGTGCTGTCACTCAGTAAGGTGTTGCTACTTAGTATGGTATTGTCACTCAGTAAAGTATTGTCACTCAGTAAGGTATTGTCACTTAGTAAGATGTTGCTACTCAGTAAGGTATTGTCACTCATTAAGGTATTGTCACTCAGTTAGGTGCTGTCACTCAGTAAGGTGTTGCTACTTAGTATAGTATTGTCACTCAGTAAAGTATTGTCACTCAGTAAGGTATTGTCACTTAGTAAGATGTTGCTACTCAGTAAGGTATTGTCACTCAGTAAGGTATTGTCACTCAGTAAGGTGTTGTCACTCGGTAAGGTGTTGTCACTCGGTAAGATATTGTCACTCAGTAAGGTATTGCTTCTCAGTAAGGTACTGTCACTCAGTAAGGTATTGTCACTCAGTAAGGTATTGCTTCTCAGTAAGGTACTGTCACTCAGTAAGGTATTGCTACTCAGTAAGGTATTGTCACTCAGTAAGGTATTGTCACTCAGTAAGGTATTGCTTCTCAGTAAGGTATTGTCACTCAGTAAGGTATTGTCACTCAGTAAGGTGTTGTCACTCGGTAAGATATTGTCACTCAGTAAGGTATTGCTACTCAGTAAGGTATTGTCACTCAGTAAGGTACTGTCACTCAGTAAGGTATTGTCACTCAGTAAGGTATTGCTTCTCAGTAAGGTATTGTCACTCAGTAAGGTGTTGCCACTCAGTAAGGTATTGTCACTCAGTAAGGTGTTGCTTCTCAGTAAGGTATTGCCACTCAGTAAGGTATTGCTACTCAGTTAGGTATTGTCACTCTCTAAGGTATTGCTACTCAGGAAGGTATTGCTACTCAGTAAGGTATTGCTACTCAGCAAGGTATTGTCACTGAGTAAGGTATTGCTACTCAGTAAGGTATTGTCACTAAGTATGGTATTGCTACTCAGTAAGGTATTGTCACGCAATAAGGCATTGTCACTCAGTAATGTATTGTCACTCAGTAAGGTATTGCTACTCAGTAAGGTGTTGTCACCCAGTAAGGTATTGCCACTCAGTAATTAAGGTACTCTCACACAGAAAGATTTGATTCTGACACAGAACAAAACAGAGAGGAGCTGCTAGTATTTGGCAATAATTGTATTATCGAAATGTTTCACCTGGAGCAGTGAAGTCTGCTCGTAGAACAAGTACTTGTACTCATCGAGCCACACTTCTGCAACTCTCATGGAGTTGGCCAATATGGGATCCCCGCCTCCCTTCCACTTCACAGGATTTGTATAGCGGAACACGTGACCCACATGAGAACAAGGCAGCAGCTCCAGTGAACCATTACACATCCACACCTGCAATAAGTAATACTGAGCTAGTATTCTTACACACCACGGCTGCAATAAGTGATAGTGTGACAGTGAAAGTCTTCATCAACACCACACCTGCAATAAGTGATAGTGTGACAGTGAAAGTCTTCTTACACACCAGTCAGTAACATTTAGCTACATGAAGGCGGCCTGTGCATAGTCAAGTCTGGCAAAGACCCATCTAACTATATCCACTTATTCAGGCCTCCTGTGGATACCTTTGAAGATATTTGCAATAAAGATAAGTCTTGTCAAATAATATTAAGTTCAGTTGTTGTTTTCCTTTACTCGCAATTAATATTAATTATGATTAAAATTAAATTATTTTTAAAGTGTGTTTTTCCACACTAATATCAAACTAGAGCTAACAATAGCTTACTTTGAAAGAGAGTTCCATGTTTTCTCCACCCCAGTACAAGAGTCCCGGGTCATACGTTCCCAGAGTTGTGAACCACTGTTTGTCTATAGCAAACAACCCACCAGGCATTGTAGGGGATCTGCAAACCAAGAATACACAGCCATACATAACACATGTATATTATGGACACAAATCATCATATATACATACATGACTACATAACAACATATTACGTTCAGAATCAGAATCTACCCAAACAAGCATGAACGTATACAATCAGAAGTGTAAACGGGTGTAATATGACACATAACAATTGATTATATGAGTTGCGTTAAACGCTACTTTGAACAATATTCCAGTTATATCCTAAAGTTGGATGCAAAGCCTTTACCACTTGAAGACCACGAGCACTGATACGGTGCAAACCTTCAGTATATCACCTGAAAAACAGGTGTAATAGCACAGGCATGAATTAGGTTCCAATCAGTAAACCTGCTTTCCTGACTAACGGGGACTCGTTTTACTCATTCATCTATATATTGTATACATAAACAAATACAGATTACGGGACAATCACCTTATTGGATCAGCAGGCGTTTTCAGTCTACCTTTTCGCTCCTTGCTAATGTTGCCCCAGTTGAAGAAAAGCATCTTCCAGTCAAAGACTCCAAACTGTCGAATGGTAGTTCCTATTCCTGTACCGAAATTTCCAGGGTGGATCATGTCTATTTTAGGGAAGGGAACGTTCCTAGGATCTTTCCGAATTCGGTCCAGCAGTGGTTCTAACCAACCTGAAAACAGGATGAAGGATGCTTTATTTAATTAGTACAAACGAAGGAGCTGATGTCCCCAAGTGAATCCGGGTTAAATGTGTCCCAGCTACCTATGTGTGTTAACGAGTCACGGATGATCAGTGTCGGGGACTTGGTTGCATTGATCACATGTCTTCGATCCCAAATGACCAGGTTCGCTGATCATAATACCATTTACGCGTTTGTGTGTTCCAGACCTCCGGCATGGCTGGAATATTGCTGAGAGCAGCGCTTAACAACCTAATTGGAGAAAATGTTAAAAATATAAATAAGAAATAGAAGTTCTTCAAATAGCACTTTGCACTCCTTGGTATGGCTGGAATATTGCTAAGAGCAGCGTGAAACAACTGACAAACAACCTTATTGGAGAAAATGTTAAAAATATCAATAAGAAATAGAAGTTCTTCAAATAGCACTTTGCACTCCTTGGTATGGCTGGGATTTGCTGAGAGCAACGTTTAACAACTGACAAACAACCTTATTGGAGAAAATGTTAAAAATATTAATAAGAAATAGAAGTTCTTCAAATAGCATGTTGCACTCCTTGATATGGCTGGAATATTGCTGAGAGCAGCGCTTAACAACCTAATTGGAGAAAATGTTAAAAATATTAATAAGAAATAGAAGTTCTTCATATAGCATGTTGCACTCCTTGATATGGCTGGAATATTGCTGAGAGCAGCGCTTAACAACCTAATTGGAGAAAATGTTAAAAATATTAATAAGAAATAGAAGTTCTTCAAATAGCATGTTGCACTCCTTGATATGGCTGGAATATTGCTGAGAGCAGCGCTTAACAACCTAATTGGAGAAAACGTTAAAAATATCAATAAGAAATAGAAGTTCTTCAAATAGCATGTTGCACTCCTTGATATGGCTGGAATATTGCTGAGAGCAGCGCTTAACAACCTAATTGGAGAAAATGTTAAAAATATTAATAAGAAATAGAAGTTCTTCAAATAGCATGTTGCACTCCTTGATATGGCTGGAATATTGCTGAGAGCAGCGCTTAACAACCTAATTGGAGAAAATGTTAAAAATATCAATAAGAAATAGAAGTTCTTCAAATAGCATGTTGCACTCCTTGGTATGGCTGGACTATTGCTGAGGGCACTGTTAAACAACTGACAAACAACCTTATTGGAGAAAATGTTGAAAATATTAATAAGAGATAGAAGTTCTTCAAATAGCATGTTGCACTCCTTGGTTAGAAATCAATGTATGTTTCTATATGTCAGCTTCCTTGGGTGCGTTAGTTCTAAAGAGAAGGCTTTGGAACCTGAACTCTTATATTACATTGTTCTTCTTACGACTGGTGGTTTTAGAGATAGTAGATGAATCTGTCACAACTGGTTGTCAATGTCATATTTGATCTGATTCTGTATACGAAATATGCCGTTACAATGCCAGAACATCGTGGCTATGAATCCTACATTCGTCCTCATTATGATCGGCGATTGATAAAATTGCCACACTGATTCAGGGTTTCACCAAAGTGATGGATGTCTAGGCCCTTCATCACGCTCTGTGATATAACTGAAATATTGTCAAAGGCGGAACTAGAGACCCACAACACCCAACAAACTATTTTCAATTACAAAAACAGACAGGCACACACACATGCACGCAAGCACGCGCGCAGGTCATGTTAAGTTCAATCATCGTGAAGGTGGAGATGTTAAAAGCCCCTTTCCTGTTACCATACCTGTCACATTACACATGACAGTTTACCAAATGTAAACCCAATCAAGATTCAGAAATATCAAAGTGGAAGGTATACCCGACCCCAAGGTCATAGCATGTTGAACAATGTACCTGGGAAACACTCGATGTGGGAGTCGAGGAACACCAGCACAGGTCCAGCAGCCACTTCATATCCAGTCAGCCTCGCTCTGATTAGACCCTGCTGCTTCCGGTGTCTGACAATCTTCACCTTGCCAAGTTTTGACATGTACTTTGTCAAAGGTGCCATGAGATGGTCTGAGGAAAATAGCCATGTAAGGAGTAGCATTTCATTGACCATGTTGGAACGTAGATGTGAATTTATGCCAGGGTTGAATTGCATCAAGCTATTTGTGTACAGTGGGACAACTTGAATTTTTAAGGACGAAGGAAATATATCATATCCAATTGCACGACTTGATGATATTGAACATTGTCTTGTTTCCTGTTTTACATATTTGTTTTAAGAATGGCTGTTTTCTAAACACTGCCTCCTCCCAGCCGTAACTATCAATAATGATAGCAAATCTCATCACCATGGACGCATCAAAGTTAATGTAGTTAATGTTGCATGTACACATTGAGAAAGAGGTGAGGTGAAATGGCGTTTAACGTCGCGTCCAAGATTATTGCACTTATATAGCGACGTGCATGTACGTGTGTGTGTTTGTGTGGCTGCTTGTACTAGTCCGGACCGATGCCGATTTATAGTGCTAGCTCACTGAGATACCATGCCGCAGTTTAACATGAATACCCCACTCAGACACAGTATACTGACTCCGAGCTGACCAGTCCTTGTTATAGCCCCTTAATGCCGAGCGCCAGACAGGGTAACAACAAGTACCATCTTTTAACGTCTTTTGGTATGACGCGGTCGGGGATCGAACCCCGGACCTTCCGCTCTCCGGGCAGACGCTCAACCACTAGACCACGGAGGCGGTCCATTGAGAAAGAGCATATGAGAAACGTTTCTACGTTACAATATTTTCGCTTTTCTTATTATATGAAACTGTCTCGAGTTTCGAAGGTTGTTTTACCTTGAGTAGATGCATCATCAACGAGAATTATCTCCCTTATGAGATGTGCAGGAGATCGGTCAAGGACACTGTGGACAGATCTGAGGAGTGTGGACCAAGCCTCGTTATGGAAACAGATGATGACACTAGCTGGAGGTAGATCGGCTGGATACACACGTGACTTGCATCTGGACAGAATAAAAAAACACCAAGGTAATAATTTAATATATGTGATAAAGGGATGGCTTTACTATCTGAAAGTCAGTGTTGTCATTAACCCTTGTGGTCGGCAATGGAAACAAATGGTACATGTTCAATCATTGCATAAAACGTTTAATTAAAAAGGGCATATAAATGAATGAGATTCAGAAGGGGATGGGGTGGGGATTTATTGACAAATCTAAATGGTCCATAAACATTCTTGAAAAAATAATAATGTTTCAGACTGTTGACTGGTCGTGAGGCGTGATATGACAACTTCTGGTTAAGTATAAATGGAATACATAAATGCTGGCTATATCTACTGGGGAAAGTCCCAGACGTTAAAATGTGCAATAAAGTGACATGTCTAATACACCTACTCGTCAAGTCTGCTATCTGGTAGGCGCCGATGTACAGATATCTGGTCGCTCACCAACTGGTTAAAGCTATTTCTCTTCTCGCCCTCTTGCCATTGCAGCACTTCATCTCTTGTGGGTTTGTATGTGTTACTATTACCCCATTCACCTAGTATGACAAATTAACTGAAATGTAAGCTTTTGGATATATTCATGATCATATTCGTTACAAGATCGTCACGCCGAACATGGGTACAATGTGTGAAGCTCATTTCTGGTGTCCCCCGCCGTCATATTGCTGGAATATTGCTAAGTGCGGCGTAAAATCAAACTCACTCACTCACTCACGTTAAAAGAAAGGCCGTACCAAAATGTCTTTTCTACCACTTACTGAGCCTTTACTGCAACCGGTAATTCAGGTAGGGAGAGAGCGATGTCTGTCCATGAATGGAGAAGAACTGACCTAGGACACTCCATTCCCGGTGAAGGTATAGCCCAGGCTATTTCTTCCCCGGTTGAGAACATGACTTGGTCAAGAACTCGCAAGGAGTACGTTATACCTGGTTCACCGGTATGTTTGTTTCACAGTGAGTAGTACTTCTGTGCGGAGTGTTTACCGACATGATAATGCATAGTAATTTCAATATACAAATTATAAACTATATACATGTACATGCATATACATGTAAATATGGACACTTGAATGAGATTACCCCTACAAATAAGTGAATGGACTGGAATTTACAGTATATGTCTGGTAGCCATATGTCATGAAATTATTCAAGCTGTATCACGGCGGTGGTCACCGAGATTGGCTTCATACGTTGTACCTATAGAGCGAATCAGTCCCATGTCTGCGCCATGACAAGCCATCTCACTTGGCTAAGCCCCAAGCGAGAGCTAAATAAGAGTTATGTCCCTTGTCTTACCTGGACCATTCTCAGGACTGTGCTCCACAAACGGTGGATAGGTTACATTTCTGTCCTCTCCTCCATATTCCTCAACATAATACTCCACACTCTGTGTGTTCTGTGTCTGTTGGCCAGGTTGCTCTAAGGCTTTTCCCGAGTGCACATCCTTCTTGCTGTCTCTTACTGCTGTGTGTACATCCTTTTGGCCGTCTCCTACTCCTACACCCTTCTGGTACCTATCACCGAGTGTTGAAATGTGTCCTTGCTTCTTGTGTTGTATCTCTGTGCCATTCATATATCTCCTCACAGGAACATGTTGTTCATTGTTTACACTCTTTCCAACTGAATCCATTCCCGAATGTGAATTTATGTTATTATCGCTAGCCCCCTCCCTTGGAGAATTCCCGTGTTTGAGTCCCGGTATCTCCCTCCCAGTGGCAAAAGTCAACTGTTTATCGGCCGTTTGTATGAGGGATCTGGTTGTGTACAGAAATAATAACAACACACATAACGCTAATACCTTAATGACCCGTATCTTGTACCGCTTCATATTATTTACACGATATGCAGTTATGTAGACCGTAAACGTCAATGTATCATACCAACCAAAGGATTGACAGAGTGTATGAATTTGAAGGTTGTGTGATCATCATGTGATTGACATGTACAACTTTACACGTCATCGTGGCTGAAGGATCTTTGATAGTAGTACATCTTACCTATGGTGATCACAGCCTGGTGATAAAATACTCACGGCGATAATTGATCCCTTGCACTATAACCAAATATATCCAAGCGGTTTTGCACAATACTCCATTCGCTTCAACATTGCCCCGCTTCACACGGAGTCAACCTGTACAACAAAGGAAGCATGGACATCGCGTGTGTGACGTTTTCGAACGTTTAAGGTGCTACCAAAGGTATGTCTGAATTTTTCCCATACTGCCTTAATCCCAAATGCCAAAAGCGGTAAAGTTATCATTCGTTGGTCAACAGAACGTACACGTGTGCACTTCTATGTATGAATGTACAACATCACTCCATTACACTCACAACTGCAGGGATATGTCGGCTGGTTTTATGATATCGCTCAATACTAGACGTCCATACTGCAGGTGTCGCCACACAAAACGATTTTTCGATTTTAGGCAAGGTCAGCTGACATGATGTATATTCTGCAAAGCAGAATTCATTGCAGGCTGTCCACATGGTACACACGCTGACAGTGTAATATGCGATAGCAATGTATAGAGAAATTATTGTGATTTCCTGTGGAGCAAGACGCATCTAAGACATATGTTGTAGACGATCATGTGTATACTGTATTCATGACAAACATCGTTTTGACAATTTCGTGAATGCAAACAATGTTCAGATGATTATATTTACGTGAAAATGCAGTGAATTAAATTGGAATTTACGTCGAGTACGTGCACATTGATCGAACCAGGGGATCGAAGGACCGACCTTCCGCTTTCCATGCAGACGCTCGATCATTTAAACCACGGAGGCGGACTTATACATAAAAATGGTATATATAACCAATCAATATGTACATATTGTACAAAGAGGAATTTCAATATAACTTGCAGAACCTTAAAATATCTGCAGACTCAGGACTGATGTTGAACCAATTGTTGTGTTATAATCACATTCCTAATTCCGCTGGGATCTGTTTGATTATCAAAATACCTTTCTACATTTAGCCATAACCTACACACATTGATCCATATATTGCACTCGTTGTTATTGGATCAACTTTCTGTGATATTAGGTTCTTGTTATAGGCATTTAGCAAGTTTTTAACTATTCTTGATTTATACTATAGCTACGTTTTGGGGATACTCTTTTAACGGTAAATTCAAGATACATATTGATAATCAGAGGTTCAGCAACGTCGGAAATTTTAAAGAGTTACAATTGTCACAGCCATCTCATTTCTATTCAACTGAAGAACAGTTGTCGATGAAACAAATTGTAAAATAAGCATATCGACATCAATAAGAAGATACACAGTATTGATAACAATTTATTCTCAGGTTGACATAATGACTATCAAGGTAATTTGAATCGTTGTTTTACAATAAATAGAGTAAATATGAAATTGGTTTAATAATCACTTATTACAGTTCATGTATTGATGATACTCTGTATTGATGCATGTCAACATGTTTCTTGCACCTGTCCTTGTACATAGTCCTCTAATTCCACGAATGGGAGTTAGAAGGAACAGTTCAACGAGGACGGTGAGTATGTTTTGAAGACAATTGTGTGACAATAAAACATTGATGTTTACTGTTAGTGTGTTTTGTGCTTTTCACAATAGTTCCCTCAATGTGGCTTGACATGGTAGACTTCACCTTTCCCAGTTTTGTAATGTATTTTATTACAGGCGCCATGAGGTGATCTAGTGAGTGAGTGAATGAATAGGGTTTTACGCCGCTTTTAGCAATATTGCAGCAATATCACGGCGGGGGACACCAGAAATGGGCCCCACACGTTGTACCAATGTCGGGAATCGAACCGGGGTCTTCGGCGTGACGAGCGAACGCTTTAACCACTAGGCTATCCGACCACCCCTGAGGTGATCTAAAGTGAAATACAAGGAAAGAACGTTGAGATCCGTACTGTACCTTGCATACTTGTGTGTGTGTTAGTGCCATTATCATCAGTGAATTTTAGCATTCAATCCACATTGACCCCAACAGGGGTAAGGACTGTTCACACGTGTGTCAACTCACTCGTCCATAAGGACACACCGTGTTATGAACTATAGAAAATATGTTTTAATGAAACAGGATCATATGCTAAAATGAACTATCAATGAGGGAATTTGGTAAAATTTCTTCCCGACTTGCACGTCAGAAACCTATCATCGTAGGTTACAATGCCGGTTCGCCACAGGACCTGGGTCAAGAGTATAAACCTCAGCTTGAAGTGACCTGTACCAAGTGTGCTTATTTCTATTGATATAACTGCCTTACCAAGGTAAGACATGGACACATGTGTGGAAGCATGCATCATCTACTCGACTGAGATGTTGGGGACACGGTCAATAAATCTGTGGAGTTTGGATCAAGCTCCTTTATGGAATCGAAGCAAAACGTCAACATAAATTATTTCCTTTCCCATTTTCTATGACGATGTGATGGACCCATTGACATGTTCTTCTTCAGTATACCTTGAGTAGATGAATGGTCAACCAGAACCACTTCTTTTATTGGATGTTTAGGGGAGCGTCCTGAAAATATATATCTTTGTTTTTTTAGATGCAACCTGGAGGGTCTTGTTAGCGTTTGTAGCACATGTCTGATCTTACAAGGAGTCTTCGAACAGAGCACGGATTTCTATTTCAGATGGCTTGTTGTCGATAACATGTGACATGGCAATTGAACAGTGCACGTGTTACATACTTCCAGAGAGTGTTCTTAGCGACGGCAGTGGATGCAGACTGGTGTTCACCACAACCCTGATGGATCGTGTTCACATTTGTTTCTGGTCATACAAAGAAAGCGCGAACTACTGAATACATGCGATCATCGTTATAGTACAGACACTACTTCGTTGATATGGTTATCGTGTTGAATCCATTTACAAAATGATATGAACAAAAATGTTATTTATTTATTTATTTATTTATTTATTTATTTATTTATTTATTTATTTATTTATTTATTTATTTATTTATTTATTTATTTATTTATTTATTTATTTATTTATTTATTTATTTATTTATTTATTTATCTTCCGACGATCAAATACGCTTGTCTTGTGTTCGAATCAAAGTTTCGCAACCATCATTATCTTTGATATTTATCATCTTGTCTAATTATACTGGAGACACCTCGTCCAATGTTGCCCACACAAGATGAGGTACAACTGGAAACAGGACATAAACACCCACTCACTGGACTATAGGAACACACGCTGGTTGGTGTCGCTTGTCATTCTCACGAACACCTGGTGTCATCACTATTTGATAGTGACACTTAAACACGTTCTCCTGAAAAAGTCGAAATCGTACAATGCACTGTGCTTTGGCAAGGGCTTTCTTTGATAAATGAAAGGGTTTGGTCCCTCATTCAGGGTCGAACATTGAAGAATGTATACGCTAGAACAGCTAACTAGATTGACCACACAAGATGAGGTACAACTGGAAACAGGACATAAACACCCACTCACTGGACTATAGGAACACAAGCTGGTTGGTGTCGCTTGTCATTCTCACGAACACATGGTGTCATCACTATATTTAAACACGTGCTTCTGATATAGTCGGAATCGTACAATGCACTGTGCTTTGGCAAGGGGTTTCTTTTGATTAATGAAAGGGTTTGGTCGCTAATTCAGGGTCGAACATTCAAGAATGAATATGTAGAACAGCTAACTAAGTTGAACTGTCGCACATCGACAGCCGATATACGATTACATTTCGGTAAATTTAACACTTCTTTTCTAACCGTAATACATTGTTATATGATGTCATATTTCATGTCTTTAGTGAATGCTGAATAAATGAAAAACACATGGTCGAAGTCTATGACGTCACTAAATTATTCCCATGTTTTATTACAACGCTAAATAACTGACTATATAGTGTTTTGATTAACACGTTCGTGATATGTATAATTATAACAATTACTAGTATACCGTGTCCCTCAGATGAAATTGAAAATGACTATTAAGTAATAATCTATGCTTTAATATTATATCAGGGTGAAGTTTAACATAAAATGTATCTAGTTTTGATATTTTATCTATAATAACAGCATAATGTTTAGCGCCCCAATTTCATCTTACAGATTACTGCATAAACTATTTGAGGAGATCCTAGAGAGAACATCAGCTCACTTAACAGGGACCAACAGCCTTCATTATTTATCCATAACAAACACGCTGAGACGTTCATATTGCATTCTTATTCAGAATTCGGATTATAAGTACAACGCATGTAAGAACATAGTTTGTGTATCTCTCGGGTATCTTGGCCAGGCAAATATTATTATAGAAGTTAGTAGGGAGTACTCTTTTTCAACGCATATGTGACCAACTACAATTTCGTGGTCACTGCTAATTAACTACAATGCTCACTTGGTAACATATATTAATGAGTCATGTGTAGCTATGGACATTTGTATGTAGTGGGCCCAGGTTATAGGTATTTAGTTCACAGAGGAGGATGAGTCCTTATAGTATTACAACGTATGGACATTGTATTATCACTGCATGTGGTTATGCTACTATGTCAATGCTATTGTTAAGAATATGTGCATGATGATAATGTTCTATGGACGCTAGCACAAATGGCAGTTAATGATCTGTATAAATGTGTTTTATTTAGTCTCCTTATTGGTATTTCCATGCGTTCATGGGATTAACCATACAAAATGGTGGATCCGGATAGTTACCTAACGCAATCGACACGGGTCTGGATTAATGAAACGATAATGGTCAATGGCATATCTGACAGTAAACTGTCAAGGCGATGACAGTCTGGATTAACGAAATGATGAACCTGAATAATGTACCCCAGTACAGCAGTGGGTGAGTGAGGAGTGCTAGGAGTAATGTGGAGGGAAGCCCCCAGTGATTGCCAATGAAGCACCAATCGCTGAACGCAATGAGTGACATGTGTCACGTCAATATGAACATGCCACGTGTCTTGCTATAAGCGTCCGGCTGAACTCGTGTCTCGTTTAACATTGTTATTGACACTGGCATTGTTTATGTTCATAAATACATAATAATAAATATATGAGAGAAAACATTAGAAAGTTTTAAATACTAGTATACAAGAGACATATCTGCTAAGATTTTTTTAAAACTGAGACTTTAGAGTGAAAACTAAATGTTGTAGTTGGTGTTCATTAGGCTCTACATAATAATACTTTTTGTTGACGATTTATTTCCAAATGTGTTCACTCAAAGAAGTGAAAATTAAATCGTCACCGACAGTAATATTTCAAAGTTTTCAATTCCTATCAACATGGGGTAAATCTATCCATCGTCCCCTCTCAACAGGTGGAGATTGTTCCTTCTAAACTTAGTCCAAGGCAACAGCGCGGATCTTCAATAGCGCTTTTCTTGCTAAAAGCGACAGGCGTGATACGTGTCTTAATGGCTTATATCCTGCTAAGCGCATGGGGAGACACGTGTCTCACAGAACTCGGAGCATCAATGGCGTATTTATTCCTGCAACACCTGGAGTAGTGTCCCAGAAAAAGATTTATTTCAATTAAAAATATGTTTCTACGAAATGGAAATCCTAAGATTCAAATGGATCCCAGAACAATTCTTTGAGGCATTCTAGGCTTGCCAAATCGTTCTTGACTTGAGTTGGGTTGTTATCTATTTCCTCTAAGATCTAAGAGACCTGATACACCTGGAGAGACAGATGGACAAATGGATCATCAAGAATCTCTGTAAACGTCCAGGATGAAACGAAACAGAACGCGAGTCCTGCTTATTAATAACATATATCAGTGAGACGGGGGCGCTGACTGGGCTTGGGTAGCGCACGTCGTAGACGGGTTCGACCAAGACGGTAACCCCAGCTCCGCGTATGCCTTCGTGTGTTTCAAAACTATTTCCGACCTCATCATTATTCGAATCCTCAAAGGGCTTTCTTGTACCAACGCCTTAAAATGTAAGTCACCGCTAAGAAATTGGCGAGTGCCGGAGTGTCCCAGGGGGTTTCACACCCATTTCTATCCTCGTCCATATACGAATGATCAAAGGGTTTGCTTCTACAAACGCTGTCAAAAGTAAGGCGCCGCTACTAAATTGTCGTGTACCTGAGTGTCCTAACTCAATCATTCACTCCAACAAACAAATTCCTCTGTCTGTCTAGCAGTGTTCTGGCTGCTGCGTTCTTTGTTTTGTGAATTTTACAATTGTTGCGGTGTAGTCAGACATGCAGTCTCTGCGAAGATTTCAGAGGGTGTCATACGACTCATGTGCAATATTGTTTTGATAAGGATGCAACATTCAAGGCCTCGCTAATTAAGTGCCAAAATTTTGAAGGCGACATTAAACACCATTATACCTAACCTGAAGGTATCAGTGTGGCTTTAAAGAAATCGTGTGGTATATATGAGGAATAAAATCATAATAAATATATGCTATAGGCAGAGTCCATTGTACGATTCCGAATATAACATTAGCATGTGTATGTGCAAATATGTGAGTGGCTGAAGCTACTGGAATGGCGAGACATGCTTATCCTTTTCCAGAACACCCGGTGTCATCTCTGATTTTTCAGTGGTCCATTTATATAATTTTCACCTCTGTTTTACCTTTTACGCCAAATGGAATCTGTTTCGTTGGATAATCGAGACTGATTATCTGTCACGTTCACGTTCAATATATATGAATCACTATCAATTAGTGATGATCAGGTGTTCGAGAAAAGGTGAGCGCATCTTACCCCATAGGTGGCACCCGTCAAAAACACATGCAAAGGCAAGTCAATTGTTCGCCCGAAATAAAGGGTACAAGTCAAGCTAATGAATGTCATCTCCACATTTGTTTTTTGTCATTTATACGACAAACTTGGGAGTGTCCTCGACATGTACATGTCTTTCAAAGCTTTACAAAGGCCTTGCACACTCATCAAACAACTTTTGAGTTAGAATCGTATGACACACCTTGAACTAAAATGTCGTACATGCATGCATATCATTACTGTATAAGGTCCCGAACGCGATGTCCGTATATTATGTGAATGGTCCATGAATAATTGTGATGTAAGATGATTGACATGATTGAAATTGTCTGATGCACTAGGTGTGCTCACATCATGCAATTCTACCTTTTCCAGCAGTGCCTTTGGGTCCCTGAACTTCAAGAACAGGAATCATTTCGATTCTGACATTAAAACCACCACCAGAGCGAATCGCAGTGTCATGGACCATTGGGCATACCGTGCTTCCTAGATCGCAGGCAACACTGCCTACGGGATAGCTGTGCAATTTGGTACTCCACGCAAATCTACCTCGAACGAGATAATGATCATGCATACAACGACATGATGCAACAACTGAAAGTCTGGCTCTTACCCATGCGGTATATGAGTAAACACTGGTATCAAGACCGTGTTACCGTCGCATGACCGCGGGACAGTTTGATTACATTTGTTCCACCCGCATATGCAGAAAGTGAGATATAGTGAGTGAGTGAGTGAGTTTGGTTTTACGCCGCTTTTAGCAATATTCCAACAATATCACGGCGGGGGACACCAGAAATGGGCTTCACACTTTGTACCTGTGTCGGGAATCGAACCCGGGTCTTCGGCGTGAAGAGCGAACGCTTTAACCACTAAGCTACCCGACCGTCCCAAGTGAGATATAGGTTTTTTGATAGAACGGCCAAAACAACGTGTATCACAACATGCAAAAAATAAAACACACATATGTTACAGAATAAATCGGACATATTAGTTAACATATCCAAAGTATGTTTCATTCTTACTTTTCAATTGAGTCTATTCGTAACAGAATCGCTCTTGGCTCTTACGACTTAAAAATCAACGACCCCTTATGTATACCGTTATTTGATACATAACGATATATACAAATATAGTTGATGTATGACCTTGTGAAGTTCAATATATAACAATCATGTCTCAAAATTATTCATTATAATTGCATTAAGACTTTATGTGTTTCACTGTTGCCTTTGTGCGGGAACACAACACATTAGTTTTATTGCTGACATGGAAAAAGTGCACGACTAATGCGTTGTGATCCGCACAAGGGCAACAGTGAAACAAATAAGGCGTTAATGTAATTACTTTGAATAACTCAGGCATGATTGTTATTGCAAAAATGGACCCGTGAAGATCCAGGGTAGAATAGGTATTCAGCATCCCCTGCTTGCCGTAAAAGGCGAGCTGACTTGGTTGATGAATGTCATCGATCCCAGTTGCGTTGATCGATGCGCATGTTGTCAATCACTGGATTGTGTGGTCCAGACTCGCTTATTTACAGACCGCCGTCATATAGCTGGAATATTGCTGAGTGAGGCGATAAACGACAAACAAACAAACACATTCAGTAGTACATACACAAAGCTTACTTGAAATACAGACTAAGACTGTAGAAGTTTAACTTTTGATTATGAAGTTAATGACCACGTAAAAGCTATGATGATGCTCATTAAAGGTTTATTTCACTGTCTACAAGAAACTTAGATGACAGGCTGTCCGTTTCATGTGCCATCTCAACCTGAAGCACAAAATAATTCATTATCCACATTTATAATTTAGCGACGAAGATGATGGTGAATATATGCTTTTGTTTGTTCATTTGTTATTTTACGCCGCACTCAGCAATATTCCAGCTATACGACGGCGGTCTGTAAATAATCGGGTCTGGACCAGACAATCCAGTGGTTGACATCATGAGCATCGATCCACGCAATTGCGACACTATGACATGCATCAACCAAGTCAACGAGCCTGACCACCCGATCCCGAAAGTCGCCTCTTTTTTACGACAAGCATAGTCGCCTTTTACGGCAAACATGGGTAGCGACGAAGATGATGGTGAATATATGCTTTTGTTTGTTCATTTGTTATTTAATGCCGCACTCAGCAATATTCCAGCTACATGACGACGATCTGTAAATAATCAAGTCTGGACCAGACAATCCAGTGATTGATATCATGCGCATCGATCCACGCAATTGGAACACGATCACGTCATCAACCAAGTCAGCGAGCCCCAACACCCTTTAGTCGCCTCTTACGACAAGCAAAGGTTGTTCAAGACCTATTCTAACCCGGATCTTCACGGGTCTAACTGTGCGTACCTCTACAAAGTTCAGCTGACATGTTGACGACGACGAATATGATGATGTGCTCTCATTCGATGTCGATCACGAGCTGAATAACACAAATATCATGTATCTATTGATTATTCTTCTTCACACGTATGAATATAGAATTATATGTATCATTCAAGCCGATTCCTATTCGTCCTCCTTGCAAGACGACTAGAATTGTTAGGTGATATGAAATGGGGTTCAACGTCGAAATCAAGATTATTGCATTTATAAAACCGAAGTGGATACATGGTTTTTTTTTCGGTTTCTACTTTTACAGCGATAGGCTACTGAGATACAATTCAGGAACTTAAAAATGAAATATACGGTCTGTGAGCGTATAGTGATACGAAGCTTCCAAGAATTTGAACCAGTGACTTTCCGTTCTCTGGGTAGACATCTTATATTAATCTCGGGAACGGACAGATAGTGATAGAGTACTGGGTGATTAAAGTAGGACTGTATATCAACAATTAACCTGTTTCCCAATTAGTAGTCATGTTCATGTGTCCTATATTAAATAGGAATACGCATATTAATATTAAAATGAAATGTTTACAGATATTTACTGGGTTTTTTTAGATGAGGAGGGCATCTTGTAACTGCTGGCTGACTCTTATGGAGGGAATTGTCCTTGGTTGCATTGTCAGATGGTGCCCGAAGTGTGTTGTCATCAAAAGTTGCTAAATAATTATCATAGCCATTTGTTGTTGCTTGAATTCCATTGTCAACTGGTTGTACAGTTATTTCAAAGCCATCTGGTTTTGCCTGAATTCCATTGTCAGCTGATGGTGCAGGAATTGCTTTGTCAAATGATGATGCATGAACTGTGTTGTCAGCTTGTGCTCCCTGAGTTGTATTGTCAGCTGCCACTGCCACAGTACCGGGTTCAGGCTTCACCGTTGCTTCTATAAATAAAACGAGAGCAACTCGTAAGGCGCAACAGTATGCTATTTACATGTGTGTGCCTACCCACACAGCATATGTATTTGCTGAACCAATCTCGGGAACGGACAGATAGCGATGGAGTATTGGCTGTTTAAAGTAGAACTGAATATCAGCAATTAATCACCCTGTTTCTAAATTAGTAGTCATTTTCGTGTATCCTTTATTAAGTAAGAATACGCATATTAATATGAAAATGAAATGGGTTTTTTTAGACGAGGAGGGCATCTAGTAACTGCTGCCTTACTCTTAAGGACGGAAATGTCCTTGGGCGTATTGTCAGATGGTAGTCCCCAAAGTGTATTGTCAGCTCCAGTTACACGAATGTCAAATGACGGTGCCTGATTTGCATTGTCAGCTGGTGGAGCCTGAATTTCAAAATCATCTGGTTTTGCCTGAATTCCATTGTCAACTTGCGCTCCCTGAGTTGCATTGTCAACTGATTCTACAACGGTACCGGGTGCAGGCTTCACCGTTGCTTCTATAAATAAACCCAGAGGAACATGTACGTCGCAGCAGTGCAAATGATTAATGATGTGTCATTATTCGATTAGATCATTATTTCATGGAACTTGGCGTATTATTAATGGGGTGGTGATAGAGTATAGGCTAATTAAAGTAGGACTGTATATCAGCAATTAATCACCCTGTTTCTAAATTAGTAGTCATTTTCATGTATCCTTTATTAAATAGTAATACGCATATTCATATGAAAATGAAATGTTTACAGATATTTACTGGAGTGTTTTTTAGACGAGGAGGGCATCTAGTAACTGCCGACTAACTCTTAAGGACGGGAATGTCCTTCGGTGTATTGTCAGCTGGTAGTCCCCAAAGTGTATTATCAGCTCCAGTTACACCAATGTCAAATGACGGTGCCTGATTTGCATTGTCAGCTGGTGGAGCGTGAATTTCAAAATCATCTGGCTTTGCCTGAATTCCATTGTCAACTTGCGCTCCCTGAGTTGCATTGTCAACTGATTCTACAACGGTACCGGGTGCAGGCTTCACCGTTGCTTCTATAAATAAACCCAGAGGAACATGTACGTCGCAACAGTGCAAATGATTAATGATGTGTCATTATTCGATTAGATTATTATTTCATGAAACTGGGCGTATTATTAATGGGGTAGTGATGGAGTATAGGCTAATTAAAGTAGGACTGTATATCAGCAATTAATCACCCTGTTTCTAAATTAGTAGTCATTTTCATGGATCCTTTATTAAATAGTAATACGCATATTAATATGAAAATGAAATATTTACAGATATACTGTTTTTTTTATAAATGAGTAGGGCATCTAGTAACTGCTGGCTTACTCTGAGGGAGGGAATTGTCCTTGGGTGCATTGTCAGCTGGTGGTGCCTGAATTGCATTGTAAGCTGGTGGAAAATTGATTTTAAAGGCATCTGGTTTTGCCTGAATTCCATTGTCAGCTGATGGTGCAGGAATTACAAAGCCATTTGGTTTTGCCTGAAATCCATTGTCAGCTGGTGGTGCAGGAGTTGATTTGTCAAGTGATGGTGCCTGAACTGTGCTGTCAGCTTGTGCTCCCTGAGTTGCATTGTCAGCTGGGAGTGCCAAAACTGTTTCGTAAGTTGGCGGTTTAGGATTTTTAAAGCCAACTGGTTTAGTCTGAATTCCCTTGTCAGCTGGTGGTGCAGGAATTGCCGGAATTCCAGAGTCAAATGATGATGCATGAACTGTGTTGTCAGCTTGTGCTCCCTGAGTTGCATTGTCAGCTGGGAGTGTCAAAACTGTTTCGTAAGTTGGTGGTTTAGGATTTTTAAAGCCAACTGGTTTAGCCTGAATTCCCTTGTCAGCTGGTGGTGCAGGAATTGCCGGAATTCCAGAGTCAAATGATGATGCATGAACTGTGTTGTCAGCTTGTGCTCCCTGAGGTGTATTGTCAGCTTGTGCTCCCTGAGGTGTATTGTCAGCTTGTGCTCCCTGAGGTGTATTGTCAGCTTGTGCTCCCTGAGGTGTATTGTCAACTGATACTGCCATGGTACCGGGTGCAGTCTTCACCGTTGCTTCTATAAATAAACCGAGAGGAACATGTAAATTGCAACAGATACCAAACCACACAGTGCAAATGGTTAATGATATATCATTAGATCATTGTTTCATGAAACTGGGCGTATTATTAATGGGGTAGCAAAACACACACAACAATGTGATATTTACATGTGTGTGCCTACCTATAGAACATTTGCTGAACCAATCTTGCTTTTATTCTTAACTTATTCAAATATTTGAGCAACTGCAGGAATTAGTCCCTTCCAGCTGAACTAGAAATAAAGGAGACCGCCTCATCTGTTTCATATTTAGATCTATGCATAAACACTTAGAGTGACAAAACTCTCTCCACAAGACTGTATGACTAGACGGATGACTTCGACTTTCCAATAGTCAACTTTCCCTTCATGTCGAGCAATATTCCAGCAGCTCCAGCCGTTGGTGTTTACATTTCGCAACTTTTGAGATACAATCGTGCATGCACCAAGATTTCAGAGAGCGTCATACGACTCTTGCTCAGAAGATGTTTGGTCAATGTTACAACATTCAAGGCCTCAGTAAAGTATTCAAAACGTTTTATGGTAGACACGTGGAGGGCATTTCCAATTTGGACGCATCAGTGACAAAAATGATGTCCGATGCAATTCCCTATTTTGACCAATTCCATATGTTCCCATGTTTTTCGGGTGAACAATTGACTTGCCTTTGCATGTGTTTGTGACGTGTGCCACCGATGGGGCAGGATACGCACACCTTATCGCGAACACCAGGTATCATTACTATTTGATATTGAGTCATAAACACATGCTCAGAATTGTACAATCGACTCTGCTTAATGCAGAGATTTCTATTGGATATGGAAAGTTGGTTGGTTCTTGTTTAACGCCGCACACAGCAATATTCCATCTACATGACGGCGGTCTGTAAATAATCGAGTCTGAAACAGACAATCCAGTGATTAATATCATGAGCATCGATCTACGCAATTGGGATCGATGACATGCATCAAACAAGTCAGCGAACCTGACCACCCTATTCCCTTAGTCGCTTCTTACGACAAGCATAGTCGCCTTTACGGCAAGCATGGGTTGCTGATGACTTATTCTAACCCGGATCTTCAATGATGTTATTGCTTTATTTACCAGTAGCTATTTTTAACTTCTTACAATAATCTGTTAATTCACTCAGATTTTCTTTTACGTTTTATATTTTCGTGGAATACTCTGCAATGATCATCTGTCTATCATCCCGGGTTAATGCAGATTCTCTATTCATGTTGACACCTACCATCAGATCCAGACGTTGACCTGGCACCACCGCCTCGAAGTACTGTGTAATAAGGACAATTGAAATTATTAATATCATAATTGTATGCGTGACATACAGTACGACCTTTTTATGTCCTTAAACTGCCGTTCGGAATCTGAAACAATCTCATGTTGATGAAATGGCAGCTTCATGAAATTGTACTGCATCATAAATGACAATATAGTTTTCTCAAAGGACAGTGACCCGATTCGTGTGTCTGTTTGACAATATGGTCAGTGATGAATGATATAATAATATCATATCCATGTGTGATAGATATTGTGTACGATGACAAGAACGACACGAAAAAGCACATTACTTGAGTAACACAGTAATACTGTTGGTATTAAGATAAATACACACATTACCAAACATTCCAAATCATTTGGCTACATGTATATGTATTTCTAGTTTGGGAACAGTCGTAGTAATGCACACATTTCCATCAGGGTCCAAACGCCTGCAGATGTATTGTCATGTATGCCAGGTGGCCATAACACAAATATTAATGACATTTACATGTGTGCGCATACCATTTGAAGCATTTTGATAGCTTATGCATAATTATTATCTCAAACCATTATCTCAAACTTTATAAATTATACATTTCCTCTACGCTTCAAGATAAAAACCTGAATGGGGAATTGTACAATTTCAAATGATTTAGTCAAATGTTTTGGCATATGCGAGATAACATTGGCATCTATATGTTTACTTGGAGAATTAATAATAAGTTATGATCCATTGATTTTCCTTTTATGATCATATACAAGCATCAAAGTAATATATCAACCAAACCAATAATACATTGGAAATATAAGGACTATAACTAATTTCATATCTGCAGGCTCTCGTTATCCCTGAAGATGATGTAAACTAAGTCACACCTCGCCTTAAGTTGAATAAGGGATGCTTAGTTTATTAGCGAGATATATTTAATTGCACTTGGGAAGACGATGCTTAAGCTTGTTTATCACACTGGAGCATACGACAAAGAAATATTATGATAGAAATGGAATGCATTAAATGCAGGTAAACATGAACCTTTCAACTGTTTAATTCTATGAAGAACACAGATATATTCTGAGATGACACAAAAGTGAACTGTTTCCTATAACACTCATGCAAAACTAAAACTTGGGCTCCCATTTTTAGAAGAAGAAGAAGTTTATTTATGAATGAAGGCCACATGGCCCAGAGTTCATTTACATGAATTATATATGCCATGCACATGCACATATTTTCTCACAACAAACGTTCATATTGTTTACATTTGTATTTACATAGGTAAATGTCTTTTTGAATATATGGACAGGTTTTTAATAACAGACTGAATCATTTCCGGTAGATAGAAGACTGATAAATTTTGGAACAGATGGTTGCACATGGTAATATTTTGGAATTAAATTTTCTCTACTACTTTTAATAAAAGGACAAATTAACAATGGTATTCATTTTTAGTTAACCATCATAAAAGTATGTTCAGTGAAAGATGCAATAAAGTTTGCCGGTTCATTTTGAGTGTGTGAGTATGGTGTTTCGCCGCTTTTAACCATATTCCCGCAGGGGGACACCAGAAATGGGCTTCACACATTGTACCCATTCGGGGAATGAAACCCGGGCCTTCTGCATGACGAGCGAACGCCTTAACGCCTAGGCTATCCCCACGACCATGTGGAAATGTAAGGGTGCTTTATTTCACTGTGTGACAAATGCTTTATGTACTTTATTTTCATCTTCCTTCAATGCGTGCATGGGACTATTTGTGGTGGAGGTGGAGAAGGTGCCCTAGAACCATATTATTCAGTTTCTCTCGGACTCTGTAATTCCAGTTTCAGTTTCTTAGCAGCGCCCACTGGCGCGGGGATACGTAACATGTCACTGGTCCATATTTGGAAGACACATAATAAGGTCCGGTGTCACTACACCACTGCCGGGGGGGGGGGGGGGGGGGGGCGTCAACCCATGTCGCCACCTGAAGCAACATTGGGCGCAAATTTTCTCAGGCCACGGATTCGCTCTGTTTTCCACAGTAGTTACAAATAAAAACTACCTGGTTTGCGTGATACTTACCCCATAGTCCGGGTAAGACCAAACCATAGTGTTGAAGAGAGTAGTTTTAGTGTTGTACTGTATTCAATTTAGGAGTTTGTATTTTGCAATCGGTAGACCAAGTGCTATGCTTTTGGTAGTCCAGGTCCTCAGTTAAAAGCGAACCCAAATTTGATTGTACCATTCTACATATGGTAGCAATGAAGACCATATACACGAAGACAATCCTGGGTTGTAGAGTAAAACCAGTCGTCACTACAAAGAACTAAACTGATATCCCTTGGTGCCTGAAACGACACTTGAGTGCAGATGTTTCTACCATTTTTGAATCGCGTAAAAAGCGTGAAGAAACGACAGTTATTTCGCTGATGATGTGTCAATTTTATTTAGTACGTGGAATTTAGAGTTTACACAAAGAACCACACAACAGTCACCTATATCGCGGAATGAAGTAGTTCCTCCAAAGGAGAGGTGACATCAGCGTACATATGCTCACAGTGACAAAGGTTGTAGCTTGCTTTCAACAAATATATTCAAATATCATCTTTAGATGAGAAAGGTCTTTACGAACTGCTTCAGTAAGTCGGTCACAATGACAGCATGTCGTAATACAGTTACATCATGTACAAGACGTCAAAAATGGTCGAAACGATAAACGTGACGGGAAACAATTCCATAATTGTTGAAGATCCCGTTTCGGTTACATGTTTGGTCTCATTGATCAGTTAGCCGATCACTGAAAGGTGATTGTAAAGATGTGTCAAATAGATAGTATGGTCACTTCGTTGATTTCTGTAGACGTCACTGTAGTCTAGACACGGATCGAGTCGATACTGCAATAGTTTGGATGTGTTTTTCTTCTTTGTGTTCTCTAGGATGGGTTGTAGAGAGGATATCCTTGAATGGGCATGCAAACAAACTCTGTCTCATCCCAATATATGCTACAACACTAAGTTCAAAATTAAATGATCTAAATGGTGAGAAAGAACGCTTCTGTATTTATTCGTGCTGGGGATTTCCCGTCCGCCTGTGTTTCGTGATTTCAAGAATACAGTCTCGTGAAAAGAACGTATGAACGTCAAATGTGCCGTTCATACACGTATAAACTTCAGTTTCCCGGTCCGTTGACCGACCTCTCGTCCAATGAAAAAGACGTATATCGTGTAAACTTAACATTAAAAAATATTTATGTATGCAGGCGATATCATAAACGTTCATTTACCTTCATGTTATGTTGTTCAATTGATTCATCTCCAACGGAAATATTCAATTTGAATGATTTTGAAGCCAAAACGTAGATTCTTACCTTCCGTTATTATTCGTAGCTGTACATCTTTCTGACCTCCCAACGGGAAATCACGTGTAACACTGAAGCAGGTGACAACTTGACAACCTTTGCAAAATAAAACGAGTATATGTTATCTAAGCACAAGGAGAGAGGATAACCCCATTGTCATTTGTACAGTCATGAGATCTGTTACATGAGAACACTTTGCTTGACTGTGTAATTTACTCCAAACACACACGAAACATATCAATGATAAGTGACCCGTGAAGATCCGGGGTAGAATAGGTTTTCAACAACCCATGTTTGCCGTAAAAGGCGATTATGTTTGTCGTAAGAGGCGACCAACGGGATCGGGTGTTTAGGACTTGGTTGATACGGTGGCCCATAAGGGACATGGAGTCTGTTTTTCAATATTTTGATATTTCATTTACTGTCATCGTAACACGATTTGCCATACAAATTTGTGATAAATCATGTATAAAGAAGATATTGAATCGCTGAAAATTAAAGCGAAAATGTTAAAAACTAAAATGAAAATGTCAAAAACAAAAACGAAAAGGTCAAAAACAAAAGCGAAAATGTCAACTAAAATGAAAATACAGAAAACTATTTCCACCGCGGTGGAAATAGTTTTCATTTCAGTTTTGGACTTTTTCGTTGTTGTTTTCCGTTTTAGTTTTGACATTTTCGCTTCACATTTCAGCGATCCAATAGCTACTTGAAAGTACATTTTCCATGTTTTCGGTTGTTTTTATACATGATTTATCACATTTTTGAAGGACAAATTGTGTTAATTTGCAAAAGGTTATGATAAAAGTAAGTGAAATATCAAAATGTTTAAAAACAGACTCCATGTCGCTTATGGGTCACCTTAGGTTGATGCATGTCATCGATGCCAATTGCGTTTATCGATGAAAGTTCAAAACTATTCTCTATATGAATTATGAGATACGAAAAAGTCTTCAAACTTTAAAGCAGATTAAAATGCTTCAATGTTTTATGAATATATGAATTAATTCCCTCGTTTGAGTATGAAAGGGAGGTTTTGGCAAATAACAAACACATATCAGAATCTTGTAGATATTCAGAAAAATTATGAAAAGTTGAATATTTGGTGGAAAAAAAGTTATCTTTGATATCATCTTATAAAACACAGTGAAACAACAGACCCTGTGCATCGGTGTTATTAAGGGAGCGGCCATTTGATATTTTTTGGGCCTGGAGTGTTGTATGGAGATTTGATATTTTTTTCAGTTGCAAAACCAGGTATTTAGTTAAACTATGAGCCTAAATGGAAAACTGTCATTTTTGTGGCAGGCAATTTAATTTTTCTTACATGTCTGAATCATAATTGTCGGTGACAATTTACTTTTTTTCGATAACATCCGAGCCAAACACCCACACCCACAGAATATAAAATGACCGGTCCCTAATAGGTACATGTATTAGATGCTAAAGAAAGGAATACAACACTACTTCTTCTCCATGTCATGGCGTACACCTTACGTCATGAGCGATTAAGTCAGAAGAAGAATGTACCAGAAGTGATGCAGGTCTTTGACATTGCAGCTTTCATGACCCCAAGGTGTGTTGATGAGAAACAATTTATCCTAACTTGGGTGAATCCGGGATACGAACCCGTTGTCACATGATTCCTGAACGTTTAAGGTACATGTACGATGCTCTCAACACCGAAATGCAGTACCTTAGACGGCAATCCTAGAGAGATCCTAGATTCTTGAAGCAATTGTGTTTTTCTTATGAGAAAAGACAATGAAATGATCAGTTGATTAGAATCATACATCCTAAAAAAGAATGGTTATAACTCACCAAGAAATAACAGGAACAATCCGATCATGGTTGGGATAACCAATCGTGCTTAAAGTTGTTGACGAGAAAACACGTTTGAAAAAGTATTAGGCTTTATTTATACACTTAGGTTGTATTTGATTAATCGAGATCATATTTCTAATTTGACTAATCAAGAGATATAATTTGGTTTTGAACCCCAAAATAGAAAACTAGTTATGAAATGTTTTTTTGTTCAGAAGAGGCGTTCCCTAAATTTACTTACAACGTTCATATCAACGCCAATATAAACTGTCAATTAAATTATAATACGGCATACGACCGGTCATACGATACGGGGTCTTAGGCGCCGCGATTCGCTTTGCAGAAACCTATGATTGTGGATTCGAATCCTGGTTCGCCCAAATTTTGTTTCTAGGTTTGTCAGCACCTATCCGTGCTCGTGGGTTTCACCGAAGTAGTAAACGTGTGAGACCTGCATCACTTCGGGCTTTCATCCCACATTAAGCTGACACGCCGTGATATAACTGGAACTCACTCACACACTCTTTGACCAGGATTCAAGTTAATGTATCGGTTAAACAAAGAAACAACAAATGTGTAGCAGTGTGTGACATTCATAAGTACTAACAGACCATACACACAAATTTGATAGTCATTAAACGTCGACATTGAATTGGAAAAGTTCTTCGAAAGTTAGTATTTCATGATGTCAATTAAACCAAGCTTATATCATACTTAACTTTCTTGTTTGTTTTCTTTTTTTGTTGTTTAAGGCCACACTCATCAATATTCCAGCTATATGCCGGCGGTCAGAAAATATCCAGACAATCCAGTGATTGATATCATGAGCATCAATCCAAGCAATTGGGATACGATGACATGTTTCAACTAAGTCAGCGACCCTCACCACCTGAAACTTACGACAAGCATAGTCGCCTTTGACAGCAAGCATGGGTTGCTGAAGACCTATTCTTCCCCGGATCTTCACGGGTCCTTAACCTTCCTGAACTATCCAGAGACAACATTGGTTACAAATCTAATATATGCATCATGTTTTAATGTTCCTTTTATTCAGTTGGTAAATAAAAGCTGTTTGTCATCAAATTAAATGGTGAATGTCATGTCAGAAATTTACAATATGTAACATGACAATAAGTTGATCATGATGTAACGATGTAAGAAAAATGTAACTTGCAATTAATTATCTTGCTTTATTTTTTTCCATTAAACTCAACGTTTAAAGAATGAAATTATTGTTCTGTTTCTTCTTGCAAGAAACAACTTGACATTATAAACGTCTTCTAGTTTATTTGACTGCATTTTTGTTCGGTTCATTGAGATATAATGGCTTCCTAATTAAGTTCGACAACGAAATCATGTGTTATTATCATTAGTGTAATCTTCGATCCCCGACCGCGTCATACCAAAAGACGTTAAAAGATGGTATTGTTGTTACCCTGTCTGGCGCTCGGCATTAAGGGGCTAAAACAAGGACTGGTCGGCTCGGAGTCAGTATACTGTGTCTGAGTGGGGTATTCATGTTAAACTGCGGCATGGTATCTCAGTGAGCTAGCACTATAAATCGGCATCAGTCCTGACTAGTACAAGCAGCCACACACACACACACACACACACACACACACACACACACACACACGTGCATGCACGTCGCTATATAAGTGCAATAATCTTGGACGCGACGTTAAACCCCATTTCACCTCACCTCATTAGTGTAATCAAAAACAATGATATAAATCAAAGCAGACAAGTATGACAAGATTGATACTGCGGTGATTGTTAAATGTATGCACGTATATTGACACACCCACAAAGTCCGTAGTCAATCAACGGAGGCTAACATCAAACGACTTCCATAGGTCATATCAATCAAGGCAAGAGACGAGAAGAAGAACTGGGAGGTCAGAGGGAGCATGAGGCGTTTTCAAATGACATGGTCAGTAACTACCAGAATCAAACATTCTCTATCCAGATCTCCATGGGTCCAGGCAAGATGTACATATAGCTTATCAAAGTGCTATAATTTCGGACAATCTAGGAACAAACGTAGTGGCTTGTCATAGCAGTGAATCTGTTATGTATCGGCTCCTTTCAAATTAAAGCCTTTGGGGAAGCCAGTATAACATACATGTGGGTCCCCAGCTTATCGTGATGGTCGTAAGAGGCCACTTAATGAATCTGACGGTTAGACTCCATGACTTGGTTGATAGGGCGTCATCGTCCCTTTCACATTTGTCATTTATTAACTGACCTTAGTTTTTGGAAAAAGGGTTGCACGAGTGGCCCAGTCGCCACAGATGGGCACGACAGAAAACTTATGATTGTGGGTTCGAATCCCGGTTCGCCCCGATTATGTTCATAGGTTTTTCTGCACTATATCCGTGCTCGTGGGTTTCACCAAAGTGGTAAACGTCTGAGACCTGCATCATTTCGGATATCCTCTCACACCAAGGTGACACGCCGTGATATCACTGGAATAATGTTCAAAGCGGCATTAAAGTCAACTCACTCACTCACTCAATATAGAAAGATAATTAGTATTCATCGACTTTGAAATGGGAAAGTTCATCGAGATGGATATTTTAAAAACGTGTAAAACTTCCGAATAAAAAATACTATTTATAAAATCCAATATAGACTATACGCAGACAGCAGTATTGTGTCAGATCTTCAAATAACTCGAACTAACAAATCGAACTCCTCGCAATTTGAGAATGTTAATGCAAAACTATCTCAATAAGGATAGGTGTGTCGATTTTGTGAAAGTCAATTTGTAATTGATACTTCGAACTGGATTAATAAAATGCAGTGAAGGCGTTTTCAGAATAAATGGAAACCTACATCCAAATGTAATACTCGACATAGGCGTTATATTAAAAATCGAAAAGGAAATGCTGTATACCTTTCTATTGTTGGCCTTAGAACCTAATTTGGTGTATTAATTAATCAAATTAAGAAATATGATCTGTATAAATCAAATTAAAAATATATTATCTGGATTGATGAAATAACGTCAACGCCACATGTACAGAATAATTAGTCTCGTTTAGCTGCCAAAACAAATTCCGTTGAGCATGAAAGGCAAACAGTGGCATCTACCACATGAAATTGTGTTTCGATAAACTGCGTGTCTGTTGCAAATGATAACATTATTTTCTTCGACACACACAATAAATCATCATTTCTGTTTTGTTTAAGGATGAGGTGAAAAAAGAGAATTTCGTCGGCTGTGTTACTTACAATGAAAATAAACCAAGTTGGGCATTATCCTCGTCTGCTATTGTCATTGTGTAAGGTTGTGTGAATGAATATTGTTAAATGGCCTGTTCGACGGCCTGTAAATTATCACTTACGGGCAAACAACCAGTAGTTGATGGCATCAATTCAAAAACGTAACAAACGTGCGTGTATGTGTGTGTGTGGGCGTGTGTGTGTGTGTGTGCGCGCGCGCGCGTGTGTGTTTGTCTGTGTGTGTTGGTGTGTGTGTGTGTGTGTGTGTCTGTCTGTGTGTGTGTGTGTCTGTGTGTGTTGGTCTCTGTGTGTGTGTGTGTGTGTGTGTGTGTGTGTGTGTGGCTGCGTGTACTAGTACAGCATTTGGCCACAGTCTAACATTTGATCATGATACACCACTTTGACACATTATACTAACTCCGAGCCGGCCAGTCCTTATGGTATCCCCTTGAAGGCTGGCGGCAGACAGCAAACAACTCATCATGTTTTACCTTCTTTTGCTGTAAGGCGGCCAGAGGATTGTACCACTGACCTTCCGCTCACTGGTCAGATGATTCACGTAAGTCACCTCATACGACAAGTGAAACCCGTGAAGATCCGGGGTAGAATAGGTCTTCAGCAACCAATGCTTGCCGTAAAAGGCGACTATGCTTGTCGTAAGAGGCGACTCACGGAATCGGGTGGTCAGGCTCGTTGACTTGGTTGATGCATGTCATCGTATCCCAGACCCGTGGAGATCCGGGGTAGAATAGGTTTTCAGCAACCAATGCTTGCCGTAAAAGGCGACAAATGAGATCGGGTGGTCAGGCTCGCTGACTTGGTTGATACATGTCATCGGTCCCAATTGCGTGGATCGATGCTCATGATATTAATCACTGGATTGTCTGGTCCAGACTCGATTATTTACAGACCGCCGTCATATAGCTGGAATATTGCTGAGTGCGGCTTTAAACAACAAACAAACAAACAAATCATCGACCCCAATTGCGTGAATCGATGCTCATGGTTTCAATCACATGATTGTCTGGTTCAGACTTGATTATTTACAGACCGCCGTTATATAGCTGGAATATTGCTGAGTGCGGCGTTAAACAACAAACAAACAAACAAACGACAAGTGAAGGTTACACGTTACAAGTGAAGCCCCAAGGGGTTCAATGTTTTCAGTGTCAAAAGGATTCTTGACGGTAGATGATTGTGCACTCACACCATCACTCCATCCTCACAGAAGAAGAGTTTACACTTGCACCATGCGTATCTTTTATTAGGAAGAGGCGTTTCGGTCATAGTGAGGACATAGTTCTCATCCGGTTCTGCTTGGTATTAAATAAGTGTGTCGCATATGATTGACAGGTGGCTATGCTTGTCGTAAGAGGTGACGAACAAGATCGGGTGGTCAAGCTCGCTGACGTGGTTGATGCATGTCATCCTATCCCAATTGGTGGATCGATGCCCATGTTTTCAATCACAGGATTGTCTGGTCCAGACTCGATTATTTCCACGCCGCCGTCGTATAGCTGGAATATTGCTGAGTGCGGCGTTAAACAACAAACCAACCAACCAATCATGTAGGCCTAGCAGCTAGACGACATCAAGCAACAAACCAACTAATCAACAACATACCATGATTGAACTTACCACGAGAACTGCTCCCAACCATGGTACCGCGATCTTTAAAGGCATGTACAGTAAACTACGTTTATAACAAACACGCTTATGACGAACTGTCGGTTATAACGAAATTATATTTTGGTCCCGTCCAATTGGTATATATATGCTGTTATAATGCTTATAACGGACTAAGGTTATAAGGAACAAAAATTAGTGATCCCTTTGAGTTCGTTATGACCGTAAGTTTACTGTTTAATGTGAAACCGCGTGTGACATCCCTGTCTCATTTAGTTTTTGCAATGAAAATATTGCATACATGAAGATAAAAATACCATAATCCTTGTGACGTATAGACTCCACGTGGTTAATTAGGGGAATAGAGCTGGCTGAGGGTATATGTGGTTTGGCTTATAGGGTTAAGGAAACGCCTGTAAAATGCAAGCTCAAGACATTAAAAAAACAAAAACATAAAAAAAACCCACTATAATGGACGTCAATGATGACCATTTATTAATTTCTGATCATGAGATAACTTATGAACATGCATTATGTAAATTCAAAACTCTCTCGCACACTCTTTCTTACTCTCACGCGCTCTCATGTTCACTCCCAACACACACACTCACACTTGAACACTGTTGTTGATATCGTTCAGACGTGCTTCTTCGGGAGAATCCACTGTTGCCAGGTCGCCCCAGTACATGTTTCCATCTTTAATTTGAGATCCGTCCCCATGTGAAGACATAGTTTAGTAGGATTGTGTACAAGAGTTCGGTTCTGAAATTTGAGAAACACTTTACGATTATTTGTAACCATGTGGATTTTGAGCTGCCCTGTCCAAATTGTGTCAAAGATGTGCACATTGTGAATTCATATGTACATTCATCTGCAGGTTACATCCAACGAAACAACGACATGTACTGGAAACATATATACTAGTATATGCATCTTAAACTATAGGGGCACTGCATATTCCTTGATGGGCATGTATATGGGTAAGGCAGTTGTTTGTGTTTAGTCTGATTATTTTGGCCTATGAGGAGTAAGTTAATGTGAAATATATACATTGCACATTTGTTCAAATTGTGTTTTTAACCTTTGGTTTAACGTGAATGTGTTCTATATATGTCATCTATTTATAAAAAACGAATTGAGTCTATTTTATAGACGTCTTCAATTATGACAGTTATAGGCGACATTTCGGGAGAAACTTTTTCTTCCCACTTCTTGCTGAAAATATACGTACGATTTCGTGACAATTGAAGTTGCCATGGGTTTTTAACTTTCCTGAATTGTTGTACCCTCGAATGTATATGTTTCTACAGCAAGGAGGAAGGTATTTAAGGTTGAGCATTATAATGACCAAAGAAATACGATGACACGAAATGTAGTTAACTTTTCTGAAATGATGTTCAATCGAATTATTATGTTTCTACAGAAAGACGTGTGGTATGCAATGCTTACATGTTGACCAACGAGACATCCCGTGGTAGAATAGGTCTTCGGCAACCCATGCTTGTCGTAGGAGGATCGGATTGTCAGGCTTGCTGACTTGGTTGATGCATGTCATCGTATCCCAAATGCTTGGATCGATGCTCATGATGTCAATCACTGAATTTTCTGGTCCAGACTCAATTTTGTACAGAGCGCCGCCATATAGCTGGAATATTGCTGAGTGCGGCGTTAAACAACAAACAACGACATACGATGATACGCAATCAACCAAGTCACCGGGCCTGACCACTCCATCGGTTTAGCTGCCTCGCACGACAAGCAATATAGTGCCAGGGGTCACCTCTATCGTAGTGAGTCAAAGTGTTTTTCCATTCCTAAACATATGTCTATAGTCGCAATCGTACAATAGATTCAGCATTTCATTTGGCTTATCATAACATACCTGTTCGTGATAGATCCAGTAGGGCTTAACGTTCGAACATTCACCTGCTTCCAGGACGAAGGACCCTCGTTCGTAACACATCTTAAATCGGTCATGAGTAATCACACCATCCTCGTAGATTAGCCATCGCTGTAACGAAAAGGAAATAGATTGTTCCTTAATTTTGAACAATTGACTTGCTTTTGCATGTGTTTGTGACAGGTGCCGACGATGGGGCAAGGTACGCTCACTTGGTATCATCACTGAACACGTGATAATGATGTACGTGGACGAACAAAGGAGCTTTGATAAATTTGGAAATGTGTTTTGTCACTTTCTTTATATTTCTATGTTCTGAATTCATCAGTGAGGCTGTCGCAAAAGCTCTACATAAACAAACACGTATGTAAGGAGAGGTCTGTACCTGGTTGACGCCTTGACCGTGACAGTTGTACAAGCCAGGCACCATGGTGTAGCCCTGGATGTCCATGCACATAGGTTTACTGGCGTGACGTATCTACAACAAACACCAACATGACAAACACGCGTATATGATGTCGTGAAAATATTATCCATTGGACTGTTACATTCTAAAGTGGATTCATAACTGTTGCCCCACATTTACGCCAGCTAACTTTTTTGTTGGTTTTTGGTGTGTTTTTTATTTAACGCCGCAGTCGGCAGTATTCCAGCTATAAGACGACGGTCTGTCAATAATCGAGTCAGACAATCCTGTGATTGATATCATGAGCATCGATCCATGCAATTGGGATTCGATAAAATGCATCAACCAAGTCAGCGAGTCTGACCACCCGATCCCGTAAGTCGCCTCTTGCGACAAGCATAGTCGCCTTTTACGGCAAGCATGGGTTGCTGAAGACCCATTCTACCCCGGATCTTCACGGCTTACTGCATCCCGACACTTTAATGTATACGCAGGTCTGAAAAAAGTTGGATTTAACTCCACTTTGAAAACTATTTCAGTTATATTCCAACATGTTGTGGATTCTGTGACATGATTCTGACCCATGACGAGATTTTGTCAGGGCCATGAGTGAGTGAGTGAATGTTGTTTAACGCCGCTTTGAACAGTATTCCAGTCACATCACGGCGTGTTACTATGACAGCGAACTGCGACGCCGTACACAGCTGTTCCACCCGTACCCCGGCATGGCCATGGGAGACAACTCGGCATAGTCCCAGTCAGAGCTTTACGACTCATACTTAGAGGGCGGTCGGATAGCCTAGTGGTTAAAGCGTTCGCTCGTCACGCCGAAGATCCGGGTTCTATTCCCGACATGGTTACAATGTGTGAAGCCCATTTCTTGTGTCCCCCGCCGTGATATTGCTGGAATATTGCTAAAAGCGGCGTAAGACCATACTCACTCACTCACACACTCACTCATACTTAGAGTGTGTCAATAACTATCCATTCTCTCGCAATTTTCCCAACCAGATTGGTCAAAGTTGCCACCAATTCCACAATTCGGTGTCAATCATGAACTAACATTGAATACAAAATGAAACATACATATTTTGATGCCCCTAACTACCGGTACGTTGACACATTGCACCGACAATATTTCAGGTAACACTGGAATCAATGTATTCTAAATAAGTGTGCATACCTCACCAGCGGCAAGCGAACGTTTAGGCACAGGGAGGGGAAAGATATTTTCCAGATACCACCGGAAGTCATGACATTGTAAGCTTTCTCGCAATTTCCTCCTTGCTGAAACATCGCCAAAATCCTGAAAGAAATAAACTCAGTATATGAGTGCATTGTGCTTTATCCCGCATTGGACAGTATTTATTGTGGCGTTCGAACCTCTGGTGACGTCATCGTATTGTTGTACGAGGCCATCCTTTAGTAGAGTAAACTCTCATAGTGAAATATCACGATGATTAACTGACGAAGGAATAGTATTCACAGTAATGACAAAAACTACAAATTTCGCTTTACAAGAAGTGTCCATTTTGATATCGAAATCAATCACGATCCTGTTACAATTCGGGTAAGAATTGACAGACAGGTGATTTCGAGCGGTTATATTGAGCAGTGACCTTGGTCAATGGCTCTTTCAATACAGCATCTGCACGACCTTTCAGTTGTTCATCAATCTCATTAAAACCAAATCTTAGTTCTCGCTTCCGCTAAACAAAGATCTGAGGACATCCCATTACGGGTCACGCCAGACCGACCTTGCGCGAACTTTGACCGACCAATGGATTGACCGATCAGAAGGGAGCTTTCTCGTGCTTTACGACACTAATTTCAAATTGGCGACTTCGCTTCGAAACATATTTGGTCAAATTCTCGATTATATTACAAATTTGAAACCTGAACAAAAGATCATTCTGGAATGGCTAATAGATGGTATAGATTGTATGGATTCTGTCGTTTAACCCCTAACTATCGTTCAGAATACCCCGTGTTAAAGTTTCCGAGGTTGCATGATTAGAAATCACATTCCGACTGTCACTTTCATAATCTGGTAAGCAAAGCTCTGATTAGTCGGATAAAAGGTCGTTCTGAAGTGACCCCAGTGTCTTCAGCTCTTTGTTTAGCGGTAGCGATTGCTGAGAGATTGAGAATGAGATTGGCTCTTGCTGGTAATCAACGTATACGTACGCTGCACTAGCTGCTCAATATAGTCCCTCGGAGTCACCTGACTAGCCATCCTCAGTCGGATTATAAAAACGTGATCAAAACTCATCAATGATGTTTGTCACCAGCTTTGCCATTTTTTGTCATTATTGTAAGCAATTTACTAATCTCCTAAGTGGCATGTTTTCACGTTATAAGTATTAGCAAAGATGCAGGTATCTTCGTAAATTCATCAACGCATTACTTCGTGATTCTATTTCAAGTTGCGGGGACTAAAAAAGGGCCTTTCTACAGAAAGAGTCCTCTGTCCCAGGCCCTCCCCCATTCCCCTTTTTCCTGAGGGTACGTTCTCACCCGGTATTCGGACCCACGAGTCGGTGCCTCTTTAGATTGGAATTATGAGGCCTAACTTGGAGGAGTCGTTACAGTTTAAAAACCACTTAGTGTTTGATCTTTCCAACTATCTGTTTGTTTGATTTTTGTTTAACTCCGCAATCAACGATATTCCAGCTATATCGAGGCGGTCTGTAAAAAGATCTGAGTCTGAGTGGGGTATTCATGGTATCTCAGTGTGATGGCACTATAAATCGGCATCAGTCCGGACTAGTACAAGCAGCCACACATCCACACACACGTCGCTATATAAGTGCAAACATTCGGACGCGACGTTAAACCCCATGTCATCTCACCTACGGTTTAAGGGCGAGGTAGACAAACAGAAGGCATGTTTGCATTGACTTACTAGTAACTTAATACAAATCACAAAGTATATATATTGTAAAAAAAACCCGATTAAATCAGTTAACAAAAGGGAGACGTCAGCACAAGTAATATCCATTTGGAAGCATGTATACATTGCACGTGAAAAGTTATGATTAGAGAAAGAAAAAGAAAAGACAGAATAATAACTTCTGGTTTATGTTAGGGATTTAACATTAAATCCTTAAGCAGACACTTTTATTTCTTAATCGGTAAAAACTCGTTTAATAACAAAAGCAGTAAATCCACATGATATAATGTTAACATGATCAGATCCTATCTAAATTACATCCTATTTTCCAGATGAATTGAAAAGACAAATCTAAAGCTGCCAGTTGCACAGCGCCATACCATATAAAGACAGGGCATGTGATGGAGTTCTCGCCCTTGATTATTTAAACATACAAATTGGGAAACCTGTTTGACCAAGGCGTACACTTGTAGGGTTGACGTTTCATTCGGATTTTGTTTTGTTTCTCAAAATGACAATGAATAAAGTCTTCACAATACATTCACTCGGGAAAGATATACCATAATTCCTAGTAGCTCTTTGTTTATTCTTGAAATATATCTACTCACAGCTTTGGGATAAGAGGCGTCGTAGAAAAGCTCCTTGTAATCGTCCATCCACACCTCGGCCACACGCATGGAGTTCCGCATTATCATGGCGCCTGAGTTTTCGAACCTGATGGGTGTAGATGAGCGGAATATATGCCCCACTTGGGAGCAGGGGTGATATTCTATAGTCCCGTTACACATCCACACCTGTAACGAGACAAATTACTTGATGATGCAAAGACAAACATTTCTTCGTGCACTCGTGCCACAGGCGGTGGACATGCGTTTTCCACTGCAAGTGCAAGTAGGATTGTACTAACTGGCATCAGTAGTGTAGTATTTATTATTGTCAGCTGCACCTAACTTACCTCTCCAAGCGGGAATTCTTTTATTTCCCAACCAATATAGCATACAGTTGTTGATGTGCAAACTTTCTCAGACAACAAAACATTAAGCGTCCCAATCTAATCAAACTGATCAATCCATGAAGACATTGAAGGTTTTCGGGATAACAGTTTCCTTATTCTTTGTAACATTCCAGGGCTACCTCGTGCATCTTCATTAGGTGAATACTGAATACGTCAATAAAACCCAATATGGATGAACGAGGGAGCTGAGTGTAATAACAAAGTGAGTGAGTATGTTTTTACGCTCCTTTTTAGCAATGTTCCAGCAATATCAGGGCGGAAATGGGCACCATAACAATAAGACAACCGTATGTGATTCGTGGTCAGTCATATGGATAAAGCACAGTAGAGAACACGTAATCAATTTTAAATAATCATGGGATATGGTTATTAGTTGTACTTCGTTTTTTACGTACAGAATTGCCTTGCCTTGTGGTAAGGATAAAACACAAACCATTTACATCAACCAAACCTGAGGAGGACTGTTTTACCTGACAATGTCTCATAAAATATTCTCACTCTTACTGACAATCTGTCATACAACATTCTCAGTCTTACTAACAATGTCTCATACAACATTCTCACTCTTACTGACAATGTCTCGTACAACATTCTCACTCTTACTGACAATGTCTCATACAAAATTCTCACCCTCACTGACACTCTGACATACACCATTTTCACTCTTACTGACAATGTCTCATACAACATTCTCACTCTTACTAACAATGTCTCATACAACATTCTCACTCTTACTAACAATGTCTCATACAACATTCTCACTCTTACTAACAATGTCTCATACAACATTCTCACTCTTACTAACAATGTCTCATACAACATTCTCACTCTTACTAACAATGTCTCATACAACATTCTCAGTTACTAACAATGTCTCATACGACATTCTCACTCTTGCTGACAATGTCTCATACGACATTCTCACTCTTGCTGACAATAAATCTTGCAACATTTCCACTCGCACAAGAGCACGGCAGCCGCAGTTCGTTGGCAGATAACATGAGCACGTGTTAAGTGTAATAGATTTACCTTGAATGATAGCTCCATGTTCTCGCCACCCCATCGCCATCTGTCATACAACATTCTCACTCTTACTGACACTGTCATACAACATGGCAGATAACATGAGCACGTCTTAAGTGTAATGGATTTACCTTGAATGATAGCTCCATGTTCTCGCCACCCCAGTACAACAGATCCGGGTCATATGTCCCCAGTGATGTGAAAAACGCCTTGTCAATGGCAAACAACCCACCAGGCATAGTAGAGGATCTGAGGATGAAACAGACTGTTTCAGACAGAGGAACACATGCGACATAAAGCTGTAATGATCATCTAGAGGAGGCGGTGGGGTGAGATGGGTGTGTTGAGATCATTTCACTGATATAGGGACGTGCATTCACGTGTGAATGGCTGTGTGTGTGTGTGTGTGTGTGTGTGTGTGTGTGTGTGTGTGTGTGTGTGTGTGTGTGTGTCTTTAGTGGTACAAGCTAATGCTAGCGTCATAGTACCAGCGCATGTTCCATAATAGAAGGCCAAGGGTACACCAGCTTATAATTACGAATGTCCATGTTCAGAGTAACTATTATTCGACATTTACCGAACCAGTCTAGTCTTTCTGAATCTACATATAGCTGCCCCGCCTGATGGTAAAAAGTTTGGTCCGCCTCGCTGTTTGAGAAATAAATTTCTCATTGCTAATTACTACACAGGGTTGTTCAGTGTACAAACCTTGCAGGATCAGCATTATTCTTTCGTCTCTTCTTCTCCTTCTCCGGAATTGGTAGCCAGTCAAAGGAAAGATTTGTCCACCGGAAGTATCCTACTTGATCCATTAAAGCGCCTGACGTCGAGAAGTCTTCCGTCTTGATTGGAAGTACATGGGGGAAGGGAACCGTCGTTGGATCGTTGGCGATGCGCCCCAACAAGGGTTCTAACCATCCTGATGAAATATTACTGATATACAGCTAAATTCACTAAGAATATTGGAGGCCTAAACATATTTTACCAATGCAGGTTGAAACATTTCTTGTTCAAATTAACCGACAAATCTCACATATTTGATTTGTTTGGACATGTTCATTATTCTTGTAATCAATCATCCGCGAGGGAAGATTGACGACAGATTGACAACAGATTGGCATGAGATGGAGATATTTATTTGATCCTGACACTTCATTATTGTTTGGGATAATTTGTCAATATTGGAACCAAATTTCATTTGACGTTGTGACGTTGACATTGACAACAATATATGAAATGATGGACTTCCTCATTAAAAGCATCTATGTGACATTTGTGTATAGGTCATTTAGGCAAGAAGTAGGTATCCCTATTGGCATCAATTGTGCTCCTAACTCTTGGATTGGAATGCTTAAGATTTTTTAATGTGAGAATGTTTGTATGTCTTTATGTGTATATAACAACAGTTGATACACACCCACTCGGAGAGGTTGGACAGGTAAGCCAAACAGCCAAGTGGTAGAGATAATAAGATCGTATCATTACGTGCTTTTGCCAGAATCTCTGCAAGGAGTAGACGTATAATTCACAGGATAACCGAGGATGGAATAGATGCAAAGACGCAGAACTATCCTTTTGAGTTATTCCGTATGTAGGGGGCACGGGTGGCACAGTCGTCTAAGGTGCCGCGATTCGCTGAGTTGCGTCCCTTGGGAACGTCAGAAAGCTATGATTGTGGGTTCGAAACCCGGTTCGCACCGATTATGTTTTTAGGTTTGTCAGCACCATACCGGTGCTCGTGGGTTTCACCCAAGTGGTAAACTTCTGGGACCTGCATCACTACGAGCTTTCCTCCCAAATTAAGCTGACACGCCGCGATATAACTGGAATACTATTATAAGTGGCGTTAACCTCAACTCACTCATAATTGAGGGTACTGAGAGACAGCTAATTCCACGATTTCAAAGAAGCCCCATCCCAGGAATATTTCCAAATATGGAATGATAGGTTGGATTGAATTGGAATGCTTGACATGTTCTCTGAGAATGATGGTACGTCTTCATGAGCATACAACAGCATATATATGCCACAGCGCTTAGTAAATAACCCGTGAAGATTCCAGGGTAGAATAGGACTTCAGCAACCCATGCTTGCCGTAAAAGGCAACTATGCTTGTCGTAAAAGGCGACTAACGGGATCGGATGGTCAGGCTCGCTGACTTGGTTGATGCACGTCATCAATCCCAATTGCGTGGATTGATGCTCATGATATTAATCACTGGATTGTCTGGTCCAGACTCAAATAATTATTTACAGACCGTCGTCATATAGCTGGCATATTGCTAAGTGCGGCGTTAAACAACAAACAAACAGACTAGCAAATAACGTGATTACCACTTAGGAGAGGTCGGGCAGGTACAGACACATTTGACAACAATGAAAACTGTAAACGACTCCTACAACGTAGAACCTTCCCAATTACGCGCCCCGAGAACGCATGGAGTGTTTGACTTCAATTTCAAAGTCAACTTTCCCTTTATGTCGAGCAATATTTCAGCAGATACACCTTTTGGTGTCTCCATTTCAGAATGTTTACGGTACAATCGAGCATGCTGTTGGATAACGTTAAACAATATTCAAATGGCGGTTGCGTTATTTATTCCATCCTCCGATGTAAGGTGATACATGATTAGTGTTTGACAGATGGGTAATAACTAATAATTCACGCTATGTATTTCTGGCCGTCCTTGGCTGTGGTAATACTAGTACATAGGACAATGACTTTTAATATTACCACCATATATAAACTGAACCCAGTGAGTGAGTGAGTGAGTGAGTGAGTGAGTGAGTGAGTGAGTGAGTGAGTGAGTGAGTGAGTGAGTGAGTGAGTGAGTGAGTGAGTGAGTGAGTGAGTGAGTGAGTGAGTGAGTGAGTGAGTGAGTGAGTGAGTGAGTGAGTGAGTGAGTGAGTGAGTGAGTGAGTGAGTGAGTGAGTGAGTGAGTGAGTGAGTGAGTGAGTGAGTGAGTGAGTGAGTGAGTGAGTGAGTGAGTGAGTGAGTGAGTGAGTGAGTGAGTGAGTGAGTGAGTGAGTGAGTGAGTGAGTGAGTGAGTGAGTGAGTGAGTGAGTGAGTGAGTGAGTGAGTGAGTGAGTGAGTGAGTGAGTGAGTGAGTGAGTGAGTGAGTGAGTGAGTGAGTGAGTGAGTGAGTGAGTGAGTGAGTGAGTGAGTTGGTTTGAACGCCGCATTAAACAATATTCCAGTTCTTTCACGACGTGTCAGCTTTATGTGGGAGGGAATCTCGAAGTGATGCAGGTCTCACTCGTTTACCACTTTAGTGGACATAATCGAACCCAACCGTGATTCGAACACACTACATGTATCATAGGTTTCTGGCGTGGAGACGGAACGCAATACAGCAGAGCGATTTACTAGTTAACAAGCTCCGGTGAAAACATTTAATCTATCTGATGACCGATATATCTTTATATTGTGATGATCAGCAATGTTGGTTGGTTGGTTGGTTGTTTAACTCCGCACTCAGCAATATTCCAGCTATATGACGGCCGTCTGTAAATAATCGAGTTTAGACAAGGCAATCCAGTGATTAATATCATGAGCATCTATCCACGCCATTGGGATCGATGACATGCATCAACCATGTCAGCGAGCCTGACCACCCGATCCCATTGGTCGCCTCTTTTCTCCCAAAACAAGACACAAGCTGATAAGCTCCAACTTGGTTAGAAACCAGCGTGTTTGCATTTGTGTCTTTTTCGTATCAAGCCATGTGTCAAGTAGTCCAAGATATAGTTCCACGGATCATTACTAGATAGCCATAGAATCTGGACGAACCTAACAACATGGCTATTCCGTTGCTAGACAGCACACATAAATCTGCGTCGCGGAGATTGATTCTAGGGACAACATATTGAGTGTGTACATATACGCAACATCTGTCTACCAACAAACTTTAGGTTAAAAAAATGAACATGTGTTAGATAGAAGGTAAAATAAAGCCAACACAAATATTTTTAAGATAACAGAAATATAGCGCAGCCTTGTGGATCTGGATGTCAGGATTGTGTAACAAAATAATGAAGAATATTGCCCTCATACTCACAACTGTCCATACTCCACAAGGGTCACTGAGCTATTTTACACTCTTACGGAATATCTAAAGGCAAACACTATTTTACCTTGAAATCACGCTTACAATGTGCCCGCGGAATATCAATGACAATTAGTATGACGTCCGCCCGAACATTTACTCAAGAAAATTGCAGTCATTTTAATTCATTGTAAAATATAATTATGGTGCTCCTCATGGCAATACTTTCTATCTTGATTAATTTTATGACAAAGAGATATCTTCATTATGGGCATTTGACCCACTCGTTATGTGTTAACATTGAGTTAAGTTAACATTTAATGTCACATCGGCAATATTTCAGCCATATCGTGTGTGTTAACATTGAATTGGCGGTGAGCGTATTCGTGTTAGGTTCAAACAATGCCTATATGACAGGGTCCTATCCGCCTTTGGGCAGTAGTGTATCTGTAAATCACGCATATGAAGGTAACCCTTTTTATATACATCAATGGAAGTCATAGCCAGTAGAATAACATTACAATATTACATTATTTAATTGAACCATTGCAAGATAATATGATTACCAAACCTGGAAAGCATTCGATATGAGAATCCAAGAATACAATGACCGGTCCCTCAGCGTTCTTGTATCCAAGCAACCGAGCTCGTGTAAGGCCCCCTCGTTCTGGTGCCCGTACAATTTTCACCTTAAGGAACTGAGCCATGTACTTTTCTAAAGGCGCCTTCAGATGATCTGGAAACATTCCGTTTGTAAGTCTGTGATAATTAATTCAGAGCAGATTCAACGAAGTAATTTTAAAGCCAAACCCATTCATAATACCTAATTTCGGCGGTATCATAATACCTATTTTTCGCTGTTATGATTTCGTTTGGCATTAAAAGGACTTCATGCGTGTGATGGTATTTAGACCATCACACGTGGCATGGACAAAATGCCTGTCACCGTTGTATTATATATTTATTTTCCAAAAAGTGAACGTTTGGCAAGATGCATTCGTTGTCACAGCATCACGAGGGGTGTAACGGCTCGTGGTATAAGACCTAGAGCGGGAAGCACTAAACCACATATCCCTCGAGTGTTACTGTTACAACGAATTTATCTTTCCGGCATGTTTCAATCTGCCACTGTATGAGAGTTAATACTAATATGCCTTCTACTTGCATTGGAATCTTTTCAAACAGATAATAGAGACTGATTCTCTGGCTTTGACGATTTGAATTTATCATGCAATGTGCAATCGGGGTTCTGTCATTAAACAATCCAATTAGATAATTATGTATATGTATATATATATGGTGCCTGACTACATAAATAACGTGCATATACCAAAGTAATTCCATTTATCAGCCAATGTGGCTTCACTAAAGCTTGGATGAGATCAAGCGATGTCTCCGAGGAGATATTACTACAATGAACTTGCATCACGGTGCTTTGCAGCCCATTGTCACCATGACGTCATAATCAATTGACATTGCTGATCATACTGGGTATTTCGGTTTACAAACTGAAGAATGATCTTGGATGCTAAATAGAATCTTCCACTTTCGACATCAAATATATCAAGTCTCGGAGTTAAAAACTTTTTTGGGCTCGAGCTTTTATATTTGATACCAAATTACGAGATTCGTATTAATCAATTAAATATACAATTAATGTATTTATGAATGAGTCCAGTGAATCACATGCTTTTTTGAGCTGTTGAATATGTTTTGGTAAATTCACGAATATAATATATGCTGCATTAAGAAGGTGTTAAACGCTAAAATCTATTTTGTAAATAAGTAGAATGGTTGCGCAAATAGCATCAGATACCTTGTGCAGAAAAGTCATCCACCAATATAATCTCCCTTAGTAAGTGTGGCGGTGATCTGTCTAAAATACTGTGGACGCTCCTCAGGAGGACCGACCAGGCCTCGTTGTGGAAACACATGACGACACTGGCCATCGGCAGATCTCCGTACTCGATACTTTTACACCTGCAAGATTAACGTCAATATTGCATTAGTTGGTATGACAAGTTTCTTTTCATTTGTTTGTTGTTTAACGCAGCACTCAGCAATACCCCCAGCTTTATGGACCAGACAGTCCAGTGATTGATAACACAAGCATCGATCTACGCAATTGGGACGATGACATGCATCAAACAAATCAGCAAGCCTGACCAGTGGGTTCGCCATTCCCATTAATTATAAACGTTAGTGAGCCTGCCTGCAGAGAGATTTAAGAACCCCCACTTTCAATGTAATGTTGTATCTGCAAATCCCCCCTCACACTGAGTTAACAAACAACGTCCACTGACTTCACACTGACGGAGGAATTGGGGTAAAGTCACACACAAATATTTATACATTTTTACATTTTTTTTCAGCTTCACTCGATATTAATAAGCATCTAATGACTGTGTCACATGTCACATTTGGAAGTTGTTGGGCCAATAGCTTCTGACATATATTATGTTTGTGTCGTTTTTATGAATGAAAGTTCTCAATAATACAATAAAATACGACGGGACTCTTGACAAGCAACTATGACCATAAAATGTCAAGCGTCTACTGATGATGCGTTGGCCAATTTGCATTGCTTCCTAAAAAGATATGTCTTTTGCAAAGTAGTCTAATAAGCAACTACTAGAATCTAATATGGCCGCTAACCAAAGAACGTTTTGACATTTTAGAAACAAATGTCCATTATATGATGATTCTACATATTGTCAGTTTGAAATATTTTTTTCGCAAAACCATTAAAGATACGGTGTTTTAAAGCACATTTTATGAGACGCTTTAGATCAGAAGTAAAATCCAAGATAGCGGCAACCAACCGAGATATCTAAATACGTTTAGATACTTTTGATTTAGGACATATGGAGACAATCTCTACATTATTGTTGAATTACTGCAGCTGCTGGTTTGAGAGGAAACGATTGCGGTAGAGGTCGACACTACATAAACCTCAAATGAGCTCGGAACACGTTGCATCCAATATGGCCACATCACGTGACTTTTGACAAATGCCAACTTTGGAATCCATCAGACTATTGCTTTCTGAAAACTTGCTTTTGGTGAGTTAATTTTAAAGTGTCTGCCCTTAGTCATTAATCCTAGATCCTTGGCATTTTTATAGTATCTGATTTACATTGGTCGTTATGTTGAGGATAACTTTTGAGGGAATCTAGCTACTAGTGTTTGAGTGATGTCTAATACAAAGTACCATATGTTGTACGGCGAAATAATCAATAATAATGAATAATTAACAGATGGATCACATTAGGTCTCTTGCCGTTTAGACCTGGAGCCTTAGACATCGTTCTTATTCATTAAAGAGGCTTAACAATAGTTGGGAGAAATGCACCCTTGTCATACCCCTTTGTTGAGGTGAGGTGAAGTGGAGTTTAACGTCGTGTTTAAGGTTATTGTGCATATGGAGCAGTGCTTTCTTGTACTAGTTAGGTCTTATACCTGTTTTATAGTGCTAGCCAACTCAGGCACCACTATTTACACGGATACCCAACTCAGATCTAGACACAGTATATTTTACCATGACATTGATGAATGCTTGATTCTGATTGGTTAAAAAGGGGTTTCCTTCTTGCTACGTAAACCCCTTTCAGATATATTAAGCCTTTTCACAAAAAAAAACGTGCGTGCGTAGCCTACATTTTGATTCATAGAACATGGCTGCCGATCGATCACCCCCATATGAACTGTAAAACGTATCTATATTCCCTCTAATACACGCTGGGTCTTTAATACACACCGAGTCAAGGACCCTCGCGAAATAAATAGACGGAATAGCGTCAAATAGAGGAAATACGGTGGTCTGATATCGGATGTTTTGGGCGTTGGCTAGGCAGCAACCCTGACTGCTTCGATGATGACATAGAAGATTTAACGAAGGCATATCTAAACACAGTACACTGACCGACCATTTGTTATATTAACCCCCTAATGCCAATCGCCATGCAGGTAACAATAAGCACCATCGATTGGCGTTGTTTGGTATGACACGACCAGGGATCGAACCCCGAACGTCCGTTCTCCAGGCAGGTGCTCTATCCGCTCGTCTGCGGAGGCGGTCTACCGTTTTATTGCAATGGAAAGAGTCTCGCGTACATAGTACGTCTATTCAATTCAGCAATGATATTATCGAGTTAATATCAACTTTATTACGTACTATGTGTATGCATCCCATAAAGTTGACTAGTGCATGAATGGAGTCGTGTATGGAACTTCATCGATAGTTCATACATTTGCAATTATTTACACAATTATTTACACAAATCGAAATTGTCGGGATTTTCACCTTAACAATGGGCATTGATCTGGTTTATATAGAATTGTCGGCGCCTCATTGTAAAATTAGTTCTTGCCTTGCCGTAATATTGACAAGTGCAACAGTTGTTGGAGGCAATAAGGCCCGGGGATATTGATACGAGTTCGAAAGACACATTTGCTCTGTATTAGAAATGGAAGTTAAACTTATCTGGAGAGTACCTGATCAGCGATATGCCATTTTGTCAAACGTTATAAGCAAGCACAACAGACAAAGCGAAAATGTTCTCTTCACAAATGTTATAACACTGCCACAAAGCATGTGTTACAGATTGACGTTCTACTCTATGGTCAACTGATACACCAGATACAACTTATATGCAATACATATCCTACCACATGTGTAAACATTTGTAATACATCCCCCAAACCTGGTGGTTCGACATATTTGTTTGGACTTTTATTAAGATTTTAACAGAATATTTAGTTGGAAGGAAATAGCTTTCAATCAGAACGCACACCAGAAGGTTTTCACTAATCATGACGGTTGGTAACAAAATATGAATGTTTTTTTTATCTTTTTCTGAGAGAAATGTGTATGCGCTAACACAAAAAACATTCTGTCTCATACAGCAAGACGGTTGGCTACCTACTCTTGTGGCCTGGCGTCAGGAAGACGTCGGTGGATGGAAATGAGGTCACTGACGTATACGTTGAAGCGGTTGATTCGGCGTCTCTTATCCATTTTCTTTTCTTCTGTGACGTTAAGCTTTGGCACATAGGCTTTTCCAAACTCACCTTCATCGATGAAGACAATAATTACATGTTAATACCATCTATAGGTATCCATATTTGCAATAACATTCTAATTGTATTAGTGCGTTATGAACTCAAGGGTTTGCTCGTATGAAATTATATAGAGGAAACTGAATATTAACATACCTTCCTGGAATAATATGTTAAGGTGAGCTGATTCGAAAGTAACTAAGTTAAAAGTACCTATCATAAAGATAATTGTATATATTTAAAATGGCATTGATGGTGTGCATGCTTATGATATGAAATATGGTTATATCGATATATTGTCGGTGGCACACCATTACATTTTTTATCCTTTCTCAAACCACGAGAATCTTATAAACAATTACAAATTCACATTTAACCAGGGTATGAAACTCCCAAAAATTTCAGCCAGACCACAGGACTGGCTAGCTGAAATACTTGCCAGCACTGACCAAAACCTGCCTGCCCACTATAATCATATGTTTCTCAGGATAAGCTAACGGGGTTTCTTTTTGGTTACATTTTATCATTCATCTTTACATGTGAATTAATGCTTATCATCGGGAAATATTTTGAATATTTTCACATATGAAATATAACCCGACCGTCGGGCAGGGGGATTTGAAAATCTGGCAGCCCGAGTTGAAATCAACCCGTCTCGGACGGTCGGGCAGGCAGGTATTTCGAACACTGATTTAACTAACTCGGATTTATAAATATGTAAGTGAACCTATTTACTCAATTAAAAATAGTTTAGTTCAGTAATTTGTAATATCCGAAGTGAAATAGTGCAGAAGGAATAAAGCCAACATACCTGGGCCATCTTCAGGACTATTTTCAACAAATGGCGGAAACTGCACTTCCGGTTGTTCCTGTAAACCTTGCTTGACAGCTTGTACTACCTGTTCTGCTTTCTTCATAGGGACATCACCACCTCCCACATCCTGCTTCGGCGAGCTCTTGTCGCCCCCTTTAATGTCTAACTCCTTATCTTTCTCCTCTTGTTTTTGTGTCTCTTTGGCTTTCTGGCCATCAGTAATAATTGACTGCAACAAATCCCGAACGTTTGAGACATTTCTTGGGAATAACTCGTGAAACAGATCTTGTACCAGCAGCTTCATATATGTTCTCTCACCCTCTGTAAGGGTCTCCCTTCTCCCATGTGTATGAGGGTTGTTGACGGTAACCGTGTCATCGTATCCGGACGGAAGCGCCCATTGCATGGAACACAGCACTAGCACAATGCAGCAGAAAATCAACATGCGAAAGGTCATTCGTTGATATTTCCTCATTGTCCCACAGGCAGTTCGACGTCAATCACACAGGCATTTAAGGAATATGTTCTCTCAATGGCGTCTCGGATGAAACTGTCAGAGAATTAAGACATTTTAACATATGACAAATTGAAAAATAATGGAAGATGGTTTTCTATTTTACTTTCTTTCAGTTTGAAAGATGGGCGTATTGATATTCAGTTCGCAGGTAACAGGTAAATTCATTCAACACATACAGTAGAGCACGGATATAACGAACTACTAGGGACCAGAGAAATCAGTTCGTTATATCCGTTGTTCGTTATACACGTTTTTTCATTTTTCGATTTACATACGAAATGTGTAGTCTGTGATTTTACTTTGGCCTCGTTTCGCTGACTGCATTCTTGAAACGGCATCGTTCAGATCCGCCAAACTGTCAAAAACTGTTTGTTTTACAGACAAGATTACATGTACAGGTAAGATTAACACAATGCAAATTTAACAAGGTTGATCCGTCACCACTGATTGTATTGATTCGCCGCCATTGTTTTGATTCGCCGCTGAATGCAGACAGCCAATTGTCAGTGACACTTAACACTGAGTGAGATTTCTTAGTTCGCTATACACGTCGCTAATTAGTGATAAATGGGCTTGTCGTTGATCAGGTATCAGTTCGCTGTATCCGTTAGTTCGCTATAGAGAGTTCGTTATGTACGTAAATTTTATATGATATTATATAGGAGATAAATCGGGGATTTTTTAACAGTTCGTTGTATCCGTTTGTTCGCTATATCCGTGTTCGTTATATCCGTGTTCTACTGTATATTAATTAATGATGGTTATATCATGTATATGTATCTATTTGTCTCGGGGTAAAATATCAACGTGGTTTGGGGAGGGACTTATTTATGGGTGTATTGGCGTCAGTTGAGACTGCTATTGCACCGTAATAATACAACTTGAGATAAGAACCAAAGGCATTCTCAATTCACTGATGGATGAACTGGCGAATCTTGCTTAACGCCAAAGTCAACAGTTATTCATCTACTGAGGCCTTCCAATAATCGAGTAAATGATAACAAACGACATCTTTCAATCGACTATTACCGAAATCATTTTATGAATCTTAAATGAAGATATGGTGTCCCCCGCCGTGATGTTGCTGGAATATTGCTAAAAGCGGCGTAAAACCATACTCACTCACTCACTTAAATGTAGATATAATTTATTAATAGGTTTTGCCAAGGCATTCTCTCTGCCATAGTTCAGAATAGTTACAACGAAATCTAACAAGTATATACTAGACTGTCACCGGTTTCAGGCCTGTAATTGGCGGTAGCTTGTCAGTCACGAACTATTTAAACATAATTACATCGAGACTGGTTGTTCATGGAATCCTTGTTTTTTTTGTGACAATACACTGTGTCCGTACGTTTAACAAGCAATTGTTACAAAAAGTTAAAAGATACGTTTTTTATTGTATGACACATTGAAGAAAAAAATACAAAGTTCAAAATTGACAATAGCCAGTGCAGAATGTAATGTAATACTGCATTCCGAAGCTGTATCAATACCGACAGGATTGACTTTGAAACATTTAGTCTATGAAATCTTATATTACACAATACTCATCACACCTCTAAAATTAAATACATATTTTTTTCCAGAGCTAGCTAGAGCGGGCTAACGTGCTTTTGTATGCATATCTAGGGTAAACTTTTTTCATAAAATGAATACGTTCCACAGTCATCGTGCAGGACTGGATTAACCTATACATTTCAACTTGTTTTGTTACAATGCGACGTACAATAAAATCACACCTGTGTGGATCATGTTAGATAGAGAGTACAGCTCCTATATATTATTTAAAGTCATTGGAGACGGGTGACAAGATTGTACCATCTACATACCACAATGTGTTCTGTCCACGTAGTCGTCAACGTCAGCTGGGCGCCATGGTTGAGAATGATAAAATTGTCACACTGACATATCTGTCTAAAGCGACGTAGGCACAGCTGTCATACTGCACACCATAAAGATATAAAAGCAGGCAGTTGTGCGAAACCAATTTCATCGATTGAGTTATCACCCTGCGCACAGGCTGAGAACATGACGCGTGTTTGGTGGTTACATGTAGAAAGATCACCTCTACATGTGTCCGGGCTGCTTTGTGATAAATCTTAACTATTACGACTCAATATTTCTATATTATTTACGGCCTGCACGAAGATGACACCTCCCGCAATACATGTAAGACGTACGTACTGTTACCAGCCGTGCATACATGAGGACATTTTCTATGAAGTACAAACCATGTAATTTCGCTTTAATAGTATCAGTTTGTGTTTGGTTTTGCAACAAAGGACAATTACCATTGCAATGCGCCATTATGTAAGCGGCATTCATTGCGCTTCAACGAGACACATGAATGACACATTATAATTGGAAATAAGTTTGGCATTAACGCCACATCGCATTATCCTAACACAAGTGTCTTATCACATAACGGATAGTGTTATCGATGCGTTACGCTGTGCACAGATCCGGCAAATATGTAATTGGGGTCACCATGCAGAGCTCCATACATAAACACGAAAACTATTACCTAAAGTTTGTATATAGTTGTTTCTGTAGTACCTGTTCCTGTGCCAACAGGGGCGGTCGGGTAGCCTAGTGGTTAAAGCGTTCGCTCGTCACGCCGAAGACCGCGGTTCGATTCCCGACATGGGTACAATGTGTGAAGCCCATTTCTGGTGTCCCCCGCCGTGATATTGCTGGAATATTGCTAAAAGCGGCGTAAAACCATAATCACTCACTCACTCACTCACTGTGCCAACACATTCAGTGTGATATATTGGTGGGGCACAGGGAGAATCTCTGCACTCAGGGGTTATTTCACAGATGGGGAATGGGGCGGCGTAGTCCCGGGTTCAGTCCCCTCAAAGGTACGATGTATGAAGATCATTTTTCTTTTGCGGTTACATTGCCTGAATGGTTCTCTGCAAACACTGTCCGTGACGATCTGTGGTGGAATAGGTCTTCAGCAACCCATGCTTGCCGTAAAATGCGATTATGCTTGTCATAAGAGCCGACTAACGGGATCGGGTGGACAGGTTTGCTGACTTGTTTGATGCACGTCATCGTATCCCAATTGCATGGATCTATGCTCATGATGTCAATCACTTGATTGTCTGGTCCAGACTCGATGATTTACAGATCGTCATCATATAGCTGGAATATTGCTGAGTGCGGCGTTAAACAACAAACAAACAAACAGATTCTGAAAACAGACCGATCCTTTGAATCTTTTAGAATTCATTATTATTATCTTGTATAACGTCTTGTAGAAAATTGAAACCTCTTGGAAAACAATTACCAAAGCAGTTCAACGTGAAAGTTGGAACTAAGATATTCACCTTGAAGGCAACTCCATCTCTGTTTGCTTGATTGATTTGAAGAAGTTATTACCCTTTTCGATGTATCAACAAGCACAGCAATTGTGACATGAGGTGGCTCCATTCACGGCACTCATGACAAAAGCCAGATTTTACAGGCTTAAATGGCTACAGCTGCTGCTGACAACTCCCTGGCCTGCCTTATTAACGATTGAATGGCTGGCGTCCAGGAATTGATGACAGTGACTTACTTCGAATTCAAAAACTGTGAAGATCTTGCTTCATCCTATGTTAAAGTCAGAGACATTTTGACAATTACAGCAACACAACATAACTGCAGAAAGTTGCTTGTATTCTAACGGGGCGGTGGGGTAGTGTCGTGCCTAAAGAGCATTCTCGTCCTGCCGAAGACCCGGTTCAAAACCGCACATGGGTACAATGTGCATATGTGAAGCCTATTTCTGGTGTCAGACACACATGTGCATGCACCTCGCTATGTGTGTGAAGTGTTCTTGACACGACGTTATACCCCGTGTCAACCACCCCACACACCTTCCCCTCCATTAGGTCATTAGGGGCGGTTGGGTAGCCAGGTGGGTAAAGTGTTTCCTCGTCACGAATGCTTTGGATCTGTTACCCACATGGGTACAATGGCCTCGATATTGCTGGGATATTACACAAAGCGTCGCAAAACTATACTCACTCACTTATATACTAAGATACTAAGATTATCCATCGTATTACGTAGTGTCTCCTGTCTTACTATCCTGGTCTCTCAGGATAAATCAAATTCGTCACAGTCGGAATTTACTGATTAGAGGCGATGCCACAGTAGCGAATGTATCCAGAGGATTTAACAAAATTATCATCACAGAACAGGAATACACTCAATAGTCAGGCATGCACATGTTAATATAATCCTCATCTAAGGTTATTCCATCAAACATAAATGCCTACTTCGCGTAAATGATGCTTAGTATATATGCTGAAGGTTGACACAAACAAGCACTTTGTGGCCAGGTAAAGATCTGACTATAACTGTCTCTTTGAATTGACAGAGTAGTGTGATTTACCTTATTTGGTAAGTAGTTACCTGCGTCATCCAACATTATTTCATTCCTTTTTTGTACCGGGTGCCCCTAATGCCCCCGCCCCATTTCACTGCGACCGTGAACATCACGAATCACCCCGAGTAGGACATTTTTTTTATTTTCGTAGATAAATCTCAATCATTTCTTGAAGTTCTTAAATGAATCTTTTTTGATTCCCAAACATTCGTACAGTTCGCGGGAGTTCGTCGAATCGACGAGAAAATGTTTGTTTGTCAAAAACTTTCGTGGAAGTGTCCCCGAATTACAATTTCGTGGCTGTATCGTAATACTCCGGGCGGTCGGGTAGCCTAGTGGTTAAAGCGTTCGCTCATCACGCCGAAGACCCGGGTTCGAATCCCGACATGGGTACACTGTGTGAAGCCGATTTCTGGTGTCCCCCGCCTTGATATTGCTGGAAAATTGCTAAATGTGGCGTATAACCAAACTCACTCACTCAATGTATCGTAATCCATTCGTATTCAATTCTTATGTTCCGTAACAGCTTCGTAATCGCTTCTTTTGCATTCTTGGCTATTCTTAGCGATTCGTGGCTCCCAAAATTGCTCGTCCTCAACCCGAAAACAACCCGAAACAGCCACGAATTTCCCGAGTCAACTACGGATCATGTAAGAATTAAGTAAGAACAACATTCAGCATATTCGTAACTTAGTTGTAGGTGATTCTTACAATTCGAGCATGATACGTACATGAATCTTGTAATTCGTACATTTTTCTTAACCCATTCCTGGCATTCTTCATATTTCTCAACCCGATTAGCCACGAAAGTTTGCATTATTGGCTGAATCATCACGAATTTCTAAAGTTTCCGATTTGGGATATTCGTGGTCATAGTGAAAGGGTGGCATTAGGCGGCGTTTACACAGTGCCGATTATGGCTCCCGTTTGAGATCAGACAGCGCTACGACACGAAAAGTGAAAAAGTCGGATTACTGTCATCAATGATCTGGAATGTCCTATCATTTTCTGAACGCAGTCGTATACGTTCGTAACAGAGTCTTACGGGCCGGGAAAAGCCGGAGAGGTCGGCCAGGCACTCCCAACAGTATTGTGCGTTTGGGAAACTCAGCCGATTATGTCTAGTCGGATTACAATCGTGACTATGCCGTTGCAGATTCTACTGTATCGGATCAAAATCGTAACAATGTCCTGTGTTGTCTGGACGGTGTCATGTGGAGAGGGACGCAGCTGTCATGTTGAACGGGCATCATTTGGAGAAATTGTTCATTGCCGTTTCTTGTCGAGATTGCGGCCAGATCTTGCCGAATGCGAACCGTCTTTGTCGGTTCACTGTCCGGCCACTCTCTAACCTAATCGCATTCGGGAGAATCGGGACGCTGTCGGAACTGATTCGGACGTTTGTTAACATGCGGAAGATACAAATCGGATCAGATTCGGATTGAGAACGGGATTATCGGGATGAAATCGGCAGTAAACGGCTGACTCGGGACGCTTCCTGAACAGTATCTGATTGTTGTTTTTAAATAAATGTTTGTACAATTTTAGGAATTTCCCATCACGAATCACAGGATCTTGATCAGAATTTAGACAAATTTTCATCGGGAATGGTCCTTTAATGGACGACAGTAAAACTCCTGGATGTGTAACTGATCCCTTACACCACCAGTCGCTTGAAAGCGAGGGCATGCTCAGGCAACTTGCTTTGAATTAAAACCTCGATCCATAGCATAATACACTTACACGTATATATGTCGTGTTAGGTCCAGATGTTCTCTGTGGAGGACAATGCACCGGGGCCATTTCCAATCTAGGTCTCGATGCCTTCACTTGTGTCTTGCATAAAACTGAGAGAAACTATATGGACAATTGAATACTAAAGGATATATATCATAAACTTCGCAGACAAAGTGACTGACAGACTGTTTTCAAAAGCCCCAGCATGTCTGATTTAGGCACTATAACACTTAAAGTTGATTACCCTTACAACGTACAATAAAAGCGACACCTTTCCTTGCCATAGGAAGCAGAGTCAATTATATGATACCGCCTGCATCATTAGCATGTGTTTATGAATCACTGTCAAATACAAAAGATGCCAAGGTGAACGTATCCTGCCCCTCTGGTGGTACCCGTCACACACATGCGCAAAACCACATTTAGATTTAGGCTGGAAATCGGCGCAAGATTGGGGTACAGACCTCCTTTAAATGAATCAAGTCAAGCCTGCGATGACTGCCAACTAGCCGGTTATGTAAATTACCCTTTAGATACACCACATCCTTCATTATGTAAGACCATGATTAGGCTTGGTACAAATTGGCAGACATGATCTATTGCATGAGAAAGATGCATGAGAAAGATGTCTCGGACGGAAAGACGAGGAACATTTTGAGGTAAAGGATAGTTGTGACACCGGATGTCTGAAGATCTCTTCATGGAACACGACACACACAGGGACCGACACATGCACGGGGGAGTTGGAACTGGAACAGTGTCCCGAAGCGGAAGGTAAAAGGTGAACTTGTATAATACCTATGGATAGTATACATGTAATGTTTCAGAAACTGTTTTAAATATTTCCATCATTACATTTGCATATATATGCATGGCAAAATGCAAGCGTAGGTATATTTGAAAATTTCAAAGTAAAGTATTACATTAAGCTTGTGGTTACAAGAGGTGATGATCACTCACAGGATCCGAGTCAGCGTTGTGTGTCTAGGAGGAGTATCCATATTAAACTGCACGATCTCAGTGGGCTAGCACAAGGAAGTCTGGACAGTACAATCAGTACTCCAGTACTCACTCTGATCTACATCTTCAGAAAAGTCACATGGCCAGAGCGATGGTAAAGGATAACGAGACTGTTAGTCTACACTTGAAGGAACGAGATAATCCTAATATTTGTAATATGCAATTCTTTTAAAACAGTATAACATTATAAGTTGATTTAATTAATGTTAAAATGTTAAACCAAAAGCGTTTCCCCTGCTGAAGCTTTCATCGGCACATACCTTTCACCGGACATTACCGTACTCATTATACTATACTGAGGTTCTATTGCATCGCTGTTGAATATGCACACTCTGGTTATATAATCTGAATTCACTTTCGTTGAATATATTAATATTTACACATGTGTTCTTATTGCATCGTGGTGAATATACACATTGCATTTATGAACTCTGAATATACTGCGGTTGAACATTCAAGTATTTACACATGTAGTCTTAATGCATTACTGATTTTTACACATTATCTAGTTATGCTCTAATACACTGTTGAATATAATAATAGTTTACATGCCACCTTTAAAGGACAATGTCGAACTCGTATTGATATTTTAATATTTACTCACGTCTTGCTGGCGTATTGTTGAATGTTTCAAAGCTTATAACTTCATCGCTGTTGCATATATATGTACAGTCATAATCGTATTACCTAGACATTTTTTATTGGACAGCCTCCAGGGAGAGGAAGTTATTGGTACGATCCCGCGTCATATCAAACGACGTGAAAAAGTCGTGACATTGCTGGAATATTGCTAAAAGCGACGTAAAACTATACTCACTCACTCACTCACTCACTTAGAGCCATCAGATGGCCAGCGTGATTGTCCGGAAATAACGAGACGGTTGATTGTTATTTACACGAGTACTGCCAATCCTATTAATTGTAATCAATTGTTTTTAATCAGTCATATTACACTGTCATGACTGGACTCAATCAATGCTAACTGGTTTTGATCAATGTAAAGGGCGAGACTGTTCCAAAGATAAATGTGTTCAGCTGGCACAGCTTGCCGCGCCGTGTCACATGTCTTTAGCAATGCAAATTAGGTGACTATTTTCTAGACTTCTGTCGATGAATTTATTAACAGTTTAATTAATCCCATGATACCTGTCATGTCTAGACTATGCTGTATTTTGACTTCTGTTTATCTTAATAGTTCACAACTACAACTATTCTAAGCGACTCAACCGACCCACTCTGATATTAATATGTAAATTTAACCCTGTGTGATATACTAAAACAATATCTAGATAGTAAAATTCAAGCAAAGACATGTTTGTTATTTTTTCTTAATGTTTAACTATCTCGAATACATTTAATGTGTTAATGAATCCATAAACGATTAACTGTTAGTTAATCGTAGCCAAGTCGGGATATCGAGTTGGAATTGGCACCGTTGATTGCGTGTCCTAGCAAATAAAAGCGACAAACCACTTTTTATAATCATACGAAATCACCGAAAAATGCAAATATAGAGTCAATTGTATGATTCCGACAATGTCATCAGCATGTGTTTATGAATAAAAAAACAAACAGTGATGATATACGTACACGTATACTGCCCCAATGATGGCACCGTCACAGACATTGATGAAGGCAAGTCGATTATTGGAAATGGAAAAAAAAACTCGGAAAAAATACCAAAGTATGTGAACTTGACTTATGTTTGTATTGTATAACGTATTGTTGAAAATGGAAACCTTTTGGAAAACAATTACCAAAGTTGCTCAACGTGAAAGTTGGAACTAAGATATTCACCTTGAAGGCAACTCCATCTCTGTTTGCTTGATTGATTTTGAAGAAAGTATTTCCCTTTTCGATGTATCAACAAGCACAGCAATGGTGACATGAGGTGGCTCCATTCACCGCACTCATGACAAAAGCCAGATTTTACAGGCTTAAATGGCTACAGCTGCTGCTGACAACTCCCTGGCCTGCCTTATTAACGATTGAATGGCTGGCGTCCAGGAATTGATGACAGTGAACTTGCTCTATCCAATGTTAAAGTTGTAGACATTTTAACAATTACAGCAAAATAGCATAACTGTAGAATAATTGCTTATTTTATAACGGGGCGGTGGGGTAGTGTCGTGGATAAAGAGCTTTCTCGTCACGCCAAAGACACGGTTCAAAACCGCACTTGGGTACAACACGTGTCAAATACACATGTGAATGCACGTCACTATATAAGTGAAGTGTTTTTGAACACGACGTTAAACCCCAACCACCAACCTTCATAGCTCTCGACATCTTCAGGGCAATTAGGGGCGGTGGGGTAGCCTGGTGGGTAAAGCGTTCACCCGTCACTCCGAATGCCCGGGTGCTGTTCCCCACATTCGTACAATGTGTGAATCCCAAGTCTGGTGTCCCCCGCCGTGATATTGCTGGAATATCGAAAAAAGCGTCGCAAAACTATACTCACTCAGTTATATACTAACATGCAGCAGTCCCTGATTATCAAACGCATTACCCTGTGTCTGTGTATCCTGTCTACAGAAGTTACTATCCTTAGCCCTTAGGATAAATCAAATAAGTTACTGTGTGGAGTAACTGATAAGAGGCGAAGCCACAGTAACGAATGGATCAATGGTATTAAAAAAAAGTATCATCACAGAACAGAAGACCTTATTTAACCTCTCCTCTCAACATAAATGCTAACTTAGCGTAAATGATGCTGAGTGTATATCCTGAAATTTTAAAAATAGAAACACTTTAAAGGCAGCGGTAAAGATCTGACTATAACTTTCTGTTTGTCTTCATCAGTGTAGTTTGTTTTTCCTTATTTGCTGACCCGTGAAGATTCCGGGGTAGAATAGGTCTTCAGCAGCCCATGCTTGTCGTAAAAGGTGACTATGCTTGTCGTAAAAGGCGACTAACGGGATCGGGTGGTCAGGCTCACTGACTTGGTTGATGCATGTCATCAATCCCAATTGCGTGGATCGATGCTCATGATATTCATCACTGGATTGTCTGGTCCGACTCGATTATTTACAGACGGCCGTCATATAGCTGGAATATTGCTGAGTGCGGCGTTAAACAACAAACCAACAAACCAACAAACCTCATTTGCTACGTTGTTACCTGCATCATCCAACATCCTTACATTCCTCTTTGTACCGAGTGCCCCTTACACCACCAGTCGCTTGAAAGCGAGGGCATGCCCAGGCAACTTGCTTTGAATTAAAACCTCGATCCATAGCATAATACACTTACACGTATATATGTCGTGTTAGGTCCAGATGTTCTCTGTGGAGGACAATGCATCAGGGCCATTTCCAATCTAGGTCTCGATGCTTTCACTTGTGTCTTGCATAAAACTGAGAAAAACGATATGGACAATTGCATACTAAAGGATATACATCATAACTTCAGCAGACAAACTGACTGACAGACTGTCTTTTAAAAGTCCCTGCATGTCTGATTTAAGTCATACTAACACTTAGTGCTGCTTCGTATTTCCTAAGTATGTCAACTTAAAGTTGATAATTACCCTTATGACGTTCAATACAAGCTATCCAAAGAAACAAGATTCTAGAAGCAAAGTCGACTGTCCGATTTCGACTGCATCATAAGTATGTGTTAATGAATCACTATCAAATAGCAATGATACCAAGGTGAGCGTATCCTGCCCCACTGGTGGTACCCGTCACATATTTGCGCAAAACCACAAAACGATGTTTATCCTTATATTTGTATTATGCCATGCTTTTAAAACATTGTACTATTTTAAGTGGATTCAATTAATGTTAAAACTGTTTTTGTTTATTAATGTTTAATTGGCTGTTCCTAGTATTACTTTGTTTCCCTGTAAAAGCTTTCCTCGGCATGTATCTTTCCAGGACATTAGCCTACTCATCATAGTGAGTATAGCAATATTCCAGAAATATCAGGGCGTGGGACGCCAGAAATGGGCTGCACACATTGTACCCATGTAAGAGATCGAACCCGGGTCTTCTATGACTCTATGTGTTAGAAGAAAGTGAGCGTAACTTCCTCCACCTGTGGCATACGTCACAAACACATGCAAAGGCAAGTCACCCATCTTAGCCTACTGTCTTTTTGGGAAGTTTTTTTGTCACCCTGAATAATGTTGTCACAGATGCAAATATGAAACTGATGAGGCTGTTTCACTGGTCTCTATGTGTTCATTGAACAGGCAGGTATATCATTTGAAGGGACCTGGGTATTTGCCGGGATATAATGAACGATATCAGATCATCGATATACCTGCAGCTAAAGTAAAACGTCTTGGCCAAATTTTCATGTTTTGATTTTACCGATTCGCAAAGAGACTCGTATGTATTCAGAAACCGATCTGCTAGGAAGGGAACTGGTACCCATGGATATGCCTACTACTTGCAATCACACATACATGTAGGCGTCATCAATCAAGTCAAGCACTTCACATTATGTATTCTCAGTAAAATTCAGATGACATTTTCTTTCATTTCAAACACAGTCGAGCGTTTAAAAATATGTCCTTGTTATCGACATTTACTGAATATTCGACACGGTTGCATGCATTTTCTGGCAGCTAGGATGAACAAGAACTGTATTGAACTACTGGTCAGGGCAAGTCTTTTATTCCTGTTAAGGCCTGATACAGATAAAGTGCATGTATACATATTACATTGGTGCATGGATTCACAAGTAACTTATATCATAGTATATATTCTAGTGTTTGCAAAACTTTGTCTCATTTCATTACTTTGACATGGATATTTACATAAGTTTCTTAATAACCTTACATCGTTCGAAGACAGTAGCGTTTTAAGTTTAAAGATATTCGGATTATGGCAATACATTCCAGGCAGATAGAGGTGTCTTATATTTTCAAATGTTATTTTTCATACTTTGCCAATTGACAGTTTTACCTCGAGTTTCGTCTCGATCACTTTGTCGTCACTCACAAACTCGCTCCTCACAAGGGCTGGAATGGCATATGTTGTTTTTAAGGGACAATAACACGGAGGTCTCCACCACTTCGCGAACACCCAGTGTCACCATTGCGATGCAACAGTATTTTAGGCATTCTGTGTCTAACATATTCCATGAGCACAATGTTTACCAATACGCAAGTGGAGATCTACGATTCAAGCTACCAGTCAACTCAACACAGGCGTACATGTAGCTGTTGAGTTTCATTATTCATGATTGTTTTCAGTTCTTTTATTCAGATTCACTGTGGATCCTACCAAACCGAGAGACTGAAGTGAGCGCCATTGTATATAATTATGAGCAAACAACGCAGAACACCTGAAGTCAAAGACAGAATGGAAATGGACGGAGGATACGGATGGGTGATAGTTGCAGGTTAGAGAGAATGAGTAAATATTGTGTTAGTGAGTATGGTTTTACGCCGCTTTTAGCAATTTTCCAGCAATATCACGACGAAGAACACCAGATATGGGCTTCTCACATTGTACCCCTGTCGGGAATCGAACCCACGTCTTCGCGGTGACGAGCGAACACTTTAACCACTAGACTACCCGACCGCCCATATATTGTGTTAAGCTGAATCAGTATAATTATATGCGGCTAGGAAGGCTTGGCCTCAATGGTATGGACCGACCATTTGATATTCTCGGGACAGGCCGGTGCCTTGGATTTTATCGAAAAAAATATATTGTCCTTGAAAATACTTTGTATAAATAATTATGTTTCGGTATGAATAATATATTACGTAATGCCATTAGAAAGTGGTCAAATGAAACAAATGTTGTATTCTCAGAAAACTGCGATTAGGAGAAATATTGGTTTGAATCCCGAATGGGACTCAACCAAAAAAGTACATGAATTTGTATTTTACTAAGAAAGTGTTATCCCAAATATAACATTTGTAACATTTGACCACTTTCTAAATGGCATCGCTTTTTGGTAGCTTTCGGCCATCGGAGCCGTTACGGTACCAATTTACAGTTGTCAGAGGGGTACACAAAGTACGTGATCTAGACTACCAATTGTCGGACTTACATATTTTTTTGTGGAAGCCTCGGTGGCTGAGAGGGTTAGCTCGCTGTGTGCTGGCCATTAGGTGCCTCACTGAGAATGTGGGTTTGAATCGCGAATGTGACTCAACCCAAAAATGTACTAGAATGTGTACTTTACAAATAAAGCGTTATCCCAAATATAACATTTGTTTTGGGTCCCTACTTTCAATTTGTAAAATAAATCTGGTTTTGCAGTTGTAGCTGAAAAGAAATATCTTGTCTCAATACAAACATATTTTCTTTGTATAATATTTTAATGTAAAAAATACATACTTCATCATTTCAGCTTGTTTTGTAAACAACATGCTCGTTATTGGCCTCATCAAGTCCTATGGGATACTGTTTGTCCAGTTTCTGAAGCGGTTTCAAGCATCAACTTCAGTGACATCAGTAATCCTTGGTATCAAGGCTGTGGCTTTCAGCTTTTCGGGTAGGCATCCATGTTGACTATAACTGTGTGTTCTTATATTTGAGTAAATGGCATTTCCAGTTTTCACAATCAAATTTTGATTAAGCCAACAAAATTATTTCTGACGATTCTGATCAACAACGACTGAGTGAGAAATCCGCCCAAACCATGCATCAGTCATATCAACGTTTGACTTGACTCAAAATTGTGAAGACATGTCCATCCCTCTTATGTACTGGAATCCATAACAGGTTCCACAATATAAAAACATCAGCACAAAGTAAGATGTATTGCTGGGTCCAACAAATGTATTACCAAATACCTTAATAAATCAGGTAAGGTCAGAACTTCTTTTATATTCACATAAAGTGTTTGAGACAAGTGGAATTAATACCATATGAATTCTCAAATACTTAAACAATTTCGTTGCATTTGTGCAATCTCCAAGTTCAATTCTGACAATACAATTGATTTTTCAACTCTGTACACCACTTTCTCACACGATAGATCTTAGTGTAAACTTCATTTACTGATCCATTCGTCACTAAACATGGTGACCATAGATACTCTTACATCTCTATGTTCACGACAATTTGACAAACATAATAGCAAATGACATAAGAAGTTTACTGAGAAAATAACATGTAAAGCACTTGACTCCTTTAGTGATAACCTCCATATGAAAATTGGGATTAAGGCGGTTCATGATGCGCAAGATGAAACTGGCTTCCTGTTATATGTTTGGACCTAATCATAAAGATTCAGAGAGACAAAAAAAACTTCACAAGTTTGAATGACAGGAGGGATGCATATGTTTGTGACTGTTGTCACTGGTCGGGCAGGAAACGCTCACCATACCCGCGGAAACCGGGTATCATCACTATGTGATAGCTGTTCATAATCACATTCTTACGATATAGTCGGAATCATACAATTGATTCTACTTTTAGAAGATATTTCTTATGATCTTGGAGAAACAAATGTTGCTTCGATTATTTTCGGTGTCGTGGACATCAGGTTATACATGTGATTCATTTATTGCAGCTATGTTAGCCCTAAATATCTTAATCACCCGGATATCAATCAGGAAGTTATCCCTTGTCGGATCAGCCTTGACATCCGCCGGCATCTTGCTCAGTATGTTTGCAGAGAACGTGGCCTTCATCATCTTCACTCAAAGCATCCTCACAGGTGCGCTGAAAGCTGTAAGGTGTATGTTCATGCGCAACTGCATAACGATTAATTTTGTTGTTGTTTTGGTAAACCAAAACATAGATTTAAAATCCTTTAATTTGAGCAGTAAAATAATGATGAATAATTCGTTGTTCGAGATAAATGGTGTGCCCATATTAGACTACAGCTCAAATATTAAATCTGAGGAGTTGCATCGTCTCGAAAGAGAGGATGTAAACCATCCTCTCTTTCGAGACGATGCAACTCCTCAGATTTGAAGTTCAAGTTCGAAGTGCATGTTGATTTAATGAGTTGGTATTTGATTAACGGTTGTTTCTTATTTACTTCTTTTTTTATCAGGACATGGAAACATTATGAGACCACAATGGTCTTTTTATAAATCTTCGACGTGGCACAATTGTTCTAATAATTTTGAGCACGTTTGGAGGAGAGTGAAATAGTTTGACACATCAACGACGATTGTGATCATGGCCAAGGTAACCTACATATAGTTTACTTTCCTTGCAGGTTTAGGAAATGCATTCGTGTACGGACCAGGAATCTACCTCCTTGGACAATACTTCGACAAGAAACGCCCTCTAGCGATAGCAGTAGCCAATTCGGGTATCAGCGTAGGCCTGATGGTGTTACCTACCCTCATCACATACCTATTTGACGAGTTCGGGTTCCAGGGTGCGCTTATGCTCTTGGGCGGGGTCATGATGCAAACCGTCGTGTGCGCAGCCCTCTTCAGACCACTTCAGCCTAAGGAACTGGGACTACCAAGATCATCACCAGACCCTGATGACATAAGCGGTTCACCAGCACCAAGCCCGGCCACTTATGTTAATACTGACAAGGAATTGGAAGGATCAAATGAAGAGAAGACATCATTTATAGGAATGTCGCGAGGGGATAAAATGCAAATAGCTTCAGCTGATAATTCCTGTTGCCGTGCTGTCAGAGGCTGCATGGCAACTATGGATCTCTCCTTGTTCAAAAATCCCATTTTCGTCTGCATTCTCGGCTTCTCCTTTTTTGGCCTAATTGGTAACGAGCTGTCAGTAGCTTTCATTCCTTCCCTGGCTAAGGAAAAAGGACTAACGGACATGGAGACAGCATATCTCTTCACTGTGGCAGCCGCTCTAGATCTCTTCAGTCGACTCCTACCAGGAATCATTGCCCAGTTGCGACTCATGACACGACCCAAGATGTTGGCAGGCGCCTTCGTCATCATTGGCATCCTCTTCCAGTTCACGGCCTATTACAAGAACTTTCAATTCATGCTGGGTTTCATAATTGTCTATGGAGGATTTTCTGGATTCTTTTTCTCTCTTCTACCCGTCATTATAATCGATTTAATTGGACTTGATAAATTCCCCAAAGCTTTTGGATTTGTGCAGGTGTTCCAGGGAATTGCTGGAGCGTTAACCTATCCAGTTTTAGGTAATGGGATTTTCTTTCATGTATACTGCTCTTTTTCAGGGGGAGTTTAATTATTCCACAATTCTCCTGCTCACATATGTTAGTTGATTGTTTTGTTTATTTGTTGTTTAACGCCCCACTCAACAATATTCCAGCTATATGACGGCGGTATGTAAATAATCGAGTCTGGACCAGATAATCCAGCGAATCACATCATGAGCATCGATCCACACAATCGGGATAGATGACATGCATCAACCAAGAGAGTGAGCCTGACCACCCGATCCCGTTAGTCGCCTCTTACGACAAGCATAGTCGCCTTTTACGGCAAGTATGGTTTGCTGAAGACCTATTCTACCCCGGATCTTCACGGGTCGCTTACAAATGTAGTATGCATATGTAGATGTTACTGGTATGCCATGGTTGTCCTAGTTCATGCATACGTATCATGTTTCTTTCATCGAGTGCCGGGGGTGAAGAATATATTTAGCGACGAGTGAAACTTTCTCCCTTCAACCGTCACTCGTTGGGAAAAAAACATGATATTTGACGAGACACATGGAATATCCTATTTATTATATACTTGTGTAGTTGTCTACCGGAAATTATATTTTTTACAAATGGATAACCTTGAAACGTAAATTCTCTCTACCCAACACGCAGGGACGTTTCACCATCCCTTTTTAATTACGAAACCGCTGTTGGAAGCGATGGAATACACGCAGGCCAAGTAACAAACAGTCTTGAATAAGGAGTTAAATGAGAACATTACAGTATATAATCCATAAATGACCATCTGAGCATTATTTTGGATTGTCAACGTGAAACTTACGTAAAAAAGAAGTCAACAGTCTGTGTATGGGCCAGACACTACGGTAATTTAAGGGGAGTAGCTCTTGCATGACAAAATGTTATTTTCACTGTAGTGCATTAATATCAAGTGTTATGTTTACTGCAATGAAAAAATCAAAACATGAAAAGTTTTCCACACTAAAGTACACAATAAACAGTCTTAATCCAGATTAACTTCAAGTGAATTTGTATCGTCATATAACGTGTTCACTGAAATGCAAGTAACACATTCAAAAGTTTTATTCAAATATTTGACACATACTTAATTGAAACGATTATTTAAACAAGCACTTGATCGAACTCATTGGCAGTCCATTTCCGTTGGTAAAGACGTTCGCTTGTCACGACGAAAACCCGGGTTCGATTCCCTGCATGAGTACAATGTCTGAAGGACATTTCTTATGTCCCCAAAAGTGATGTTGCTGGAATATTGCTAACAGTAGGGTAAAACCATACTCGCTCACTACCTCCATCAAACATCAAACATATATCCTGATCTGCATCATTAAGGGAGCGGATTTCAGACATACACGGTAGAAGAAAGCCATATACATAGACACATTAGCAGATGTTTCGGTGACTCGCTGGGATGGCCTCTTTTCTCGAAATGGTAAATATTTCAAACACATTTACCTTTCCGGTAATACATAATTATTTACTATTTTAGCCCCATCTATGTTTTACCTCCCTGTTAGACTGAAGATACAAGGTGGTCAGCAAGATGACTTCCAATTTCATTTTTGAAAGTCAAGCTCTACTTTCAGGAACATTCAAGGACCTGACAGGAAACTACAATGTCACTTTCCATTTCCTTGGAGCTTCCCTGCTACTGGCCTCAGCTATCATTCTCACAGAACCACTCCTGCGGAGATGGGAAGCACGTAACAAGAACCTGACGGACAACGAAGTTGCTTAGTGTGATGTCATCTATAAATGTAACAGCTCGGAACGTGACCATGGAGCGCAGGGGTGCAACAGATGCTCGACATTCATGTTTACCCAGCCAACAAAGCATAAAGTCTACACAAATTACTATTAAAGTATCGACCCACATTGTACATGTGAATATAGATCCGCTAATTTTCAAAGGGCACATGCAGTATATATCATACATTTATGACAGGGGGACATTCGAACGAAGGGCCAAGGTTATTGAGGATAAGGATCGAACCGAAATAGGATCAATATTTAATGCTGCACGTTACGGAGAGCAAATGTGCAAAGTGGCAGCGTTTGGGCTGGTAATGCCGTGCGCTTTTTGGACCAGTATCAATAGGTTATTAGGCCTGCATTGGCAAATATATGCGATGTTTGATGAGTGCTGGCTTTCTCTTCTCTGATTCATATAGGCGGCAGTGCAGCCTTGTAGTCAACCGACATTATTGCAGTGTGTGATCACAGTTCTCTATATATTTTTATTCAAACAAGCGGGATGGTTCTATATTGTATGTTATAGTATGATATAATATAAGTATATGCTCCCGTGGTTATCGACCAGTGACACAATACTCTTTAAATGCGCTAATGTTGAATATATTAATATTGTAGTGGTATTGTATCACTGTTGAATATGCATACTCTAGTTGTATAATCTGAATGCGCTACTGTTGAATATATTAATATTTATACATGAACTCTCATAGAATCACTGCTGAATATAAGTAATCTAGTCATAGTCCTTCACTGCTGTTGAATAAATTAATATTTTTCTCTAAATGCATTACAGTTGGATATTTAAAAGTTTGTTATGGGACATAATTCCAACATTGTTGAGCATATTTGTCCATAATCGTGTTATGTAGTCGGTATTGGGTCATCTCTGTGGTCTGTGGATAGGGCGGAAGGTCGGTTGTCTGATCCCCTCTCCACATTATACCAGAAGTCAATCAAATATCGACATTAAGGTGACAAAACAAGGGCTTGTCGGCTCGGGGTCAGTACATTGTGTCTGAATCAGGGATCTATATTAAACGACATCATTGCAGACTTGTACAAGGAGCCACACACACTCGTGTAGGCACTCGCTGGGTGAGTGAAACCTTCAATCCTAGTTAACTTCACCTCACCTTATTTTATTGCAGTTTAATACATAGTCTGATTAAACCTCTTTTGAATATATCATAATGTTCTTATAACTAACTGTGCATGGTCTGCTGAACTGCTCACACTGGATTGCCTTGCACAGAGGCATCACGATTTAAAAGTGAGTGAGTGAGTGAGTTAGATTTAACGCTGATTTTAACAGTATTCCAGTTATATCACGGCGTGTCAGCTTAATGTGGGAGGAAAGCCCAAAGTGATGCAGTCGTCTAAGGCGCCGCGATTCGCTGTACAGAGTTGCGTCCCTTGGGCACGCCAGAAACCTATGATTGTGGGTTCGAATCCCGGTTCGCCCCAATTATGATTCTAGGTTTGTCAGCACCATACCCGTGCTCGTGGGTTTCACCGAAGTTGTAAACGTCTGAGACCTGCATCACTTCGGGCTTCCCTCCCACATTAAGCTGACACGCCGCGATATAACTGGAATACTGTTAAAAGCGGCGTTAAACCCAACTCACTCACTCACTCTGATTCTCTGGGCGAATGCCTGTTATTGCTGGCTTCAAAGTGTGAAGAATATGCCTTAGTCTGATGTTTCTGTGGACATCTTTACAATTTTCGCGAACACCTGGTGTGAGCAATGATTTTTCAGAGGTCTGTTCATACATTCCTAACCCCACGTTGTCTTTTACGCCCAATGAAATCTGCTTCTGTAGATAATCAAGACCGATTTAGTTTCTGGTTTGGACATTACTTATTTGTTTTTTTTCACTGGGCTGTCGGCAATATTAAAGATATGTGACCGCAGCCTGTAAATCGAGTCGGACCAAACCAACCAGTGGTTGACATAATGTACCCCGCCTTACGCACTCGGCAACTAAGTTTACATGAAGTTCGGGTAAAAAATACTTCACTGATAGAATTGTCACGATATCTCAAATATGATTTTCGAGTAGTTATTGATATGTTCTGAGCCTCACGTAAAAAGACTTGACCTAAAGATAGTGAAAGTAATTATTTTTCAACAAAATCACCTTCCACTTTTGACAGACTTTTGCCAACGATGGTGGATATTATCCCAGTGTCGTATCAGTCCTCTTGGCTGTCGCGAATGTTCTCGTGCGAATTCAAGCAGAAACACACATTTCACCTCGCGTCCCATAAACCTCGAGGGATGTGGTGTAGCCTAGTAGTTAAGGCGTTCACTCGTCACGCCCAATACCCGAGTTCTATACCCCAATCTATTTCTGGTGTATCCCGACGTGATATAGCTGGAATATTGGCATAAGACCATGCGCACTCACTGTCAAACAAAATCGCGAAAAGGTGCTGATACTTTCATCTATTGGGATCGATGACATGCATCAACCAAGTCAGCGAGCCTGACCACCCGATCCCGTTAGTCGCCTTTTACGACAAACAGTCACCTTTTACGGCAAGCATGGGTTGCTCAAGACCTATTCTACCCCGGAATCTTCACGGGTCTTCATCTTCGTAAATGACACTTAAATGATACTTAAATCTATGATGAAACTTAAATGATGTTAGTATGTTGTTAAAATACGGAAAAGGCCCAATGAAAGTAAGCAACCAACATGCTCCCAAACATGTTATTAAATTTACAGAAATTAAGTAATCACCCATATTTAAAATATTAATGTTTGTATAATCGAAATAGGGTCGCAAATTCACAAGACAAAATCACAACTTAGTAACGATACGTACGGTTATAATAAAACATTTGGAGATGAAAGTATCATTTACGTACAGGAAAGTATTATCTACCCAGATGATATATTCTTTTTAGACGGTGGCACTGATATGGTTCCATAGTTTACCGCTTGTTGTTTGTTGGTTGGTTTCACACTACACAAGGTTCTTCTTGTACGTACAGATTTCTGGGTTGACATATTGTTTCAATTTCGGAATCGACAGGTAACATGGGGCACGAAATACTGGAATAGGGCACCAAATGCAGGAATGGGGCACGAAGCATTGACGCATGCTCGCCCTTTTACAGCCTTTTCCATCTTAGTCAGATAGGGGTAGGGCCCGTGAAGATCCGGGGTGGAATGGTCTTCAGCAACCCATGCTTGCCGTAAAAGGCGAATATGCTTGTCGTAAAAGGTGACTAACGGGATCGGGTGGACAGGCTCGCTGACTTGGTTCATGCATGTCATTGTATCCCAATTTCATGATGTCAATCACTGAATTGTCTGGTCCAGACTCGATTAATTACAGACCGCCGTCATATAGCTGGAATATTGCTGAGTGCGGCGTTAAACCACAAACAAACAAACAGATTTGGGTAGATACCATCATTTTTATTTCACATTATAGCCCCCTGGTATTCTCTATCAGTACCAGGTGCGTAAGTAAGGAAATTCCCTTTGAGAAATTAACAATATAAGTTTACTCCTTAAATTGTCTATTGACTACACATCTCAAACGTCCGATATTACTCGACAATAATTCTTCATGAGACACGATACATTATTAACACTTGGTTCAGATGTGCATCTGTTTGATAGGGTAGTTTCAGTAAGGAAACTTTTCATTGAATGTTTCTTCATATAGCCGATCAAAACGTTCGCTCTGTGCCACAGTGAACCAATTCTTCCATTCGCCCGACTGACCTGTAAAACACAGATATTATACAGACATGATGTTAAAAATTCATTATTAAATCGCTTATACATGTACAAGGTGAAAGATTTATCGTAACTGCAGAAAAGGTTAACGTCATGCATTTAGAAGATACATAGGAATCCATATGAATAAAGCAGTGTATATATGGTGCCCATACTATAAGGCTAGTTCAAAGGTTGGTTGGTTGGTTGGTTTGATGTTTAACGCCGTACTCAGCAATATTCCAGCTATATGACGGCGGTCTGTAAATAATCGAGTCTGGACCAGACAATCCAGTGATTGATATCATGAGCATCGATCCACCCAATTGGGAACAATGACATGCATCAACCAGGTCAGCGAGCCTGACCACCCAATCCCGTTAGTCGCCTTTTACGACAAGCACAGTCACCTTTTACGGCAAGCATGGGTTGCTGAAGACCTATTCTACCCCGGAATCTTCACGGGTCTAGTTCAAAGGTACCCATCATAAATCCTTCTGTATCTTTAGGGGCGGTCGGGTAGCCTAGTGGTTAAAGCGTTCGCTCAGTCACACCGAAGACCCGGGTTCTACCCGGTACAATGTGTGAAGCCCATTTCTGGTGTCCCCCGCCGTGATATTGCTGGAATATTGCTAAAAGCGGCGTAAAACCATACCAACTCACTCTGTATTTTTAGCGCAATATTTAAAGAGCAATATATTGGTCTCGTTTGATTCCAACATGTTCGTTCTGGTATTTTTATGTCTTTATATTGTTCATATTCATTTAATTTTCTTTGATTAGGTAATCATTAGCCTCAAATGATCCATACAAAATATGTATTGTTGGCCTCTTGCATCGAAGTATACGGAGCGAGTTTATATGTGCTCATGATCAGAATAAAATATTTTATTTGAACATGCGTATTGAAGTACCCTTTCTAAAGTATCCACTTGATCCTTCTTGCCAGTTATTGTGATAGGTCTGGTCTTTAAGCTTTTCATTGGCATGTTTGAGATTTTCAAAACCGCATGCCTCGGCAATTTCACGGTACATTTCCTCCGACAGGGGGCGCTCAAGGTATTCTGCTATTCGTTTGACTATTGACACACTGTCCTGAAAAATATAATTTGATCAGATACACAGCAACGCTTCGCAAAACCCATAAAAGCATCTACGATACAACTCTATAACTGTGTAGGACCCGTATTAGTATTAGTGTTAATATTATTATTATTTACATATTAAAATGTTAAAAAATGGACCAAGGGGGTTTTGGTGATGGCACAGTCAGGCTGGTTAGGCTCATCATCAGCTCAGGGCCCTTGCTCCCTCTACACGCAGCCCAGACAGCGAATGGGACTTCCCCAAGGAAGCGCTGCCTAGTCAAATCCACCCAGAACTTTTCGGAGAATGTGAAGACTCCCCAACACTGCAGCCTTCTGCATTACCCAGATTGCCAGAAGGGCTTTATTCCTGGTAGCAAACCAATGTCAGTCAACAGATTTGGGAGGTACCAAACCTAAGGCACCGAGAACAATGGGGAGTCCGACAACTTTGTACTTTGGATGAAAGCGTGACATTTCGAAAGTGAGGTCCGTATATTTGGCATCTTTTTCCTGAATCTTGTCAATCACATTTCTGTCAAAAGGGTAAAAATATTTAACAATATAAATTATTTCATTGGATTTATCAAAAAGGACAAGATCCGGTTTGTTGGCCTGAATACGTCGAAGGCTGTATTCGGGCCTATTCCAAAGAATTTTGTATTTATCATTTTCCATGTACATATTCTGGCTCGTACCATGGATGGACCTCTGTGTCAAAACCACAAGCATGGCGAAGACGATAATATGATCGAGCCACTCCATCATATCGCTTTAGATACTGTGTTTGTGCCAAAGCTGGGCATCTGCTGTCAATAATCTACATTTCATATTTACATTTGGATTCAAAATCACACATTGACGGTTTCGAGTGGGAAGCGATTAATCCTGAGCAGCAAACAGAAAGGCCAGTCGACCTCATCCAAACGAAGGACTCGAAGCAGTGGTCGTTCAGATAGCCTCTTTTTGAAAAACTGGGTCTGGGCCGATTTTATTTGGCACTTCGCTTGACTGACAATCATTTCTGTACTGTCCAGTAGTAGAGGACCATCAACAAAATCAACATTGACATTGAGATTATGTCCCACTAACTTGGCTCATTTAAGAAAACTGTGGAATGCCTTGTTTTCATCACGTTTTCATACCCTAGATTTCTTGTTTCGTTCAATCAGCAACAACAAAGGGAGTTTGTCCCTAATCGGCCTCCCTAAGTACCTACAGGCCTGACCTTCCACAAGATGGATAATAACTCCTCCTCCAAGTACTCTGACTGATCCATCTCTTCTTCCTTTCCACGTTTCAGATGAACAATGTTGCATTTTCGAGTCTAAAGGATATGCCAATATCATAAGAAAAGGACTCGACAAGGAGAATTTGTTTCTAAGTGTGGATCCTCCGTTGGCAATAAGTTCAAGGTCATCCGTGTAAAGGAGGCGAGTAAGGGGTGTCAAACTAGATCTGCATGTACTTTTGACACATCATCGTGGTTCTATAATTTAAAGATCTATTGATATGACAGCTTTAAAAAAACATCAAACAGTCAATTCACTGATTTATCAACCTGGACACATTCTTCTCCGTTCTGTTGGAGCTCTTAACTTATCATTGGTGGGTTTGTTTGTTTGTTGTTTAACGCCGCACTTAGCAATATTCCAGCTATATGAGGGGCGGTCGGGTAGCCTAGTTGTTAAAGCGTTCGCTCGTCACGCCGAAGACCCGGGTTCGATTCCCGACATGGGTACAATGTGTGAAGCCCATTTCTTATGTCACCCGCCGTGATATTGCTGGAATATTGCTAAACGCGGCGTAAAACCATACTCATTCACTCACTCACTCCAGCTATATGACGGCGGTCTGTACATAATCGAGGCTGGACCAGACAATCCAGTGACTGACATCATGAGCATCGATCTACGCAATTTGGATACGATGACATGCATCAACCAAGTCGGTGAGCCTAACCACCCGATCCCGTTAGCCGTCTCTTTCGACAAGCACAGTCGTCTTTTGCGGCAAATATTGGTTGCTGAAGGCCTATTCTAACACGGATCTTCGCGGGTAGTTTGCTCTCGGTAACATTGGAAGACAAAATGGTGTGTTCGTTGTCGCAATGTAATATGTAATATTGTGTTTCTTTGTAGCACTGTAAGTTGTATTGTGGTGGGTTCCCTGTAGCAATGTCGGGTACAATACGGTGAGTTCACTGTGGCACGGTGCAGTGTACACCTTTCAATATACTTACCTTCTTCAATTCCTCAAACTGAACACGGCAGACATCAATATCTGTTACATTTTTCCACTGACGATCGTGTTCAAGAATGGACCCAAAAGGCGCTAAAATAGGAAGTGTATTTTTACGATTGTGTGACGTATCGTTGAAGTATATTTATGTACGACGTAGTACATGTCACAGCCGTAGCAGTAGTAGCAGTAGAAGTAGAAGTAGAAGTAGCAATAGTTGTAGTTGTGGTGGCAGTAGTGGCTCGCAGAGTAATGTCTGGTTATATAAATATAACCCTAAATCGAAACATAAATAAAATTTCCAAATAATATCGTCAAACGGATGAAAACAAATTCAAAAGGAAACCCGTTCGTGTCTATATTTGTGAAGAGATGAGAAAATAATCTAAACAAATAATCATGATGAAAATGTCACGTCTCTACTCGGTTGTCTGAGACTTAAAACACACACAGCTGCCCTTAAAAAAACCAGCTATTACCTCATTGTTGTCGTCTCTAGTGTCAGTTTCAGCAACAAAACAAGTAAAAAAGTAATTTAGCAACCGACATTTCTTAGACATACTCCTTCTGCAAGCGCACAGAGTATGTGTAATGTGTCAGCATGACCTTTTTACATGTATTCGAAAGCAAATATTTAACGTTATCAACATTATGAAGACTGATGTAGAAAAAGTGTTAATGATAATCATAATCAAACCAACCACATCCGTCTTGGTATAGAGTGACAAATTCGTCCCAGGATCCGCTGAAGGTATGTTTCCCTGCCGGGTTGTCCTTCCACACCTGCTTGCTGGCCTGAGAGAAGGTCGACACGGCAGCGTCCTTCGGGTTTCTATTGACGTAAATCACCTTGCTCTTCTTCTGCCATATGTCCCTTGGCAATTGTCTGGAAAACGAGATTAATGATTTGGATTTATATATGTATATATATTGCCCATCCTATGGTACGTCTTGAGTAATCTTACTCCTTTCTCACTCATTCTGATCCAGAGTGGAGATTATTGTTTCCGTATGAATACTGCGTCTAGAATAGATGACGTATGTGCAAGAAGTTACGTTCTCGATAAATGCGTCTCACGCACGCACGCACGCACGCACTAACTCACTCACTCACTCACTCACTCACTCACTCACTCACTCAGATTTGCTCGCACCCGCAATATGCATGATTATATCGTAAGTATAATCAGGCTGTTACTACCCAGGACGACGTTGAGTGTGGATTATCCTGGGGGACGGGAGGGCATCTATCTCCTGCTCTGTTCGGCAATCCAACCAGGAAATGTTCTGCCAGTGTTTAGCGTACGTTGGTTTGCCTGCCACGATCATGTGAACGATCTCCCAAACCCAGTGAGTACCTTCAAAAGGATTATTGAAATCTTTTTTAAACTCATGCTTGCTGAAAAATATGCCCTAGGGACAGGAACTGATTTTACGAAAATATGAAAACATTTCACCTCCCGTTGCGAGTTCATGTTCCCCATGTGCATATATTATAATCAATAAATCAGTTTAGTGGGCATATACACTTTAATGAAAGGCATGGCATGGCGATACACAAACACACTAGTGCAAGTACAGAAAGTGCACATATACGACTAGTAAGTAAGGTCCGTACACACGAATATCTTTTAGCCGTAGTATATGTCTGATAGAACAGGAGAAATATCTCTTGAAACGATGTTCTAACTAGAGATAATTTTTAATTAGCATGTCAGTAAACTAATACTTGTATATTGAATTCGTTTATTCGACAAATGTATGTAACACGGTTTGAACATATTTTATATCAAAATGAATAGGAAACGATACTGGCTGAAAAGCCCTTAGCCAACAATGACACAGTTGTGGCCTGCTTGGCTTCAGGGCGACCGAATTGGGGACAAGTTACTGTTTCATGAGGCCGTAACATAGTAGTAGTTGTAACAAATGTTATGTCTGGGATAACACTTTCTCAGTAATGTACAAATTGATTGAGTTCCGTCCGGAGTAGTAGTAGTCTAGATCACGTACTTTGTGTACCCCTCTGACAAGTGTAAAATGGCACGCCTCCCATAGCGGAAAGCTATGAACACAGGGTGTTTAGAAATTGGTCAAATGTAATAAATGTTATATTTTGGATAACACAGATAAGTACAGATTCTCGTGCTTTTTCGGGTTGAGTCCCGTCCGGGATTCGAACCCACACTGCCAGAGTGAGGCACCTAGTCGCCAGCACACAAAGTCAGCGATCTAACCCACTCGACCACCGATGTAGTAGTAGTTGTAATGCATTTATATTGAAGTTGAGGACACCAATAACTTCTCTGGATCTGACCTGTCTTTGGGAATGTACAGATATAGATGTCGTCATCACGGACGTGGCGAGACCTCATCGTCTTCATCTTGTCCAACAACAAGGCAGCCTCCACAGCACCATCAATCATCACAAGGTCTATGCTCCAGCCAGACGCCATTGCTCTATCTGCCGGAGTTGCCATCACGAACACACAGTATCTACCAAAACAAAATACGTCCATGATGTTTATACTCCTTAAGGATGCTGCTTCTTAAGGCAACAACCGATTATCGGGAAAGGATTAATGTACCTTCAACAATGCTGACAATACATCTTTACACAACATTCACCTCAACATGACTTGTCTACAGAACATTGTTAATCATTCTTGTCGATACTGATGATCCATCTAAACATGTTGGCATTATCCTAATAGTGTTACGTCAGACAGTTTCTATTCTTTACATCACGATACTCATATATATGCATTACACACTACATGTACATGGGGTAAGTGGACATTAAATAGTCAAATGAATTTTAAATATGTATGTGAATAATTAAATGCTTGTTTTTAACTTTGGTGATGCTACTATTAACAGACATTATTGAAGGCTCTGTCCAGGAGGTTAAAGTACCGAAAAATATTGCACCTAGCTTTGGTTACTAGTGGCCTATAGCCCGTGTTTTAAAACTGTTTATATAATATTGTGATGCTCAAATATTTTTCATGAATTGTTTCTAAATATAGTATGCTCAAATATGTTTTACAACTTGTTTTTAAACAAAACCTTGCATTAATGACTAAATTGTAAATATATTAACTTGGTCTCGTCGCTATATGGCTGCGATAGTGCCGATGCGACGTTAAATTTTAACTCTCTCACTCACTTAATAGTCAAATCATTGAAAGCAACTACATTGGTGACTGGTAATTCTTTGGAGTTCATATAGCAGAATCTGGTTTCTACTTTGCTCTGTATTTCGTTCCTTCGTACAATCGCAGTCTACAAGACTTGCGTACGTCTTACTCGGTCAACGCCATTTACAGTTAAACAGATCAGCAGGACAGGAGCACAATTTGTGCCCATGTTTATGCCTGCTTCTTGCTGAAAAGTCCTATTCTCAAATTTCACATAGCTGTTATCAGCGAGGAATACCTGCATTGGTATCTCAGTAACTTGTTCTGACTCTTTGAAGACAGAGTTGATCGTTTTGTGAAACGGGTCCTGGAGAATACCCGCGATGTAAAATTGATGTATTATTTTACATAACTTGTGACAAGGTCATCTTCCCGAGGCAAGAGCGTTAACTGACTTTATAATTCAAGTTTCTACCCTTGCCGAACTAGACTGGAATTCCTGGCCTCGATCATAGCGCCACCAGTGTATATTACGAGTTATGTCCATTCTATGCCTCTCCCATATTGATAAATCAGATCCCACCTCTCGCATCACATGCATTTGCTTCAAACACAATGGTGACGCCCAGTCAAGACGATCTGATCGACCATTAAGATATATTTTGAGATAAAACGGTTCTTACTTCGCTAAGTACATCAAATCACTCGAGCACCTCGATTATATGCATGAACAGATTTGGAAAGTATCTGTTGACAACGAGTTGGCGATGCACATGTTTTGCAAATCCTGCAATCGACCGAACTCTGCATGACAGTTTACGAACCGAATTTCGATTTCGGTGCGCGATTTTGATTGGACTGTGCATAGACTGGACTGTCCAGCCAAAATCTAACTACATAATCCCAGCCTAGTTCGGCAAGGGTGGAAACTGGCCTTTTATAGTCAGTTAACTCTCTTGCCTCGAGAATATGGACAAGGTAGGCTACCGTTGTGTTTAAAGCGTTCGTTCATTAGGCTGAAGACCCGGGTTCGATTCCCTTCCGGGTACAATGTGTGAAGCACATTTCTTGATCTGTTGTGATATTGATATTGCTAGAATTCTGCTTGACGGCGTAAACTCCATCACTCAGTCACTTTAGCCAAGGCCAGGCACTCGGTAACCTTCCATAGTGCAAGTAACACACATAACCCTATATCTACTACTACTTAAAAAAATTCTCTTACCATTATGTATACATGTATGTACAGGGGCCAATGAAGAGGATACATTATCTTTTCCCTGGTATGTAATATACCAACAAGGAAGGCATAAGAGGACAGGAGCAGTCTGTAACGCGGTTGGTGTTCTAGCTTCTATTGGATTTTGTTTCATCGTACTTGCATCCCTCCCAAAAGAATGTGGTTAAAGATGGACCCTCTATCAATTATTGTTCGATTGTTTCTTGATAAAATGTATTTTCCTAGATCTCCGGCTTGATCGAATGATCATGCCTTTGAACCACTTTTTGATATTTTCGAAGACCTAAATAAATTGAGCGACAAGTGGCATGACTAGTACATGATCATTCATGGTGACTTTACTGCACGAACGGGATCCCTCCCAGATTAGATCGAGAATGGCAATCCTATATATCCCTGTAGAGGATGGCCTTAACTATACGAAGACGATCCTGTTTATCCTCATATCTCCCAGGATAAATTTGTCAATAGGTGTGGATGAGAACTACTATTTTTGAAACAGGACTGGTTTGAGACTCTGTACAGGCAGGCTTTCGGGGGATAGTGGGATGGGCATAGTTATTTGCTAGACTATGTGCTTTGTTCGGAAAATACATTCGATATGTAATATAATGTAAATGTGTGTGGGCAGAACGTTATAGTCTTTTAGTACCCGAGTAGATTTGGTTTCGTACGGATTTTCAGACAACAGATAATGCATTTGTTTCGGAAACAATTATTACTAAAATAACTTTCGGTATAAGTGAATGGTCTATTGTGCCTTTAACCACCTAAAGGCTGCCCTTTATTCTTATCAAGAAGTAGTTTGTTGTTTAATCTTTGAATTGCTAATATTAAGTGAAGAGCCTCTCGTTTAATCTGAAACATATATTGTAATGTATCTTTGGGTGATTGTTTAAGTGGTCACACAGCGTTTGGCTATTGGCGTTAGGCAGGGATGACAGTTGTCACTATTTCTATTTTCATTAAATGTAAATGATACATGTGATTACTTTGAAGTCAAAGAAGTATTGACATAGGCATATATTCATCTTGCTCTTTGCATAACGATATGAACTTCGATAGTACATATCGTCCACAAAGAAGACTTGACAAGTTATCTAAATACTGGAATAAATAGCAGTAAATGTTGATAAAACTAGGATCGTCCTATTTAAAAAAGGCTGGAAGATGACAAAAGTACGATAAAATGTATTTGAATGGAGACCGTCTAGAAATTGAACTGAGATACCAAAACCTTGGAGGCAATTTCTCAAGTATAGAATTTTGGTATGCAACCCAGAAACTATTACCCGAACAAGCACTGAAGGTGACTCGCATTGTGAAATCTAATCTATATGATTTTATAAACTTAATTACTAATTCATGTATTACTTTTGTTATGTTAAAATAGTATCTGATTTGAAGTAAAGAACAGACGTTTTGAGCTTGTACCCATCACTCGACATAGCCCTTTTCCATGATTATGATTGTAAAGCAATCCTTCAACTGGGTAGTAGTGACTCTAGGAGGACCGCCATCGTGGTCTAGTGTTGGAGCGCCCGCCCGGAGAGCGGAAGGTCCGGGGTTCAATCCCCGACCGCGTCATACCAAAAAACGTTATAAGATGGTACTTGTTGTCACCCTGTCTGGCGCTCGGCATTAAGGGGCTAAAACAAGGACTGGTCGGCTCGGAGTCAGTATACTGAGTCTGAGTGGGGTATTCATGTTAAACTGCGGCATGGTATCTCAGTGAGCTAGCACTATAAAACGGCATCAGTACGGACTAGTACAAGCAGCCACACACACACACACACACACACACACACACGTGCATGCACGTCGCTATATAAGTGCAATAATCTTGGACGCGACGTTAAACCCCATTACACCTCACCCCACCTTCAACTGGGTAGGGGTAATTGCACTGTGGCTCGTGGTGAGTTGAGTAGCAATATGATATGACTGAAGGTGCTCTTATTGTTGGGCATACACAGTTAAATCTTTATTATTTAGATATGAATTTTGACATGTGAGGGCAAATCCAGATGTTGGATGTTTTTACTTCTGTTCAGGAAAAGATTATTGAGATTGACAACCAAATGAAGATTGGAAATGTTGCCCTATTTTTTTAAAAATTGGATGTGGATTTGTATAGAAGTATTAAATCAGAAACTTCATTCGAAGAAGTATTCAAATGTATAAATCTGCACAGTGTAAACTCCGCTGCTCAAGACATAATCTCATGATAATAAGCGACGAAAATAAAACATTCCTCAAAATCAAAGATTATGTCTATTTTGAATAATTCTATGCATAAAATCAGAACTTCCTTTTTTTCCTCATATGTACATTTTATTGTGACCTTTGAAAACACACACACACACACACACACACACACACACACGTCGCGTCCTATCGACCAAAATTTATAAACATAAAACGTCAAGGCCATAAAACAAGCAGTTTCGATTTTCCGACGAATCAGATTCCACTGTGTGAAATGGGCAAAACAGCTGTGGAAATGGATCACTGATAATCAGTCATGACGCCAGGCGTTTATATAAAGGGTAAGAATGTCCTGCACACACCATTCACACAATTTGCACAACTTGCAACGAACATGTAATGTATTTGTTGCCAACCATGCACAACAGAGTGCCCCTGTCATACAAAAGGCTGTCGCTTCCCTGCACAAAATGGAGTTACTTGTTTGAGAGGCATTTAGAAGTTGGAGTCCTAAGTAAGGATAGGATTTATGGAGTTGTGGCCGGTTGATGTAATGTTAATCTATTACAACTGCTGCCACTCCTGTTCAAGGTGACATTTTGGGACGGTTGGGTAGCCTTGTGTTTAAAACGTTCGATCGTCACGCCGAAGACCCGGGTTCGATTCCCGACATTGGTACAATGTGTGAAGCCTATTTCCGGTGCCCCCCCCCCCCGTGATATTGCTCTGGAATATTGCTAAACGTGGCGTAAAACCAAACTCATTGCGTTCCACCAGAAACCTTGTGATAGAGAATGGTTTATCTTGCCAAAGAGGTCAGTCGTGATTGACACACAGTTAATTTTTCGCCATCTGTCTCCTTCCCCTTAAGAATCAGAATCCAAGTCTTGATAACGGTCGACGAAATATCGAAGCTTGAACATAAACTTAGTCTATTAACTGCTTCTCGACGATAGTAAACAACCAAAAGTAGTTTCATACTATTAAAGTGATAATAGATACATGATTTCAAAGATTTCACTGCCCAATATTGTTGAATGATTAATCTGTATTGTTAGCATGAACTAAACCAAGTATCTCCTCGGTATTTCGTGATTCGTTCTTATTTAATATCTCAGTCTTCAAGAGATCAGATTGAGTGAGTGAGTGTCTATGATTTTACGCCGCTTTTAGCAATATTCCAGCAATATCAAGGCGGGGGACACCAGAAATAGGCTTCACACATTGTACCGATGTCGGGAATCGAACCCGGATCTTCGGCGTGACGAGCAAACGCTTGAACCACGAGGCTACCCGACCGCCCCAGATCAGATTTAGAGTTGAATGCAAGCACAATTGAATAAATATTGTGTTTTCTCCCATTTTGACTGTTTCAACTCCGTATCCAGCTTACCCTTGGACCTGGGGTGATAGGTGGTGGGGTTACGCCGCACTCAGTAATATTCAAGCTTTATGACAGCGGTCTGTAAATAATCGAGTCTGGACCAGACAATCCAGTGATTGATATCATGAGCATCGATCCACGCCATTGGCATCGATGACATGCATCAACCAAGTCAGCGAGCATGACCATCCGATCCGATTAGTTGCCTCTTACGACAAACAAAGTCGTCATTTGCGGTAAGCATGGGTTGCTGAAGACCTATTCTACCCCGGATCTTCACGGGTCTTAACCAGAAGTAAATATAGCATGTACTTCACTTGATACCAGAACTACCGGGACCCAAAACAATTATTCGATCGGCCTCTCTGACTGCACTGCAATAGTGTCTATAGAATAGGTAACCCGCATTATTTTCCTGTCTGTTAGAGGCTGCTATGGCTGACGAGGTGGGCAGACTCGTCACGGTGTATGTGTCAGCTTGGAAGGTTGATGTGAATCCGATTTTTACAGGTTATTTTGATATCAATCACGCACGCACTCTCGCAGTATGAATGCATCTATATAATTCGTGTCGACAATTATTTTGAAATCTAAATTGATTTTTTATATTCTATGACATGCATCCTTTCGCAATAACATTGCCAGTATTGACATAGATTTAACCAGAGCGACAGCTGCCTGTTGACATAATTGAATCAAACTGTTGCAGAACAAGGGGACGTCGATCCGTCGTAACTCGTCAATTGACACATATTTAGCTCAACTTTGCTTCACTTCACATGCATGATGTTTTTTTATTTGACGCCATTAAAATTTCAGTTTATACAAGCGGAGAATAGTTTCCTCGCTTCACTGACTATCATGGGAAATAACAAATAAACGCAAACAAAGAAGATTTTACCAAAAGAAGTCGTCATTGTCGTCATCTCAGGCTAAAATTGGCGTGGGGTCAACTGTCAGTTCACAGGTCAGTACCGAATTCGACCACCATTAGCAGAGACACGAGCTTGACAACGGCGCCTCATTGATGACACAAAATTGTTGAAGTAGGCTTGTGGGATGTTATTCAAGATCTGGACCAAGGCCAGTAGCAGCTGGACTAACGTCACAGGTTGATTTGGAAGTCGCCGGAAACGACGTTTCATTCCATCCCAAACATGTTCGATGGAGAACAGATCTGGACAAACACCAGGCCAAGTGTAGGGGTGTTCTGTTCTGTGACCGTTATCAAGACTTGGATTCTGATTCTTAAGGGGAAGGAGACAGATGGCGAAATATTTGACCGTTTGTCAATCACGACTGACCTCTTTGGCAAGATAAACCATTCTCTATCACAAGGTTTCTGGTGGAACGCAATGCCACCTTGGGTGAGTGATTGAGTATGGTTTTACGCCGCTTTTAGCAATATTCCAGCAATATCACGGCGGGGGACACCAGAAATGGGCTTCACACATTGCACCAATGTCGGGATTCGAACCCGGGTCTTCGGCGTGACGAGCTAACGCCTTAACCACTAGGCTACCCGACCGCCCCTGTTGTCCTATGAAGTCTGTCACAACACGTGCAACGTGGGGGCGCGCATTGTCCTGCTATAAAGAGACGCAGATGGGTCTGACGGAACGGGAGGGCGGATAAGTCCGTTATGGTATCGCACACCTGTTAAACTGATGACCACTTGAGGGATGATGCAGTGCAGTGATGCCTCCCCGAACCGTTACGTTCACATCACCGAAAGCAGAACGTTGAACAACACACGCGTCTTAACGTAACTTTCAATCAGACAGCCATCACTACTGTCATGACGTAACCTGGACTCATATGTGAAGAGGACAAACCTCCAGTCCTTTAAACGAAGACTCAAATGGACAGGTGTGGAGTTGGATGAGTGAGTGAGTGAGTTAATATTTAACGTCACATCGGCAGTATTTCAGCCATATCGTGACGAGAACTGACATAAAATACAAATGTTTGAATGGAATAAATATCTGTCTCGAAGGACAGTAAAAAATAACTAGAGTATCACAGTTTTGATTTTAAAACTAGTTGAGAACATTAAAAAGAATACATTTTCAATCAACAATACAATATAAAAATGGTCTATAGATCACCAGCAACCAAAGTTAGGTCACCTTACTGGGGACCGTGGGGACTTACAATACTTTTGCTACCTGCACGACTCCCCAGCAGGATTTACACCATCCCTTCAGCCGCTGGTGATTATATGCAATTTAGCCAACACTTAAAATAAACAAATATTCTACGTCTAAAACTGTGGCAAGAATAAATGTACTTTGAATGATGTGGTCTTACATATCCTCTCAGGGGGACAATAATTTTACGTTACTTCAACCCCCTTCGAGGATACAGCCACTGGACTTGGATGACGTGGTAGCACAATTGAAGTCACAGCTGGGCTTTGTGGTCGCATGTTATGCTCTCGTTATCGAGTCCTCAATGCACTAATAGTTCCTAAGCCGGGGATGCTGCAGTCTGAAACCGATTTCGCAGGTGAACCATACGAGCATGGTTATCTTGTCGACCTGACGTCACTCGTGGACGTACAGTGGTCGGTGTGTGGTGTTTTGAGTCTGTTGGTTCTGACCCCACCATGATCGTGTGATGTTATGATGAACACCAAAACGCCTTACAGCAACGCCTTGCGATTGCTCTGTGTTTGAATTGACTCGGCCCCACATGTTTTCTGAATGTACGAATTTCTTTCTTAAAGAATTGTAAAGTAGCAACCGGGATAGACATGCAATGTCTAGGCTCATCATTGCAAATCAAAACAAAGCGTTTGTACCTGTGCTTATCGTACATGATTCTGAAATATCCATGGCAATTGTATTTTATAGTTTATGGTGCACATGATTTTATTCCCGCTATATGACGTGGCATATCGAGTTTATTGTAGCAGAACAGTCGCAAGTGTCGCAGACCTAAGCCTTCAATTATAACCAACACATATTCAAACGTTTTAATTCAGACGGCGATTCTAACGACATGGTTATATTTTCAAGACCAACAACAGGAAGCCCGTTTTATTGCATTCATAGTGTGTACAATTAGCAACAACCATTTTGATGATGCCTGAAGTAAACTGAACGAAAACCTGATTGCATCATGTAGTCAGATGGACTTAACGTAACACCGTATATGCGTCACACAAAAGCGTCTCATGATAATGCTGGAGAAACGCCAGAGCTTAGCAGGTCGTGGATTTGACAATTTGGATGACACATCCAGATACAGGGTCTTGGACTATTGGGTTGTCTTTGCCTCCGAACTGACACAAAATGTTGCACGATAGTACGGCGAATCCAACTGCATATGCCCTGTGGGGAGTTCGGGTTTGGTCGTCAGCAACCCATGTCGGACAGGCTCGGTGGCATCGCGTGTACCCCGAAGGCGTAGATTGTTGCTCACATTGTAAAGGACTGCCATGGGTTGTCTGCTGGTCAAATCGCGATTATTGACAGGTGGCCATCGTATGGCATTGCTGCGTTAAAAAACAAACAACAACACAAATACACACGAAACATTTGGCAGGAAGACTGGTACAGTGCATGTTGCTTCAGGCTTACATAGGTTGGACACTGATAGTTCTACTGTTTATCCAGTTTATTTAATCTAATTTAATTTTCGCTGTGTTCATTGTAATTGACCATTGCCACTGACTTTAAAAGTCCAGTTTCCTCCCTTGCCGAACTAGGTTGGAATTCCTCGGGTGGATCGTAGCGCCACCAGTGGCTATTACGAGTTATGTCCCTTCTATGGACCAATCAGATTCCACCTCCCGTATCACTTGCATTTGCTTCAAACAAAATGGCGGCGCCTAGTGAAGACGATCTTGTCACGTGATCACCTTGATTACAAACATGAAAAGATTTAGAAAATATCGGTTGACAACGTGTTAGCGGTGCACATACTTTGCAAATCCTGAAATCGACCAAAATCTGCTTGACAGTTTACGAACCGGATTTCGATTTCGGTACTCGATTTTGATTGGACTATACATAGACTTATTAGACTAGCCAAAATGTAACTCCATCAGCCTAATTAGGGGGGTGGAAACTTGACTTTTATAGTCAGTTTACTCTCTCGCTTAGGGAAGATGTGTAACGGATAATGCGTCCAGATAAACCATGTCAGTCATTCATATTCACTGGGTCACAACGCAGGTCTCCGGGTAATACCAATTTGTAGACACGCAATATATAGAAAGTGGTGGCAGATCCATCCCTTTCATTAAATAGCAATACGACCGTGTTCGGGCCTCCTGTAAATGACTCCGACGCAACCAAGACGGTCGTGTTATCTTCAGCTTGAAGTGAGAGCATATATTCTCATAAAGTAATGTTTACGTTTCTTAGCGTCCTCTGTGCTAATATTTGTCAAAACGTAAATCAATATTAGTTACGAAAACTATACATGTCCTACCTTTAAGATTAAGTCCTCTGGTCTAGTCAGTTGGTGGGTTTATGGAACAGATATGTCACGTACCTTCTACTGTGACGCCAACATGATGGAGCATTATGCAAACTATGGCAACATGACTCAACATCGAACCATCTGCGGAAACAATGAGTCAGCAATTTGGAACTGATTCAGCAAAAAATGAGTCTGCAAGGTCTTTGCTCGATTAATACATACAAACATGAAAGCCTTTCTTCAACGAGGCAGTAATGTGTGCAAATTAAGCAGATTAGATGCAAATATGTCAGCATCTGCCATTTAAATTATGTACTCAAACTTGTGTATGGCTAAACCTACTTTATCGATGTCATCAAGGGACGGATCTTCCATGGACCTGTCCCCATTGTCCTCAGTATGGTGACCTCACCTTAGTTGCTGGTGATATATAGCCCAATTTTATCTATTGTAATGTTATGAATTGTCATATTTTATGGTTATGTACTAGTTTTAAACATATATCTGTGATAATCTAGTTGTTTTACTGTCCTTCATCGACAGATTTTTATACAGTTTACATATATGTTATTAAAGTCAAATTTTATCTCGTCACGATATGGCTGCAATATTGCCGATGTGACGTTAAATATTAACTCACTCACTCATTCCATGTACCTAAGCAACACACACCCTTGGAAAATGCGGTTAGAACACGTTCTCAGCAACCGATGCTGACTGCATGACCGACTGAATGGGTGGTCAGGATCGTTGCGCTTAATATCAATGACTGGCTTGTCTGAACCAGACTTGATGATTTACAGGCGGCCGTTCATAGCTCGGATATAGCTGACTGCTGCCTAATATTACTGTTTGGCGTTCAACAACAAACAAACAAACATGATAAACAACTACATGTACTTATAAGTTGCCCTCAACTCTTGCCAATGAAGTTTTTATTGACAGCTACACAATTCCATACTGCTTGCCAAAGTGATTCAGTTGTAGTTAATTCTTTTTACGAAAAATGGAACGTTTAAGTGGTTGGTTTGTTGTTTTACGCCGCACTCAGCAATATTCCAGCTATATGACGGCGGTTATATATAAGCGTTAGTCGCATCTTACGACAAGCATAGTTGCTTTTTACGGCAACCATGGGTTGCACGGCTGGCCCAGTCGTCTAAGGCGCCGCAATTCGCTGTGCAGAGTTGCGCCCCTTGGGCACGCCAGAAACCTATGATTGTGGGTTCGAATCCCGGTTCGCCCCGATTATGTTTCTAGGTTTGTCAGCACCATACCCGTGCTCATTGGTTTCACCGAAGTGGTAAACGTCTAAGACCTGCATTACTTGGGGCTTTCTTCCCACATTAAGCTGATACGCCGTGAAATAACTGGAATACTGTTAAAAGCGCCGTTAACCCAAACTCACTCACACTCACCGGGTCGAAAGTATAAGTGAGTTGGGTTTAACGCCGCATTGAACAGGATTCCAGTTATATCAGGTCGTGTCAGCTTGACGTGGGAGGGAAGCCCGAAGTAATACAGATCTTAGACATTTACCATTTTGGTGAAACTTACAAGGTATGGTGCTGACAAACCTTGAAACATCATAAGGGCGGTAAACGTATGAAAATAATTTTGACACAAAATGATAAATTAATAACATCAATTAATGTCATCGTCATTATATACCAGACTTCAAGCCTGAAATAATATCTACACCAACGCCAGAACATTACGTATCGATTATCTGCCGTAACAGATTCAATGGCCCTTTAAAAGCAAAATAGTGATGAAATGTAAATGAATAAATCATTGAAAATACCAGTCCTGACACCGAGTCAAAAGCAGATAGCACCCGCTACTCACATAATTTTCAAACAACATTATATCATCTCTTTCGGACTACCATACCTGATCCCTTCTTATTTATGCTGGTCTAAACCGGCAGTTAGCTAACCTTGGAAAGAGAAATACACCTAGGCTAAGATACAGGGTAAACATGCAGACAAACAAAGGATGAACGACAACGAATGCTTGGAGGGTTCTCATTATGCTATAAGATATGTTTGCAATGAAGACGCATGCTTTGTCAATATTTATAGCCGAGAGTAAAGGGTAAAGTCACACAGGTCACTGACATTTCCCTGCACATGTATGGTGTTGACAACCTTGGATGAACATCCTACAATCATCGAATCCGACAGCTCTCATTCCTTCGCGCTTGGCATGAAGTATAAACAGGGCCGGATAATCAACATGTGTACCCTATTCCTGAGTGTCACGCTTCATATGGGCGGGCTCTATATTGGGGATTGTATTATGGTTATACTAGCAGGCCCCTTGATTCTGTATTTGATAAATAAAACCGTAGTCCCATAAAGAAATCCGTTTTGGTGAAATGATACGTTATCCGTCCGTCAACTTTATAGTTAGTTCATAAACACATGCTTATGATAGAGTCGGAATCGTTCAATCGACCCTGCTTTATGCAGATATTTCTATTAGATATGGAATGGGTTTTTGCCGTTTATCGTAATTATTTACAGATTAAAATAAAAAATGCAGCAAAGAGGGTTTGGGTGATCCTGGCACAGTCAGGATGGTTAGGCTCATCATCAGCTCAGGGTCCTTGCCCCCTCTACACGCAGCCCAGACAGCGAATGGGACTTCTCCCAGGAAGGGCTGCCTAGTCAAACCCACCCAAAACCTTTCGGAGAATGTGAAGACTCCCCAACACTGCAGCCTTCTGCGTTACCCAGATTGTCAGAAAGGCTGTATTCCTGGTAGCAAACCCGGGTACTCTCCCAATGTCAGTCAACAGATTGGGAGGTACATTGTACCAAACCAAAGGCACCGAAAACAATGGGGAGTCGGACAACCTGGTACTTGGGATGCAAGCGTGACATTTTTAAAGCAAGGTCCGCATATTTGCCATGTTTTTTCTCAATCTTACTAATCACATTAGTGTCAGAAAGGTGTTATTTCAATAAAAGCGACAAAAAGATTTCTTCTTTCATTAGAAATCGTTACGGAAAGCAGTCCGTTTTACGAACCCGAATACAATGTATATCATAAGCATGTGTTCCAATTTAGAATATGGAATCCCCAAACTCACCACCGTTGTCAAATCTGACATAAAATCTGCGCTTTCACCACCTCTCATCAACAGTCCTGACCAAGATATTGCCTGGCAACAAACCAAAACTCCAATACCCTTTATAAATCCAAAGAATGAAGTCGGCCATTAACAGAGACGAGTCAACACCCTACTTTCATTGTATTTAATTGCCTCTCTCGCGATACTCAAGTTCAATGTATGTATGAATATATTACGTCCCACGATCAGTGACACAATCACCACAGTTCCAACTGTCACTTGTTTGTAGACAGTGGAGTAACAACCATGCAGGAAAAGCACAGTTGTCGTTGGCTAAACGACAAGTGCCAACACATAATGTTTCAAGGCAAATATTATGTAGTAAAATATGATCGCTTCTTTCGGAAATCCATCGATACGCCAGCAAGAGTAAGTGGCTTTTATCAAAGGGAAGCTACTCCAGTCTATGTGACGTATCTGTCTGGTCTGTCGTATTATTCCGGCTCCATCCAACTATTTTAGATTCGCCAATAGTCCCAAAGTCGCAGATGTCTTTAACCATTTACATGTAAACTGATCTGTCTGAGTGGGGTCTCCGTGTAAAACTGCAATATGGTATCTCAGTGGGCTAGCACTATAACACCGAGGTAGTTCAGGTGAGTGAGTGAGTGATTTTGGTTTTACGCCGTTTTTAGCAATATCATTGCGGGGGACACCAGAAATGGGCTTCACACTTTGTGCCCAGGTTATCAATGACATTTCCCAGTATTGGTTCTCAATAAACTTTCAATGACATTTGCTTTTAAATTCTATAAACGTGAAAACATATTGTAGCCAATTTTTAATAAGTCAACACAAATTATTTCATAGACTGGTTATTTAATCATACCTGGAATCGGACCCGGGTCTTCGGCGTGACGAGCGAACGCTTTAACCACTAGGCTACCCGACCGCCCCTGGGTAGTTCAGGACTAATACCAACAGCCACACACGTGCATGCACGTCTCTATAAACGTAGCATAAACATTAACGAGAGGTTACTGGAAACATATACTTGTACAAAATATAATATCAAAACTTCAACGCCAGAAATAAAACCAGCGTCGATCATGCGCCGAAACAGATTACATTGGGAGTGAACGGCAAAGTTAGCAATGAAAATTATATCCATAAATAATTTAAAATCAGTGATGACAGCACGTGTTCGAGACAAGGATAAGCACACCCTGTCCTTCACCATGTTCATGCTGTAGCTCACGCCAATGTCCCTGAACACATTTACTCTGTTATTACGCCTACCATTAGGTGCGCTGAAATCGGGTTTAACGTCGCGTCCAAGATTATTGCACTTATATAGCGACGTGCATGCACGTGTATGTGTGTGTGTGGCTGCTTGTACTAGTCCGGACTGATGCCGATTTATAGTGCTAGCTCAATGAGATACCATGCCGCAGATTAACATGAATACCCCACTCAGACACAGAATACTGACACCGAAACCCTCAAAAGTTGTATACCAACCGGATACGGCAAACACGAGAGTAAACTATCAAGTAATACTATGTAACCATAACCTATTACAGCTGGGAGCCTTACACTACATCTAAAAACTTTCGTGACATGCTCACTTTTATATTGTTTTCGACACTAAGTGCTGAAATCGTTATTTCTTCTTCTGTATTCGACATTTTTCAGCAATTCTGTTTATTCATTAATGTAAATTTATGTAAACTGTACTCAGACATCAAAAGTAACCCATTCAGCATCCGTGCATCTACCTTGTCAACACTGGCACCTGATAGGGTGACCCGTGAAGATCCGGGTCAGAATAGGCCTTCAGCAACACATGTTTGCCGTAAAAGGCGACTATACATTCCGTTTTACTGTAAGAAGAACGGTTGCGACCTTACTAGACACGATATCCATGTGATTGGTGAAGAAATAGGTGCACGTAAATGACTAACTAACTTATACACATATGTAGTAATGACAATTCAGAGTGTGAGTGTGTGTGTGTGTGTGTGTGTGTGTGTGTGTGTGTGTGTGTGTGTGTGTGTGTGTGTGTGTGTGTGTGTGTGTGTGTGTGTGTGTGTGCGTGTGTCCGGACTAATGTTCAGTTTATAGCGACAAACCACTGAGATGACATTCTGCAGTTTAACACGAACACCCCACCCAGACACAGTATGCTGAGATCAATGCAGCCAAATATTCGAGTCGACCAACCTTGTTTTAACCCCTTGATGACGAGCGCAAGGCAAGGTAACAACAAGTAAAATATTTTACCGTCTTTTGGTATGTCGCGGCCGGGGATCAAACCCCGACCTTCCGCTCTCCGGGCAGACGCTCTACTACTAGACGACGGTCATGTATACACATAGAATGTAGAGTCAAACATCACATTTACGCCTTAATATAAATGAAACACTGTTTAAAGCAGCGTACACCCAACTCCCTCACTTAAACATCACATTTACCGTATTTAGTGAAACAAAATGGAGCCAAAGGTTATGTACATCTGGTTACAAATTAAACAAACACGCAATTATTACGAACAATTAATACGATTCTCACGCCCTGGAAGGATGCATATGCGTGTAACGTGACATGGGCAAATGTGTACCGTGACCTGCAACACAGTGTTAAATGTGAATGCTCACAACCCTACCCTAATGGTACAATTCAATGATCAAGGCTGTACGTCACTGTGAACCTAGCAGAGGAGATATGTGATGTCTGCAGGTACATCGATAGTAAATGAACATCTTACTCTGCTAAATCACTTTGCCAAGTGAACAATTGTTTGAATCACTGCTAGGCCAGGTGAATATATGTGTACTGACGCTAGCTAGGTTCTTCAATAACACAATGTTAGACTACGCAGAGAACAACAATCTGTGTTACTACATAACACTACTCAATGCAGAGTAATGATTTAGGCGAGCCTGCTATTAATCAATCGCACATTGTACTTACCCCTTGAGAAGCTATATAATGGATCATTCAATGCAGTGAGAGAAGTCGGTTTTAGGTCAATGTGTCATCTCGCATATGCTGAGGTCGAAATCCTGGCCTCGTAAATGAACCGCAGCTTTGTCGGTCACCAGGTTTCTTTTCTAAATATAGGCCTGTCTTTATATCAAGAACGCTACATAGCTGAAATGTATTCGACATCCTCATAGTTATTCATTCGAGTGAGTGAGTTGGGTTTAATGCCGCTTTTAACAGGATTCCAGTTATATCACGGCGTGTCAGCTTAATGTGGAAGGAAAGCCCGAAGTGATGCAGGTCTCAAACCTTGAACCACTTCGGTGAAACACACGAGCTAGGGCATGTTGCTGAGAGACCTAGACACATAATCCGGGCGAACCGGGATTCGAACCCACAATCATAGGTTTCTGGCGTGCCCAAGGGACGCAACTCTGCACAGCGAATCGCGGCACCTTGAACGACTGGGCCACCCGTGTCCCCTTATACATTCGAAACCAAGCAATACTTATTGTTTGTAATTCATCTAAAGATTCGTTGCTTAGAGTGAGTGAGTTGGGTTTAACGCCGCTTTGAACAGTATTCCACTGGCAGTTATATCACGGCGTGTCAGCTTGATGTGGGAGGAAAGCCCGAAGTGATGCAGGGCTCAGACGTTTACCACTAAGGTGAAACACACGAGCACGGGTATGGTGCTGACAAACCTAGAAACATAATCGGGGCGAACTGGGATTCGAACCAACAATCATAGGTTTCTGGCGTGCCCAAGGGACGCAACTCTGCACAGGGAATCGCGGCACCTTGAACGACTGGGCCACCCGTGTCCCCTTATACATTCGAAACCAAGCAATACTTATTGTTTGTAATTCATCTAAAGATGCGTTGTTTAGAGTGAGTGAGTTGGGTTTAACGCCGCTTTGAACAGTATTCCACTGGCAGTTATAAGATTCGTTGTTTAGAGAACAATGGAGGAGGTTTCAAGATGTGATCATGTGATAAAGAAGGCTAAATTTCCAGACAAATTAAACAAACAAGAAATGGTTATTCGATTATGATATACTAGTATTTGACATAGGTATCTCAGTTATGATCTGTGCCTTAAGTTTGCAGTATTTCGGCAACTGTTTTCAGCCCAGTAACGTTTCGATAACGTGTGTTTTTTTTGGTCAAATCCCATTTCCGAATGCATGCTTTCTCATGCCGTCAGTTTATTACGTTCATTGGAATCATTATACGAATATACTGTAGACTCCATGCTAAGTTGACAGAACGATGAGGGGGCGGTCGGGTAGCCTAGTGGTTAAAGCGTTCGCTCGTCACGCCGAAGTTCGGGTTCGATTCCCGACATGTGAAGCCCATTTCTGGTGTTATTGCTGAAATATTGCTAAAAGCGGCGTAAAACCATACTCACACACTCACAGAACGATGAGAGTAAAGGACTGTGATGAATCAAGGCAGATAATGCAGTCTTTATGCTGTAAACGTCATGTAGTGGGAAGATACAGATTCTTATTCAGTGTGTTCGGAACTAACATCAGATACTCGACATCAGGAGACCGTTCGATGTATAGTCTAAATTGAGCCAAGACTAAATTGTGCCAACGATTTAGGTTTTTGGTGTGGGGCTCACAGATTTTAGGACTAATATGACACGAATATTGCCCAGTCGTCTCAGGCGCCGCGACTCGCTTTGCAGAGTTGCGTCCCTTGGGCACGCCAGAAACCTATGGTTGTGGGTTCGAATCCCAGTTCGCCCCGATTATGTTTCTAGGTCTGTCAGCACCATACCCGTGCTCTTGTGTTTCACCTAAGTGGTAAAAGTCTGAGACCTGCATCACTTCGGTCTTTCCTCCCACATTAAGCTGACACGCCGTGATATTACTGGAATACTGTTAAAAGCGGCGTTAAACCCCACTCACTCACTCACTTAATTGAGGGGCATTTTGGCTTGAAACTGGTGTTACCCAAAGGCAGTAACGTTTCCTTTTCAAATTGTCATTTGTTGTGTATTTGTCGTGATACTCCCAACTGGTTTGCTTTGGCAGGATGGAGAGGGACGAGATCTCGTGATTTTAAGAGAATTGAAACTACTAATTATAAGGGTTGGTAGCTCACGGAGTGGATTGAGAAAAACCCGCGTGTATCTTATACACCAACAGTGACACTGGACTCTCTCCACATGCAGCGTTTCACCCTAAGTAAACCACGAATGGATAATTATACACCCTGGAATTCAACCTATAGACAACCAATAACCAACCAAATTCAACATTGATATCTGATGTTGATTCAACGTTGACATTTCAACTTCCAAATCCAACCAGAAATGTCATTTCAACGTAAACCGCGACATTGTTCCAACATTGAGTTCGTTATAACCGTAACGTACTGTATATATGGATTCAACATTGATTCAACATTGTCCTGACCGCTGGGTAGTAAGTTTCAATAGTTTCAAATATACCTAAATGTTTCAAATACCAGTACTTAAGGTCATGTATCGAACGGAAAGCATAATGAGTTTCTACACTCGAATTTGTAAAGGTCGCCATGATGTGTCATAGATATAATCTGAAGAAGGAGGTAAGATAAGGTATTTTATCAAAATCACGCGAACCAATAATATGTCAACATTCTGACATGGAGGTAAGATAAAGTATTTTATCAAGACCACGTGAACCAACAAGATGTCAACATTCTGACATGGAGGTAAGATAAAGTATTTTATCAAGACCACGTGAACCAATACTATGGCATTATTCTGACATGGAGGTAAGATAAAGTATTTTATCAAGACCACGTGAACCAATACTATGTCAACATTCTGACATGGAGGTAAGATAAAGTATTTTATCAAGACCACGTGAACCAATACTATGGCATTATTCTGACATGGAGGTAAGATAAAGTATTTTATCAAGACCACGTGAACCAACAAGATGTCAACATTCTGACATGGAGGTAAGATAAAGTATTTTATCAAGACCACGTGAACCAGTACTATGTCAACATTCTGACATGGAGGTAAGATAAAGTATTTTATCAAGACCACGTGAACCAATACTATGGCAACATTCTGACATGGAGGTAAGATAAAGTATTTTATCAAGACCACGTGAACCAATACTATGTCAACATTCTGACATGGAGGTAAGATAAAGTATTTTATCAAGACCACGTGAACCAACAAGATGTTAACATTCTGACATGGAGGTAAGTATTTTATCAAGACCACGTGAACCAATACTATGGCAACATTCTGACATGGAGGTAAGATAAAGTATTTTATCAAGACCACGTGAACCAATACTATGGCAACATTCTGACATGGAGGTAAGATAAAGTGTTTTATCAAGACCACGTGAACCAATACTATGTCAACATTCTGACATGGAGGTAAGATACAGTATTTTATCAAGACCACGTGAACCAACAAGATGTTAACATTCTGACATGGAGGTAAGTATTTTATCAAGACCACGTGAACCAATACTATGTCAACATTCTGACATGGAGGTAAGATAAAGTATTTTATCAAGACTACGTGAACCAATACTATGTCAATATTCTGACATGGAGGTAAGATAAAGTATTTTATCAAGACCACGTGAACCAATACTATGTCAACATTCTGACATGGAGGTAAGATAAAGTATTTTATCAAGACCACGTGAACCAACAAGATGTCAACATTCTGACATGGAGGTAAGATAAAGTATTTTATCAAGACCACGTGAACCAACAACATGTCAACATTCTGACATGGAGGTAAGATAAAGTATTTTATCAAGACCACGTGAACCAATACTATGTCAACATTCTGACATGGAGGTAAGATAAAGTATTTTATCAAGACCACGTGAACCAACATGATGTCAACATTCTGACATGGAGGTAAGTATTTTATCAAGATCACGTGAACCAATACTATGGCAACATTCTGACATGGAGGTTAGATAAAGTATTTTATCAAGACCACGTGAACCAATACTATGGCAACATTCTGACATGGAGGTAAGATAAAGTATTTTATCAAGACCACGTGAACCAATACTATGTCAACATTCTGACATGGAGGTAAGATAAAGTATTTTATCAAGACCACGTGAACCAACAAGATGTTAACATTCTGACATGGAGGTAAGTATTTTATCAAGACCACGTGAACCAATACTATGGCAACATTCTGACATGGAGGTAAGATAAAGTATTTTATCAATATCACGTGAACCAATACTATGTCAACATTCTGACATGGAGGTAAGATAAAGTATTTTATCAAGACCACGTGAACCATGACTATGTCAACATTCTGACATGGAGGTAAGATAAAGTATTTTATCAAGACCACGTGAACCAATACTATGTCAACATTCTGACATGGAGGTAAGTATTTTATCAATATCACGTGAACCAACAAGATATCAACATTCTGACATGGAGGTAAGATAAAGTATTTTATCAAGACCACGTGAACCAACAAGATGTTAACATTCTGACATGGAGGTAAGTATTTTATCAAGACCACGTGAACCAATACTATGGCAACATTCTGACATGGAGGTAAGATAAAGTATTTTATCAAGACCACGTGAACCAATACTATGTCAACATTCTGACATGGAGGTAAGTATTTTATCAAGACCACGTGAACCAATACTATGGCAACATTCTGACATGGAGGTAAGATAAAGTATTTTATCAAGACCACGTGAACCAACAAGATGTCAACATTCTGACATGGAGGTAAGATAAAGTATTTTATCAAGACCACGTGAACCAATACTATGTCAACATTCTGACATGGAGGTAAGATAAAGTATTTTATCAAGACCACGTGAACCAACAAGATGTTAACATTCTGACATGGAGGTAAGTATTTTATCAAGACCACGTGAACCAATACTATGTCAACATTCTGACATGGAGGTAAGATAAAGTATTTTATCAAGACCACGTGAACCAATACTATGGCAACATTCTGACATGGAGGTAAGATAAAGTATTTTATCAAGACCACGTGAACCAATACTATGTCAATATTCTGACATGGAGGTAAGATGAGGTAATTTATCAATATCACGTGAACCAACAAGATGTCAATATTCTGACATGGAGGTAAGATGAGGTATTTTATCAATATCACGTGAACCAACAAGATGTCAATATTCTGACATGGAGGTAAGATGAGGTAATTTATCAATATCACGTGAACCAACAAGATGTCAATATTCTGACATGGAGGTAAGATGAGGTATTTTATCAATATCATGTGAACCAACAAGATGTCAACATTCTGACATGGAGGTAAGATGAGGTATTTTATCAATATCATGTGAACCAACACGATGTCAATATTCTGACATGGAGGTAAGATAAAGTATTTTATCAAGACCACGTGAACCAACAAGATGTTAACATTCTGACATGGAGGTAAGTATTTTATCAAGACCACGTGAACCAATACTATGGCAACATTCTGACATGGAGGTAAGATAAAGTATTTTATCAAGACCACGTGAACCAATACTATGGCAACATTCTGACATGGAGGTAAGATAAAGTATTTAAACAAGACCACGTGAACCAATACTATGTCAATATTCTGACATGGAGGTAAGATGAGGTAATTTATCAATATCACGTGAACCAACAAGATGTCAATATTCTGACATGGAGGTAAGATGAGGTATTTTATCAATATCACGTGAACCAACAAGATGTCAATATTCTGACATGGAGGTAAGATGAGGTAATTTATCAATATCACGTGAACCAACAAGATGTCAACATTCTGACATGGAGGTAAGATGAGGTATTTTATCAATATCATGTGAACCAACAAGATGTCAACATTCTGACATGGAGGTAAGATGAGGTATTTTATCAATATCATGTGAACCAACACGATGTCAATATTCTGACATGGAGGTAAGATGAGGTATTTTATCAATATCACGTGAACCAACAAGATGTCAACATTCTGACATGGAGGTAAGATGAGGTATTTTATCAATATCATGTGAACCAACACGATGTCAATATTCTGACATGGAGGTAAGATGAGGTATTTTATCAATATCACGTGAACCAACAAGATGTCAACATTCTGACATGGAGGTAAGATGAGGTATTTTATCAAGACCACGTGAACCAACAAGATATCAACATTCTGACAGGGAGGTAAGATGAGGTATTTTATCAAGACCACGTGAACCAACAAGATGTCAACATTCTGACATGGAGGTAAGATGAGGTATTTTATCAATATCACGTGAACCAACACGATGTCAACATTCTGACATGGAGGTTATGGAAAAACATTTCCGTGAGGAAATCGGGATAGAATAGATCCGCAGCAACCTATGTGAACCCGTTGATAGTGTGACAGTGTTAAACAACAGACTCACAAACACACAAACCAACCATACACCGACGTCGTGACTCGGGTTTCAATCACTGGATTGTCTTGTCTAGACTCGGTTATTTATAAGCCGTTGTCATAGACCTGGAACAAAATTGACTTCTATGGCTTTAAAAAACAAACAAACAAACACATATCCAAAAAGATCACACTGTTTATATTGCTGCTGTAGTGGGGTAATGTTATATATTGTGTAGAATGAGAGAGGACAAGAGAGATAATCCCGGTAATTCATATGAACCATCTCTACACAGGTTATTCTCTGGATGTGACGTTTCATCGAAATAATGCTGATTAGAAAATAAAGAAAGCATTACGTTTGACAAGGTGTACATGTTCCTGTTTATTTGCTGGGTAGTCCTGTTTACAGTCACAGGAAAAAGATCAACACATCAGATCTGGAGTAATGAAATATTTCTAAAATTCATTCACTTGTGTATTAATACTGTGTTTATATAACTTCAGTCGCTTCTGTTAGGAGTACCGTGTTTAACATATTAAGTACCCTGCTGCAATAACATCACCACCCCCGTGTTTTAGTAAGCTCCACCTTTGTCATTTATCTAAGCACCCGGCGATTGCTCTATGTCAGTTTATTTCACACCATGACCGACAGTTTTACTGCCCTGAGACTGCCCCTTAATTAGTCTGGAAATGTGTTTCAGTACGGGAACGGTTTCTTTAGCTTTGCTTCGTATATTTTATCGAACTTCTCGTTTTGAGCCACTGTAAACCAGTTCTTCCAGTCACCGGATTTTCCTGTTAAGTAAAAAGATGACATCGTATCATTACGCATATTCTGTGGAAATAAAACTGTATTTTAACAATATGGGTCCCAGGTTTTATGGCATTTTGAGAAACAATGGCATTCATAATGTTAAATACAAATTAAATAAATTACAATTTATGTGATTTACAATAACCATGCAACTGAGTATTATGTACATGAACCTTATGATTTAGCTCTATCCTGATATCCTGTTGGGGCAGGAACACCTGGTAACAACACTATGTGGTAATGATTGACAAACACACAAAGCCTACTTCAAGCGTCCCTAACTAATGTTTCACTTTCACATTATTCACGTGAAGACCCGGGTTAGAAAATGGGTCTTCAGTAATCCATGTATGTTATAAGAGACGACTATGCTTGTCGTGTACGACTTGACGGGATCGACTAACAGGCGGTGGTTAGAGCGTTAGCACCTCACACCAAAAAAACGTTAAGATTTCCCAAATAAGTACAGTGTGTGAAACCCATTCCCCGCCGGGGATATTGCCAAATATGTCAAAAAAGCGGGTAAAGCCATGCACAGTTATGTATTCATGCACTGTTGAAATTATGAAAACGCACACGTTGAAAAATCAAGTTGGAGTTAATGTTAATTCATATATCTTCACTTGTCTAGTGAATGGTATTGCGAATGTCGACTTTCATTTGTCTTTAGGTGGAGTAGTCACCTTTTCTGAAGTATCCACTTGAACCCTGTTGCCACTTGAAGTGGTAGGTCTGATCCTTGATGTTCTCGTTGGCGTGTTTCAGGTTGCTGAAGGAACATGCTTCTGCTATCTCAACGTACGTTTTCTCCGGGAGAGGGCGGTTAAGATATTCAGCCATTCTTCTTATCTCGTTCGCGCAATTCTTTTGAAGTAAAACAGATATTGTTGACAAATTAGATTTTATATCGTCTGGAAATTATCATGACCTATTTGTATACACTCTTTTATCCATCTGTGAATATGCTGTGTATGTTTGTTTATTGTTTTACGCCGCACTAAACAATATTCCTGCTACATGAAGGCGGCATGTAAATAATCTGGACCAAGCAATCAAGTGGTTGATATCATGAGCATCGATCCATGACGTCGGGGTGCGATGACACGCCATCAACCAAGTCACGGAGCCTGACAACCCGATTCATTTGCTCCCCTCTAACGACCAGCATAGGTACAACGTTTAAATCAATGTTAGTATATGTATAAAAACAACAAAAACTTTTCTTGGGACGCACCTTTTTCATATCTTCATACTGAACCTGACAGATGGTTAATTTCTCAGCTGTTTTGTTCCAATCATGCGTATAATCAAAAATCGATCCGAACACAACTGAAAAGAAACCAGTGAAAATAATGAAAACAAGTTAAAAAGTGCGAATATCGAACAGTACTGAAGTAGGACCTTCTCATGGTTATTACATTATGTACAGACACTATGTCAAAGACGTATTTTACCTTCCATCAAGGTAATTTATATATGACTCGGACACCCTGGTCTTCATCACACAATGCATGTCGCAAGGGATCGGATGACTAGTGGGATCCGATGGCCTGGCTCGTTGAAATGGCTTATGCACGTCATCGTATCCCATTCCGTAGGTCAATGTTGATGATTTCAATAATTGGATTGTCTGGTCCAGACTCGATTATTTATAGATATCCGTTATATAGCTGGAATTTTGCAGTATTAGACAACAAACATACAATTATATATTTATCTATGTCTTCGTAAAATATGTCTTACTATAACCATCCTGATACAAGGAAAGGAAGTCATCCCATGACCCTGTGAAGTTGTACTTGTCCTGGGAGCCGTCCTTCCACATCTGGCTGCTCTCCTGACAGAAGCTGGACACAGCACAGTCCTTGGGGTTTCTCCAGACGTACACAATCTTACATCCCAGCCTCCATACCGACTCCGGCAGCTGCCTGCATGCATGGGGTGTACATGAACATTGATTTATACATTGATTATTCCTGCGATGTTTTGCAAACGTTACACATCTTAGGTGAATAAATACAGATCTTTCGTAAATACAGATATAACAGCTAAGTAAGAAAAGGACAAAATGTAGAATAAGGATTACTACAAATGCGGATATCCCTATTATACATATACGTGATTGTATATGACTCTGGTAGTATTAAAACCATTCGTACCTTGGCAGTAAATGGGTGTGGAATATCCTTGGTGATGCCAGTTCCTCCAGTTCTTCCTCGGTCCTGTATTCCAACCATGCGGAGTTCTGCCAGTGTTTGGTGTACTCAGCCTTACCTGCCACGATCATGTTGAGGATCTCCCACGTCCAGTGAGTGCCTTGCGTTATTATAAGACGCACATTACGATACAGTTACATTCTTGTAATCTCGGTCATTCAACGTCCCCGTACATGACAGGATAGAAATATAATTTATTGAAATGATTGACTGGAGCCCAGTTTGTTCTAATTCATTGTCTGTCATTAAGTGTTATAGCTTATCTTCAATAGCCATGTTACCTGACTTAGGGTATGTACACAGAAGGATGTCATCGTTCCGGAGGCGACGTGATTTCAACGTTCGTACCGTGTCAGCAATCAAAGTCATTTCAGGAACACCGTCTACATCTGTCATGTCGAAAGTAAACCCGCCCGCCATTGCTATTTTCGCTGGGGTAGACATCTTGACAAACTGTGAAGCAAGGAGGAAATTTCCGCAAATAATCCTGATAAAACCCTTAGATATCAAAAACTTTTATTTGTTGACAATTTAAATGTGTCACAATGAAATAATGCGTAATGTGCCTCGAGGTACATCGATAACTAACGATCATCTTACTCTGTTAAATCAACATTTCTGTGAATCACTGACTGGCCATGCGACTAGATGTGTGCTGACGCTAGGTACTTCAATAACACTATGTTTGACTACTCAGAGAACAATACCGGCGTCACTACCAGGCTAGCCGATTAGACGTATACTTTCGCTAGCCACTTCAAAGTCACTAAATATTACTTCCCAATGCAAAAGAGCGCTTTAGGCTAGGCCGCTAGTAATAATCCGCATATTGCACTTACCCCTTGAGAAGGTATATAAGGGATCCTTTATGCAGCTAGCGATGTCGTTTTCAGTTCAATGTCATCTCGCATATGCTGATGTCGAAATCCAGGCCTGTTTGTCACGGTGACATAAGTTGCAGGTTTGTCGGTCACCAGATTACATGTGCAAATAAACACTCATCAGGCCTGTCTTTATATCAAGTACGCTACATACATGTAGATGAAATGTCTTCGACAGCCAAATAGTTATTCATTCCAAAACAAGCAATAATAACAGTTTGCAATTCATTCGTTGATTAGAGGACGGGGGAGGAGGGTTTTAAGATGTGATCATGTGATGACGAAGGCTAAATTTCACAGACTGTTGACATGACCATGACACTGAACTATCCATGTCAGGTTGACACAGATAACAGGGCAAGATCGACGTCAAAGAGAGATCGTTTCGCTTTACTAAACTACTCAAAAGAAGTTAAGGATCACCCGATTCTTTCATATTGGTAATCTTAATCTGTCATGGCATGAGAGATTAACTATTGTAATATGGAAGAATCAGGTGATCCTTAACTTCTTTTGAGTAGTATATATATTCCAGCAATTCTGATGAAAAAGAATAAACAAATTGCAAGAAATTCTGTGGCATTTGATTGGCTCACCAAACAATTGTTTCGCGCTCATGTTCCTATAAACCAAAACTGACTGCGGTTTCTTGTTTGGCTGATACTAAAATGGTTGGGGCTGGCTGGCATGGCGCTGGATCACATCACCAATGTCATATTTCTATTTCAGTTTTTTTTGTGTAATGACCATATAAGCAGTCTGTTAATTTATTATTGTTGATTAATCTACTTATAAGAATGGAATACAATATACTTTTGGCGCATTTAGAAAATGAAAGCAAATGTCACCTGGAGTACTAGTATACTGAGACAACAATACTGGGAAATGCAAGACGTAGGTATCCCCATGGTAACCAACTGTGTTTCCCTCTCTGCTGATATGTTTATTCATGCATATGAATCGGATTTTCTGCTGATCTGTCTATTTATGCCTATGAATCGGATTTTCTGCTGATCTGTTTATTCATGCATATGAATCGGATTTTCTGCTGATCTGTCTATTTATGAATATGAATCGGATTTTCTGCTGATCTGTCTATTCATGAATATGAATCGGATTTTCTGCTGATCTGTTTATTTATGAATATGAATCGGATTTTCTGTTGATTTGTCTATTTATGCCTATGAATCAGATTTTCTGCTTGGAACAGCAAAATCAGGAAGAGGAATTTTGACAAAAAGTTTCACTTCAGCTTCAGGTATATCAATGATCTGATATCGTTCAATAATGGTCAAGTAGTCAAGTCCCTTCTGCAGATTTACTTATAATTATCTGAACAAGAAAAAAAGAGATCAGTGAAACAGCCTACTCTCTTTCTTATTTTTTACATAAAAATTCAGAGTGACAGAAAAAAATGTCCACAAGATTTTGGGACACGATGGATGACAACTTTCCAATATATCCTTTATGTCGAGCAATGTACCAGCAGCTCCAGATTTTGTTGTCTACATCTCAGAACTTTTGAGGTACAATCAAGCGTGCTTTTTCAAAGATTTCAAAGAGCGTCATACTACCCTTGCTAGAAAATCTTTTGATCAAGGCATCAACATTGTACCATATGTACCCAACACCATTGTACCATATGCTCCCAACACCATTGTACCATATGTTCCTTACACCATTGTACCTTATGTACCATCAACATTGTACCATGAGTACCCAACAACATTAAACCATATGTACCCAACAACATTGTACAATATGTTCCCAACATCATTGTACCGTATGTACCAACACCATTGTACCTTATGTACCATCAACAGTGTACCATGTGTACCAAACAACATTAAACCATATGTACCCAACAACATTGTACAATATGTTCCCACATCATTGTACCATATGTACCAACACCATTGTACCTTATGTACCATCAACAGTGTACCATGTGTACCAAACAACATTAAACCATATGTACCCAACAACATTGTACAATATGTTCCCACATCATTGTACCATATGTACCAACACCATTGTACCTTATGTACCATCAACATTGTACCATGAGTACCAAACAACATTAAACCATATGTACCCAACAACATTGTACCATATGTTCCAAACATCATTGTACCATATGTACCAACACCATTGTACCATATGTACCATCAACATTGTATCCAATGTTCCCGTGGTTATTTTTGCCATTGCCTGTGTTTGAAACTCACTCACTCACTCACTCACATTACAGGTGAATGGTGAATCATCTTGAAGAGGTCAATATAAGCAATATTTGTCTGCATCCCTACATGTAGACAAGGCTTATAATGCTGTTTTGGATGGGAGGGCAATTAGGAAAGCTGCACCGTTACTTACACTTCATGACGGGATTATCGGGAAAATTTCTATTGAATGCACTACTAGTGAGTTGGGTTTAACGCCGTTTTTAACAGTATTCAATGCATATCACGGCGTGTCAGCTTAATGTGGGAGGAAAGCCCGAAGTGATGCAGGTCTCAGATTTTTACCACTTCGGTGAAACCCACGAGCACGGGTATGGTGCTGACAAACCTAGAAACATAATTAGGTCAAACCGGGATTCGAACCCACGATCATGGGTTTCTGGCGTGCCCAATGGACGCAACTCTGCACAGCGAATCGCGGCGCCTTAGATGACTGGGCCACGAGCTCCCTGCTGGTAGAGAACCTTTATTGTCCAGGTAGAAGAAGAGCAGGGACTTGTTTCACATATCGACGCCATGGCACATTTTGGGTGCGGCCATACTAGGCTGAGGTAACCACTATTGCCACAGATCTAGCAATTCATCTTGGAAAGAAGTCAAAGGATGACCCTATCACTGCAGTGGTTCTATGGATTTCTAAGTGATGGCCTGATGTACCTGTGAAGAAGCCTCGATCCCTCGAGATACAGAGAGCGAAAGCTACCTCACTCATTACCTGGCTCGGAGACCGTCACTTGTTATTTTAATGAGCTTGGACACATCATGGATAAGTACAACCTGAAGATATGCCCTCGTTGAATTTGGAATATTGATGAAGAAGGAGAATCATAGCCCACCATCAGTAGTCAAATCGAATCAGAGTTCTCCAGCTAATGATAAGATCAAGATCAAGTACTAAAACTGCTTTGCGGCAATGCATCTGGTAGTTCTATACCACAGTATTTCGTATTCAAGGGCGAGAGGATGTAAAGTTGTAAAGGTGGTCGTTATGGTTCATTCACGTTAGTGACTTAGCCGTATGACGCTGTCCTGTGCTTTGTAGTGATACGTGGTCGACCGGATCTAGGAAGGTCACGTGTTGTCCCGTGTGTCTGAATATGCTTCCACAATCTTGTAATGGTGCTTTGAGCGACGTGGAAAAACCTGGCTGCAGCTGAAGATGATTCTTCTGTTTTTCATTCGGCCGATGGCTTTGTTGGTTTGGGCTTCCGTCAGTCGTGGCATGTCGTCGCTGTTCACTTGCTCCAAGATTGTCATGGCATGCAAATGAAAACCCAACGTTTTCATAGCCAAACAAGTGTTGTTGCACGTGCATATGATGTGGTGTGTCTCGGCGCTAGGCTCTGACGTTGTGTTTTTTTTCCTCCATTATCTCAGCAAATTTCAGCAGCACCTCTCCACACAAATAAATACCTGAGCAAAAGACGCAGAGACACCTGTTTTCCGGACTTACCACAAAGTAAACGATACTCATCTGGAAACAACTCGAACATGAATGAAAATAAATTAAATAAAATCAGCATCAATATCAATTTTATTCGGTTATTTGGTTACCAACGCATAATCATTCCCTGTTCTCCAGGTTGAAGTCAAACAATAGTAAATAATTACCACATGTTTTTCCTTACCTGGGGGGAATTTAGATACATGTTATAAATTCTGTCCTTCATGCCAAGCTTACAAAGACCTCTTTGGATTTCTATTGCACATTTTCGACAATAACGATTTCCCCAAAAGCCAGAACCATTCCGGGAAATGTATTTCAGTACGGGAACGGTTTCCTTAGCTTTGTTTCGTATATTTGATCGAACTTCTCGTTTTGAGACACTGTAAACCAGTTCTTCCAGTCACCGATTTTTCCTGTAAAGTAAATAGATGACATCGTATCATTACATAGATTCGCATGGGAAAAACTGAATTTGTACAGTGTGGGTCGCATGTGAAACAGTTGCCTTCTTGACACCTTCAAACATAGCGAATTAAGAACCAATTATGCATTCATAATGCAAAAATACAAATAAATGGTAAATTCTTTGAACAACGGTAACGACACGCTGGCCACATTTGTACAGTAATCGTTGCATTGTTATAGTATTCATCAACCATAGCTCCGTTCCTAACGACGACGTTACCGCAACGACTTTTCCAGGTCATGTGACTTAGCTTTGTGGAACTAAACCGTGGTCATTAAGGCCTGAGCTAGGTACAGATGGCACATTGACTCTCAAATCCTGTTTCAAGCACCACATGACGCACATTTCGTTTTTACATTACACATACAGCATAATTAGTACCAAGACAGATAATGGTCAGGTGAAATGGGATTTAACGTCGCGTCCAAGATTATTGCACTTATATAGCGACGTGCATGCACATGTGTTTGTGTGTGTGTGTGGCTGCTTGTATTAGTTCGGACTGATGCCGATTTATAGTGCTAGCTCACTGAGATACCATGACGGAGTTTTACATGAATAACCCACTCAGACACAGTTTACTGACTCCGAGCCAATCAGTCCTTCTTTTAGCCCCTTAATGCCTAGCGCCAGACAGGGTAACAACAAGTACCATCCTTTAACGTCTTTTGCTATGACGCGGTCGGGGATCGAACCCCGGGCCTTCCGCTCTCCGGGCGGACGCTCTACCACTCGACCACGAAGGCGGTCTAGACAGATAATGGATTTCACCACATAGGAACTGGTTAAAGCATATGTTTAAGGTAGTCATTCTGTGAATTAGTATGACAGAGACACCTTGAACATGATGCTCGATGCTATCCCATTCTATGACCTTTTAACACCTCCTTGCTCATTTGCGCTAATTTTTTAAATGGATGCTCCCACGTCCAACCTTTTCATCTGAGTTTGAATGATCCTTTCATTCAATTTTGGCTATTTTGCCTTTTACACTCGATGTTTGTTTCTTTGTTGTTTAACGCCGCACTCTTCTGTTTTCAAGCTACACGACGGCGGTGTGTAAATAATCAACTCAGGGCCAGAAAATCTAGTGACTGACCTCGTGAGCATCAATCTACCTAATTGGGATACAATGACATGCATCAATCACGTCAGTGAGACTCACCCCGATCCCGTTTGTCGCCTCTCACGAAAGGCAAAGTCGCCTTTAAAGGCAAGCATGGATTGCTGACTCCATATAATCTGTTTTAGATGACATTCGAGACCAATTATTCATGATATTATTTGTCCTACAATCAATGCAGTTACTTTTCTCAGCTCTTTGTAAGATTCTCTGATTTCATATTCTCATCCTAAATTGATGGCGGCGTAAATATGAAACGTCATTGCAGGGGCAAAACCAGTCTTGATTATCCGCCGAAACAGATTCAATTTTGACTTCGGCCGTACGTTCCCACGAGTTTTTCAGGTGAACAGTTGGCTTTCCTTTGCGTGTGTTTGTGATGAGGCAGGACATGCTGAACCTTTACCGAACATCTGGTATCATCAATATTTGATAGTGATGTAGAGAAAGGTTCTTATGATATAGCGTGCATCGTACAAGGGACAATGCTTTCAGTAGATATGTCTTGTGATGATGTAAATGTTTTGTCGCCTCATCTCATTCTGTAGTGTTCTTGTAGTTACCTTTTCGGAAGTATCCACTTGAACCCTGTTGCCAATTGAAATGGTAGGTCTGATCCTTGATGTTCTCGTTGGCGTGTTTCAGGTTGCTGAAGGAACATGCTTCTGCTATCTCAACGTAGGTTTTCTCCGGGAGAGGGCGGTTGAGATATTCAGCCATTCTTCTTATCTCGTTCACGCAATTCTATTGAAGTAAAAACAAATGTTGTTTACATATTACGTACGTGTTTGAGGAAAGGGGATGAAATTTTATGCTCATTGGAAATGTTTTAACACCACATACATTGAATATATTTCACTTACGACAATGGACAATGATGTCAATAACATTGGAAAATTACAAAACTTAAAAAATACTGCTAGGATTCATAATTGCTGGAACGTTTAGGAGTGTGTGAGTGAGTTGGGTTAAACATAGCTTTTAACAGTATTCCAGTTATATCACGGCGTGTCAGTTTAATGTGGGAGGAAAGCCCGAAGTGATGCAGGTCTCAGACGTTTACCACTTCGTCGAAACCGACGAGGACGGGTATGGTGCTGATATACCTAGAAACATAATCGGGGCGAACCGGGAATCGAACCCACTATCATAGGACGCAACTCTACACAGCGAATCGCGGCGCCTTAGACGACTGGGCCACCCGTGCACCCTGGAACGTTTAGGTCTTTATCTTCTCAGCATTAGCACGAAGAAACGTTTAAAGTGTTCTATTGTTGAGTCACTAAACATTTCTTATCCTAAAATGGGATCATCTATTTGCCTACATATTTATCTGCCTGTGTATAAGCAGAACATAAACAATTTATTTCATATGTTACTTTTAAAAAAGGTGTTATATTATTTGTTATGTTATGTCTTATCATATTGCTCACCTTTTTCATATCTTTATACTGAACTTGACAGATACTAAATTGTTCAGCCCTTTTCGTCCAATCAAAAATATAATCAAATATTGACCCATATGCAACTGAAACAAAGACAATAAATTTGAGAACAACTGCATGTAAATGAGGTTCCGTGACGCTTTGAACAATTACTGGACAGATGTATTAGCGATGCGAAGTCGTAGATGTGTCCGACTTCGGTGAAACAGACTGTCTCAAGAAAGATGATGCCACTTTTTTTGTTCTGTTACTTTCATCTAGACACATGAAAATACCAATACTCCAATAAAGATCACTGATCTTCTAAGGTAATGTATTCCTTACTGTAACCATTCTGATACAAGGAAAGGAAGTCGTCCCAAGACCCTGTAAAGTTGAAGGTGTCTTTTGAGTCATCTGTCCAGACCTGGTTGCTCTCCTGACAGAAGTAGGACACAGCACAGTCCTTGGGGTTTCTCCAGACGCACACCACCTTACATCCCAGCTTCCATACCGACTCGGGCAGCTGCCTGCATGCATGGGGTGTGTATGAACATTGACACACACTTATATCATTCCTGCAATATCCTGCGAATGTTACGTATTTTACGTATATACAGGGACAACAACAACAAAATGTAAACTGACAAGAAGAACAGAAATTGAAGAGAGTAGCACTTTGCGTTACAAAATAGTAAAACAGTGAGGGCCAAAGTACAAACCTATTTTATACTAGTGGCTCTGTATGAATTTGCTGATCAATACCATTCCTACCGTGGCAGTAAATGAGTGTGAAGGATCCTTGGTGATGCCAGTTCCTCCAGTTCTTCTTCAGTCCTGTATTCCAGCCAGGCAGAATTCTGCCAGTGTTTGGCGTACTCAGCCTTGCCTGCCACGATCATGTTGAGGATCTCCCACGTCCAGTGTGTACCTTGTTTTATCATGAGACAAACAATATTATAGAGATGCATCATTAAAGAGTTTATCATTCCACGCCTTCATGCAACGACGGGATACAGATAACAAATGTTAAATACTTGACAGGAAGGTGAATTTCGGCACACTCTTTCTGTCCATTTAGAGACACATCTATTTCACAACTCTGTTACCTGACTTAGGATATGTACACAGCAGGATGTCATCGTCCCGGAGGCGAAGAGACATCAAAGTTCTTAGCCTGTCTGCAATCAAAGTCATGTGAACAACCCCGTCTACATCCGTCAAGCCGTAAGCAAAGCCACCTGCCGTTCCTATTTCCGCTGGGGTCGACATCTTGAAAACTGTTTATAAAATAATTAATGATGAATGAGAAAATAATTGCTGATGTGTTCACTGTGCTCTATACAATAACGAATGGAAGGTTGAATGTTGCCGCCTATCTTGAGTGGATTCTTTATCTGATTGAGATTATGAAGGTGCGTTGATTTCATTCTCCTGAGGACAATGTCGGCAACATGGAGCCAGAATAGTCAAGGGGTATGCATTGACGGGCATGTTCCCTGGAATTGAATCCAATCAGCTATGCTGTGGATCATCTCCAGCTACGAATACAACCTGTTCAAACAAAATATGTTCACTTATCTAGAATAGCCTGACATGAATATGGTCAAATCACCTTTGTTTGATATTTTCAGACAATGTTGTAGGTTGTGGACTCATATGGTTTCAAATAGCTCATACGTGTTAGTCCCATGAATGATTAAACCCAAATCCTTACAAAAGTACGTTTTAATTTATTTATAATTTGACCGGAGGAAAATAATTGATGTGAAGGAAGGAATATATCACTTATCTACTGATGAGGATTGCTATGAATAATCTTGTCAAAGTACAAAGTACAGGATAACACATGAATGAATCATCGAAATTCCAGCGACAGTTCAGGACCACATACTTCATTATATTTCTAAATAATCCATTCCTGTATATTTTATATATCAATTTAACCTTCAAGTAATACTGTCACTTAAACATTGACATGACGCAGAGGGTATATCTAATGTTGAAGAAGACAGGTCTAGTTTCTAAAACAACGGTTCTGACCCTACCTTAACATCCAAGCCGTTTCGACTCCTTAGGTGAATGTGTACAGTGGTACACGAAATCTTCAATGTAAATCATGCATGAGTCATCCTTGCATGACTTGCCATAAACAATATCATAATGATTCGGCAATAGTTAAGCCACGTCACGGAGGACTGCTGGAGAGCAACGTGGAACAATGCGTATACTGTGGCCTGATTCAACCTAGAATAATGTGTCTCTATTGCCCTGGCACAGAGTACAAAACGTTATCTTGGCTGAGTGTTTATCTGTCTGTTTTGTGATATGGAAGAGGTAACTGAGGATGATTCCATCATGATTTATGGTGAATATTGTCAAAACAGTATTGCTGAAGAATATCGATTTTCATGTCATTCCATTATTGTCAAACCTTGATCAAACAACTTCTGAGGAAGAGTCGTATGGCTTTCTTTGAAATCTTGGAAGAAAAAGAATGCTTGATTACTCGAAAGATGTAAACACCAAAGGCTGGAGCTGCTGGAATATTGCTCGACAAGAAGGGAAAATTGACTATTGGAAAGTTGCAATCATCCCTAGGCCTCTTGTCATACAATCTTTTGGAGAGTGTTTTGTTTTGTAAGCTAAAGATATTTCCAAAGGACATAGTTTTCCTACCAATGTACACAGTGGCCCATTTAGCCATAGAACATGGGGCTGAAACAGCATTAAAGTTGTTTAAATAATTACGTTAAGGTAGAGTCTGTGGTAATTTACTACCAGAAACATTAGAATGTTTCCGCGACTTTATAGTAAACATGGGATAAGGAGTCACTATCCAGCAGTGACAATGCCAGGTATTTTCTCCATTGGTAGCACCCTTTACAAACACATGCAAAGGCGAGTTCCTCTGAAAGGTTCGATAATAGTTAAGTATAAGTGTACCCTTATGTAACAAACATGAATCTTATATGCTACTCAAAGTTTGCTTAGGATTACCACTTTAAAAGGAAATATGTCAAAATGAATGCATCTGTTGAAATAGCCAAAAACAATATTTCATGAAGACATGTATAATATACCATAGTTTTCATTTACCACACAATGTTAGTCAGATCACCCGCCAAAATGAGAAAAAAAAGATTAAAATTGCCAAGTTCTTGTAGAGTTGCCGTAAGGACATGGCTTCATGAGAGGGCGATCGGCAGCTCTTTCAACATTTGTTCCAGCAATTGGGATCGGTGACATGCATCAACCAAGTCAGCGAGCCTGCCCACTCGATCCCGTTAGTCGCCTCTTACGACAAGCATAGTCGCCTTTTATGGCAAGCATGGGTTGCTGAAGACCTATTCTACCCCGGATCTTCAAGGGCCGGTCACTGTAACAGTGTGCACTCGATTTCACTTTCAGCTCCCTCGGCCTCGGAAGTTTATAACCCAAAATGCCTGTGATGCGCTTGAAGGTTAACGTTTACATTACCATCTCATCGTGCCAGGTACCCATTAATAGTTGGGTGAACAGAAACATATTTCGAACAAAGTCCCTTGCCTAAGAAAAAAAGCCATGTGCTACATGTGATTCCGTGTTGGGCATCATCAAACCCCCAGAAACTATCGGGAGCCAAGCAGTCACCCATCGAATTGCTCTACGTGACCAACGTTGCTTAATGTTGTCTGATTTGTGACCTATGCGCTATACACAGGACTACGAGTCACCACATATTAACAGATCAATGTGGATACCTCACTGAAATCTATTATTCTGTCAGCGAGCCAGATAATCATGTACTAAAGTATGAATAGTCTTGTAGAGCCGTAGGCATGCGCTGAATGCCTTTAACTCCTTTGCCCTTTACAACCCGGGTTAGAATTTATCTTCATCAACCAATGATTGTCAAGAAGAGGCTAATGGGCTCGGGCGGTCAGGCTCGCTGTCTTGGCTGATGCTTGTCATCGTATCTCAGTACGTAGAAGGGTACTCATTTGAATCGTGGATTGTCTGGTCCAGACTTGTCTTACGTATACTTGCATGTCGTAAGAGGCGGCAAACGGGATGGGGGGTGGGGCTCGTTGACGTGTTTAATGCATGTTATTGTATCCCAAATGCGTAGAAAGAAGTTCATGATGCCAATAACTGGATTGTCTGGTCCACACTCGATTATTTACAGACCACCGTCATACATGTTGAGAGCGGCGTTAAACAACATCATCACCATCGTCTGCTCGGAGAGAAGCACGAAAACACGACGCTCTCTATAGGAGAAGCTTAAATATTATTTACAGACCGACGTCATATATTTTGAATATTGCTGAGTGCGGCGTTAAACATTGTAACCTACAAACCAGATTATTGGCAAAATAGTATGAAAACCGACTGCAAGAATATCTCCAATGACACAATAGACATACTAAATACACATTCAATTGTTTATCTAACTGTGTAGTCTTACAGACAAACAGGTTTATTTCAGCAAAGTAGGCCACAGGTCCATAATGCATACCAATAGGTTTTTTTCTTGCATTCTCGATCGTGCTGGTGTATTTCGCAATAATGTTCACAGTAATACAGTATTAAAGCAATAATACAAGGGATCAATAGAAAGATAATTTACAAATTTATTTTGAGTTTCCTATTTTTGCACTTTACACCAGTAGCACCTTGACAGTATCATATTTGTGTTTTCACAAGCCATTCATCAAATAAATGTTTCTGGTGAACGGTGTGATGTGATTATTAGATGGAAAAACATACTTGTAGAGATTCACAGGATTGGTACAATATCTTCAGAAGTTTTTAAGAAATAATGTTCACTGTAGTACATTATTAAATTAATGATACAAGAGAAAGATAGCTACAAAGTAAAGATGAATTTCTTTTTTGTACTTTTCACAAGTAGCATCCAAGTCATATTTGTGTCTTCACAAGCCATTAGTCTAATAAAAGCTGCCCGTGAGTTGTTGAATGTAATATAAGGTGGAAAACATTCTTCTCGTACTGATTCAGAAAATGACGTGGTATGTGAATGACAATATATTATCAACTGAGGGAGTATTACAATGTCTTCCTGTTTCCAAAGCCAATCTAAAGTAATTGCATCCAAACCTACATATAACCTGCCTGTAAAAAAATAAATTTGGAAGACCGTGGTCTAGTGGTAGAGCGTTCCCCGGAGAGCAGAAGGTCCGGGGTTCGATCCCCGACCGCGTCATACCAAAAGACATTAAAAGATGGTACTTGTTACTACCCTGTCTGTCGCTCGGCAGTAAGGGGTTAAAACAATGACTGGTCGACTCAGAGTCAGTATACTGTGTCTAAGTGGGGTATTCATGTTAAACTGCAGCATGGTATCTCAGTGAGCTAGCACTTTAAATCGACATCAGTCCGGACTAGTACAAGCAGCCACACACACATACACACACCTATGATTGTGGGTTCGAATCCTGGTTCGCCCTGATAATGTTCCTAGGTTTGACAGCACCATACCCGTGCTCGTAGGTTTCACCGAAATGGTAAAGTCCGAGCCTTCATCACTTCGGGCTTTCCTCCCACATTAAGCTGACACGCCGTGATATAACTGGAATACTGCTAAAAGCGGTGTTAAACCCAACTCACTCACTCACTCACATTTCCGCTATCAGCATGAAACTACAAACAATTTAATAGCTGTAGTCGTCTGGCAACACCATGATGTCCATTTGAAAATACATACTGGTAGCTGTTTGGATGCATTTGCTCATCATGACCAGTAACTCTCTCCACTTCATCTTCTCAAAGAACACATTTCTTGCGACAACCAAATCCATGCAGAAGTTATGGAGTTAACATGCTCACATCAATTATGAGATGTACTTACGGACGTACATATTGGGCCTATTGGTAATTAAAAATCGATAAGATGGCCATATAAATTATGAATTTATGCAAATGATCAATTTCATGACTGTCATGACTGATACAGCTGGCCTATCTTTAGGTTCCGCAACGCAAATTGGAATTTGGTACCAAACGTGCAAATAAGACCCTATCAGTTTCTGGGACAGATTTGGTGAAAGGTTTGCACAAAGGCAAAACACCTTTTTACCTTTTCTGTCAATTGAATCAATGCTGAGTTTTTACGCCATTTTCTGCAATTTTAAGGAACACATTGTCTCATTATTTACTTGGTCAGGTGATGAGGATATACTGCATGTCAGAGGGAGACGTTATGAAATGATAAAACATTGATTTGTACTGTACATGTGTGCTTGATTTATTTTATTTACTGCTAATCCACAGGTTAAAGTTTATGTATTGCTATTTGGTTTGAAACTTACATTTCAGAAAGAAAGATCTATTTACGGCAGATGTCAAACAACTAGAGGTTCATTCAACTTTTCTTCGTATATTTTATCAAATCTCTCGCTCTGTGCCACAGTGAAGAAGTTCTTCCAGTCACCAGTTTCACCTACAAAATAAATGTCATATACTTAACATCATCCATGTTTGAAATAATATTGTTTGTTTTTTCTTTAACGCTGCACTAAGCAATATTCAGCTATCCAGTGATTCACAACATGAGCATCGATCCACGCAATTGGGATACGATGACATGCATCAACCAAGTCTGCGAGTCTGACCACCCGGCACTATCATTATCTCATAATTTATTCCGAAGACGGTAGACATGACATGTCAGTGTGTCAAGTTGTGTTGATGTTCTTAACTTTGACATTACTCTCTTATGATCGTTTTTCCATGAGTTTCCCGACTGGAAAATATCGCCTCGCTTGTTTGAGTACCAATACCACCACTGTATTTCAAAACTTCATCAAGTGAAAAACAGTGTTGTGAATCGGATACGGTTCAGCTTCGAGGAAGAAGTCCCTTTAAATATATATTAATTTCGTTATTGTGCAACAGCAAAACAATGGTCTAACGTAGATTCGATCGATGCCATTGGCGGAAGAGCCAAATTCGGGAATCTAACACATCATGGTTGAACTATAATTATTGGTCGTTATATTACTTTCAGTCTAATAATAATCCTATTACCTTTTCTGAAGTATCCGCTCGTCCCTTCCTGCCATTTAAAGTGATAGGTCTGATCCTTTACCTTCTCGCTAACATGTTTGAGCTTCTTAAAGGAGCATGCTTCAGATATATCCTTGTACATTTGATCCGGTAGAGGGCGTCCAATGTATTCAGCCATTCTTCTTATTTCTCTCACACAATCCTGTACAAACATAAATCTAATTGATAAGCTATAAGCGATTGCCTGTCTGTTCAACTCAAACCAAGATGACTTTATATAGTGAACAACAAAATTTCCTGTGACATTGAATAAGATTTCATGCAAAGTTATGTTTTTCACCAAATCTGAAACAATTTCGGTTTGCAACAGTTTTACTCCTGTAAGTGTTCAAGTGGTTTAATTTGCTAACTTCAGAAAACGCGTGATTTCATATAAAAAACATGAACATGCCAAGATGTCAATTCACAAATCAATAGCGTGTGTGTCCACCTCTGGATGCGATGCAAGCAACACATCTTCTTCTCATGGAATGGACCAAGCGTCGCACAAAGTTCTGTGGGATATCTGTCAATATCTGCTGGAGCATGTTTCGAAGTTCCTGGAGTGTCTGTGGAACACGTGTTTGACGTCGAAGGCGCCGATCCATCTCATCCCACATGTGCTCGATTGGTGAGAGATCAGGGGAGCGAGCCAGCCAGGGGATGACATTCACGTTGTTTTGTTGAAGAGAATCCTGAAAAAGTCGAGCAATATGAGGCCGGGCGTTGTCATGTTGAAAGGTAATGCCTGGGCCATGACCATAAAGCGATAGAACAACAGGGCCGATGATCCCGTTGCGGTAACGCAGTCCATTGACATTTCTCTCTACCACTATCAAACGGGTCTTCTGTCTTGCTGTAATCCCAACCCTATACCATAACGCTGCCGCCCTCGAACCGATCTTCTTCCATGACACAATGATTGACGTAACGTTCACCTCGACGTCGGTACACTCGAATCCATCCATCGCTGTGGCTGAGTTGAAAACAAGACTCCTCAGTGAATAGAACTTGTCCCCACTGCATGGCCGTCCAGCGTAGACGCTGTCTGCACCACTGTAGACGTGCTTGGCGGTGGTTTCCTGTCAAAATGGGACGTCTGGTGGGTTTTCTAGCGACAATCCCTGCACATCTGAGGCGACGACGTACGGTTTGTGAAGATATTCGTCGAAGGCCAGGGATGCTTTTTGCAGTCACTGTTGCTGGCTGGAATCGATTTCGTAGGTGTGTTGTTCAAATCCAGTTGTCTTGTCGATTATTGGTTACGCGTGGCCTGCCACTCCGAGGATGACTACATTCGTCTGTTGCCAACGTTGCCATAAACACCAAATGGTGTTTCTGTGGACGTTATATTGTCTTGCAACATCACGTTGACTCGATCCTGTTTCAAGCATAGCAATGGCTCGCAGACGCTCATTTTCGGACAGGCGAGGCATTTCGTAATGTTGAATAATTGCGTAATTTCGTTGTTTGTCTGAGTGGTTGTTGTCAGCACCATGCTAAACAATGCATATGGAATCCCATTAACGCACATGTTTTTTTTTATATCCATTCTTTGGTAGTGAAATGCATGAGGCTTGAATAAAAGTCAACTTATGCATGGAATGCATGCTTTTCTGTAGCAATTCCGTTTTTGTGACTTGATTCCATACATGTATTACAATATTGAAAACCAAACTTTACTTGTTTGAAAGATACACTAAAATATTGGTGTCACAGGAACTTTTGTTGTTGAGTATGGATACTTGTCTGGATTTCCTAAGTAAAATTCGGGATTTCTACTTTCAGCAATACTATTCATGGATATTAGGGACATACCTTTTTCATGTCTTCATACTGCACACTGCATACTTCAAAGCCTTTGTAGGTGTTGAATATATTGGTCATTTCGCGCCTGTAGTCAAAGTACGATCCGCCAGTTGCTTGAAATCACATTTAAAGGAACTAACTACAAATGGGATGGTGTTTGCATGTCGGTAATTCTGACAATGACACTGTAGGTAAAATGTAGGAAAGCTGAAACTGATGTAGGTTTGTTTGGCATGATGGGAGTATATTATATGAGGATGCCGATTTTGACAAAGATGGTGGTCGCTTTAGTCATAGACACGCCCTAGCAATAAGAGATTAATGTATAGTAATACAAGTCGGTGGTGGTAACGAGGATGATGAAGAAGGTGTGTGTGTGTGTGGGGGGGGTGGGTGGGGGGGGGGGGGTGAGGTGGGGGGGGGGGGTACGGTGTGTGTGGGGGGGTAATGTTGTGACGGTGGTAATGGTGGAGGTGTGGGTAGGTGCTGAAACAGTTTTGTTTGTTTAACGTCACGCGACACAGGAGGTGAGAGTTGGTTGTGATGATGGTGGGGTGGGTAGGTGAATGTATTTTTGAGGTTGAAAGGCTTTTGGCGGATTTAAAGTATGAGATTGAAGATGTTGACTTAGCGAAAGTTGCTTGTTATCGTGATGGGTAGATGTTGATCGTTGATGAATAGTTTGTTGTAGTGGTGACTGTTGTTGAAATAATATTGTTATATAAAAAGTTACCTCATGGCATTAATATACTGTTATCGATGGCACCATCTCAATTATGAACATTTACAGTGTGTATGCACTATTAAGCAAACATAAAGTTCTCTTTATAATTAACAGCCTCATCTCTCTCAATCCATCATATACCAATTACATTGTTAATGTATGGCAGCATTTATGTGAAACGATGTCTTCATCACTTACTAAATCCAAGGCCATCGAGAAAAAAATCAAGATAGTCGTTCCAGGAGCCAGTGTAAGTCGGTTTCTGTAACGGGTTGTCTTTCCAGACCTGTCTGCACAGCTGACTGTAAGCGGACACTGCACAATCTTTTGGGTTCCTATTGACGTACACCATCTTACATCGTTTCGTCCATATGGCCTCTGGCAGTTGGCTGCAATCATACGTTGTAAGACCATTATCATAGTGCTATTTGTTTCAGCCTCGCAGCAGCCAGTTGATGTATTCTTAGCAGAAGAACATGAACCAAAATTTCCTTTCAAGAGTTCTTATTGTAAGAACTTGGAAGAGCCGACTACGAGGATCGAGTGGTCAAATTCGGCGACTTGGTTGATTGCCTGTCAGTTTGTTTGTTTGTTTGTTTTGTCATTTAACACCGCAATCTTTCATATTTAAACTGATTCTTACTGTGTAGTCGAGAGTTACCTACCTTCCTTCATAAACAAGGGACAACTCGATCGTTCGAGAAGTTTCATGATGTGACAGAACGCTGACTGCCTATATAAGAATGGCATCAGGGCGAGTCGAGAGCTTTAACGACCTGATCTTATCTACTTGCCACGTGCGGACGGAATCGGTCTGAAAACACTAAAATTCTACAAACTTTGTTGAACGGACATATATCATAATACATAACTATGTGTTTCAATGTAACTAATTATTTGTTATTTATCCTGTATGATCCTTTACTGATTTCACAATTAAGTTCTGAACAAACCGATTTCTGGATTAATCTTTTAAACATCCCACATACTCTAATTTGGGTACTAACACAAGCCATCAGTCAATCCCCCGATCCTGACCGCCCGATCCAATTTATATGCAATCACACACTAATATTGATTGATTAATTGTTGATTGTTTAACGCCACACTAAGCAGTATTCCAGCTGTAAATAATCGAGTCTGGACCCGACAATCCAGTGATTGACATCATGAGCATCGATCCATGCAACTGAGATCGATGACATGTATCAACCAAGTCAGCGAGCCTGACCACCTGGTCCCGTTAGTCGCCACTTACGACATGCAAGCATAGGTTGCTGCACACACTAATAAGCATACTACACGTCTGTATATAATCATACATTTAAATGTATCAAATATAATCTAAACACGAGCTATCAATAGATCCAGATCTATGTCTGGAGTGCCTTTCAATTCAATATAACAGAAGCTCCTACATCATTCTTAAAAAGAAAAAGAAAATATAATTTATATAAATGGCTGGATTTACTTACGACGCTAAAAAAACCGGACCGTTTTATGTGATCATTATATATTACCTGGGCGGGAGATGGGTGTGGAGAATTCGAGGTGATGGCAGTTCATCCAGTTCTTCGTTAGTCCGGTACTCCAGAAACGCCGAGTTTAGCCAATGTTTCGTGTATCCCACGGCGCCTGCCACAACCATGTTGAGGATCTCCCACGCCCAGTGAGTACCTTGTGAATAGGCAGGAGATGCATGTGAAGATTCATTGTAAATGGAATGTTTGTCAATGTACAACATCAACACAGAAGCACAATCCCGATTATCCCTCGCAACAAATTGCATTGGATGTAAAAGGCAAAATAGTGGTGGAATGTACATGGATGGATTACTGAAGTTAACCTAAAGTATTTCAATGAATAGTTTCAAACTGTTCATAACTGGCCTGTTCGTAAGTGATTATGTCAAAACTGATCAAACTCGTAAATGTTTTCCTATTGGTGAAATTGAACAAGGTGTTAGGCTGACTAAATATCATCTGGACGAACACGGATTGAAACTAGATAATACCTCGACGCATATGGAATCAAACTAAATACAACCTGGACGAATACGGATTAAAACTAGACGGATACGGACACAAACCAGATATAACCTGGGCGAATACGGATTCAAACTAGATGAATACGCATACAAAACCAGATATAACCTTGAAGAATACGGATTCAAACTTGACGAATACGGATACAAACTAGATATAACCTAGACGAATACGGATTCAAACTAGCTATAACATGGGCGAATACGGATTCAAACTAGTTATAACCTGGGCGAATACGGATTCAAACCAGATATAACCTGGACGAATTCAGATTCAAACTAGCTATTACATGGGCGAATACGGATTCAAACTAGATATAACCTGGACGAATACGGATTCAAAATAGATATAACCTGGACGAATACGGATTCAAAATAGATATAACCAGGACGAATATGGATTCAAACTAGTTATAAACTGGACGAATAAGGATTCAAAATTGATATAACCTGGACGAATACGGATTCAAACTAGTTATAACCTGGACGAATACGGATTCAAAATAGATATAACCTGGACGAATACGGATTCAAACTAGCTATAACATGGGCGAATACGGATTCAAACTAGCTATAACCTGGACAAATAGGGATTCAAAATAGATATAACCAGGACGAATGCGGATTCAAACTAGTTATAACCTGGACGAATACGGATTCAAAATAGATATAACCAGGACGAATATGGATTCAAACTAGTTATAACCTGGACGAATAGGGATTCAAAATAGATATAACCTGGACGAATACGGATTCACACTAGTTATAACATGGGCGAATACGGATTCAAACTAGCTATAACCTTGACGAATACGGATACAAACTAGATATAACCCGGACGAATACGGATACAGACTAGATATAACCCGGACGAATACGGATACAGACTAGATATAACCTGGACGAATACGGATACAAACTAGATATAACCTTGACGAAAACGGATACAGACTAGATATAACCTGGACGAATACGGATTCAAACTAGTTATAACCTGGACGAATACGGATTCAAAATAGATATAACCAGGACGAATATGGATTCAAAATAGATATGACTTGGAAAAATATGGATACACACAAAACATAGCATGATCAAATACGGATACAAACCAGATATCACCTAGACGGATACGGATTCAAACTAGCTATAACCTGGACGAATACGGATACAAACTAGCTATAACCTGGACGAATACGGATACAAACTACATATAACCCGGACGAATACGGATACAGACTAGATATAACCTGGACGAATACGGATACAAACTAGATATAACCTGGACGAATACGGATTTAAACCAGATATAACCTGGATGAATATTGATTGAAATCTATGACCAGCGAATGAGCAATGCCTTACACTACAGGTCTCACGTATATTCTTGACCTAGATTTTCAGAACATTCAACTATCTCCCTGTTGTTGGTTATATATAATCAATCCGTTCAAAGTAACACGTAGAAACTTGAATGTTCTCGAAGTTTAGATCAATAATATACGATACTCGCTTTCACAGGATTCGATGGCCAAATGATACTTCAATGACAAAAATTTCCTACAGACCTTCATTCGACCTTAAGTCGGCCCTTACGAGGTGAAGGTGAGGTGAGGTGAGGTGAGGTGAGGTGAGGTGAAATTGGGTTTAACGTCGCGTCCAAGATTATTGGACGTGCATGTGCGTGTGTGTGTATGTGTGACTGTTTGTACTAGTCCGGACTGATGCCGATTTATAGTGCTAGCTCACTGAGATCCCATGCCGCAGTTTAACATGAATACCCAACTCAGATACAGCATACTGACTCCGAGCCGACCAGTCCTTGTTTTAGCCCCTCAATGCCGAGAGTCAGACAGGGTAACAACAAGTACCATCTTTTAACGTCTCTTGGTGTGACACGGCCGGGGATCGAACCCCGGACCTTCCGCTCTGCGGGCGGACACTCTACCACTAGACCACGGAGGCGGTCCGCCACTTACGAGGTTTCTAGCGATCACTTCTCACACGAAATGAAAACAGCAGCACTTATTTCTTGGAATGCCTACCTGACTTTGGATATGTACACAGGATGATGTCGTCGTCTCTGATGGAGTACGTCTTCACCCTCTTTATAGCTTCAACCATGAACCCTGCCTGCACATAACCGTCCAGTACCACCAGATCCACATTGTATCCAGACTTCATGGCTCTCTCGGCAAGGGCTGACATCTCCTCTATTGTTGGTGAATATAGATGAATGCTTACCGCTTGCTTTCAGAGGTGAAAAAATGTTTAGATACGATATCATTTGTTTTATCATTTTCATATGAGTGAGTGAGTGAGTATGGTTTTACGCCGCTTTTAGCAATATTCCAGCAATATCACGGCGGGGGACACCAGAAATGGGCTTCACACATTGTACCAATATCGGGAATCGAACCAGGGTCTTCGGCGTGACGAGCGAACGCTTTTACCACTAGGCTACCCGACTGCCCCCATTTTTATATGAATAATACGAAGTAAAAGTGATTGATAAGAATGCAGTATTTAGTTGCTAATATTTCAGTCAGGTTTTGAAATTTTGGTTATGCCTTCTTTAAAAGAAGAGTTGTAGACGTAATATTGCGTTCATTTACAAAGTAGGTCAGGTCATTCACACGTCCTTGAAATAGATCTATGTCATTTGTGTCACAGTTCTAATGTTAACCGTATATCAAAACCAATTTCACAAACCCATCCAGATGAATAACCTACCGTTCATAGTAAATTATATGATCCTAAAATTCGCGTCTGGGTCAGACAAGGCTTTCAAAATGTCCGCTTCTCTTTAAGTCACGCGGCTTAAAATGATAACAGTGGTATGTGTGTGTGTGCACAGACCGTTGTGTTTACAGTGGACGATCAATGTTAAAGGAACACGACAGCCTGTTACAGATATGTGTTTGGTATAAGGGTTAGTTTGTTTTTTACTAAATGAGAGCGCCATTGATGGTTCGTAATGTGGCTAATCCGTGCAATTTGTTCATTTTGTTTTAAAAAGAGCTTAAAATGTTTAGGGTAAATATATCTCATTTCGTTTATGTTAACCGGTCTCTATTTTGTAAGAATAAACTATCGCGCATTGAGCGATTATCTCCTTTAGCTATAGGCGTACATCGTATCTTATTCAAGCTGTATCACTGAGAGTGAGTGGTTATCTCCCTTACCCAAATAGCTCTGTTGCGTACGACTTTTGGAATGCATCGTATGTTATTCAGGCAGCCAGGGAGAACGGTTCAAGGGAGGAAGTCAAGCATGTGACACGCTCTCAATCGACACACTGCTTTTCCAACTTATTTGACATTTCTTTTGAAGTTCTGACAGAGATTATCCACCCGTTCTTTGCTCCGGGGTACACATAGGAAATCAACAGGTTGGACTGTAGTTTGCAATGTTTTTCCTAAGAATGATCAACTCGTTGCGATACACGTATATCACGCTGGATACCGAGTATTTCTGACGGACATTTTCCTAAGATCTGAAAAGTAAAGGCATCTACCTAGGCATCTGCGATATAATTTCGCAGAGATGTAGAATATTAAATTTCCCATCTGATGGTGTAAATTTTACTGCCATGTGTTGTCCGAGAATGCTGTTGAAAAACAGCAAATTTCTCCGCTTTTTATCGTACACCGATAAAAGAACTGTGCGACGATTTTTTTGTTTTATTAAGCAGCTTTACGGAAACTGTGAGCGAACAAAATACTGCCTAATATCTGAACGACATAAATGTATATGAAATGGATTTATATGCTTATGTATAACGTTATACGTTCCATACAAACAAAATCTGCCGTATATGACGAAAACCGGTTTTACTCGATGACGACGAAAGACAGACATACACATAAAAGGGGTCACTGCGTTATTCTTAGCCCTAGGAGGGGGCACGGGTGGCCTAGTCGTCTAAGGCGCCGCGAATTCGCTGTGTAGTGTTGCATCCCTTAGGCACGCCAGAAGCCTATGATTGTGGGTTCAAATCCTGGTTCGCTCCGATTATGTTTCTAGGTTGTCAGCACCATACCCGTGGTCGTGGGTTTCATCGAAGTGGTAAACGTCTGAGACCTGCATCACTTCGGGCTTTCCTCCCATATTAAGCTGACACGGCGCGATATAACTGGAATACTGTTAAAATGCGGCACTAAACACACCTCACTCACCCACTCTTAACCTTTGGATATAGCAACTCAGGTCACTTGGTGAGAATTAGCTGTGGATAAGGATAATATATTTTCGTGGTGTTTTGTTCACGAGGAACCAAACTATTCCAACACAAATATCGATATTGTAATTGCATACGTTTATATATAAAAAAACACATACGAAATGATAAAATAGTACTTCATAAAAAGGAAGTAGTAGCGAAATGGATGGCCCTAACCCTGTCTCACCTACTAATTTAGCCCTCAGATTCCAATATTCTCCTGATTGTGCAATTGTAATCTGACTTATGATACACCATTCAAAATGGAGCACTAGCCTTTTCGTAAAATGTAATAAATTACTGAAAAACGTCGTGGCTTGCTTTATGTCTTTGGCAACGTATTTGGCAACGTCGTAGAAATACGTCATTGGTATTTTGATTAATCTATATCTCCCCTAATGTTCGTTCATGGTATGGAAAATGTCGATGAGTAATATGGAATTTAGCGCTTTTTCGACACAACATAAAATGACTGCTTTTACCATGAAAATATTGTCGTGAATATATAAGCCATTATACGTTTTACCGTGTATCTTAATTTGACACGACGCGCACCTGTTTGACATAAATCTTACGTAATCAAATACCAAAAAGAAAATTTCCAAACAAACAAAATTATCTTCAATATTGGATATGTCTTTGTTCATTATGATGTGATTATTTCTCTTTATCTCGTCTCAGAATCTCGACTCATGTGTCGTGCGTACTCGCCTAACAGGCAGTGCCCTTGTAATGTCGATACTGATGATAAAGGAGTGGTCATCACATCTTCACTTTCTTCATTTAGGGGCGGTCGGGTAGCCTAGTGGTTAAAGCGTTCGATCGTCACGCCGAAGACCCAGCTTCGATTCCCGACATGGGTACAATGTGTGAAGCCCATTTCTAGTCCCCCGCCGTGATATTGCTGGAATGTTGCTAAAAGCGGCGTAAAACCAGACTCACTCACTGCTCCTTTTATATTCCCATCAAAAGATTCAGTATAATAATACTTAGAAACGAGACCTGCATCACTTCGGGCTATCCTCCCACATTAAGCTGACACGCCGTGATATAACTGTCATACTGTTAAAAGCGGCGTAAAACCCAACTCACTCACTCACGCAAAGTGAGGGTTGAAGAGAAGAAGAGAAAGGACATGTCCGAACATCTCTGGCATGATCCAGAGAGGGGAGGGGTTCTACCATTTATCGTATGTATTCCAGATGCTATTGAAAACACATCGGAATCCTAGGGGGACGGCAGCAGTTACGGAAAGGGGCGAGGTTTGCCGATTACAGTTAATTGGTGGCCATTTTGGGAGCAGCGGGGGTTTCGACAGTGTGTATGAGGAAGTACCCGTACGTCGTTGTATGGAATGTGTGTTTGCCTAGCATGGCAGGCGGTAAGGCCGAGTGACAAGGGATATCCCAGCGGACGTGATATTCCTACAAAAGAAATATTTCGAAACCTCGACTAAATTGGCCAAAAATGAGATTGCAGTCGAGGTCGTGCTGGAAGCTGTTCAAAGTGACATATTCAGTTGAGGAACACAGGAATTCGATGATAGCGTGTGTAGCATAATAAATTCGTATAGACAAAACAACACCCCTATATACATACTCACTTTAATTACTCAGTGAGAATGATTATGTAGTGATTGGTGGGCCCACACTCGTGCATTGGGTTACATCGGATTGAACGGGCGTGATCGAGGCACGTGACAGGTGACAAGGGACATATTGAGACTGAACATTGAACTGAACCATAAATAGAGGTCATTCCACCTCGATCTTCCCTTCATCTGACGCACGCTGGTAAGCAATCCTTTCCTCATCACTGGGTTTTCACAACAACTTTTAGCCTAAACTTACTTTTGCAGACGTGAAAAACCAAGAACAAATTTAATGACAGGGAGGTTTTACAAAAGTGAACATAGAGAGTGGGAGATAAGACATTTTAAAGGTATGGACATTTTCACTTGAACTATATCATGTGGAGATTTTTTGGTGGGGTAGCCTAGAGGTTGAAGTTCACACTTCATGCTGACGATAAAGGTTCGATTCCTGTCATGGGTACAATGCGTGAAGCCAACGTCTGATGTTGCTGGAATATTGCAAAAAAGCGGCGTAAAACCATACCCATGTTTGTTGCCACGTATCCATAACATGGTTCCTTATTGGATGATTTGCTTTTGGCCATGTAAGGGCAGAAATACCATCAGTTATTACTGACAAATATCTCTTGAAAACCTTTCAAATGATTCCCTATTGCACACATTACATGTGTGGCTGTGGTTAAATATTTGTTAAGCATGTCACATTTTCGGATCAGTGTTTGTTTGTGTTAGTCAACTGAAATGAAAATGGATCTAGTCTAAAGTTTTCAAAACCCAGTGGTTTCAAATGGCTCAAAGGTAGTATATTCCGAGTACTAACCATTATATATAGCATGTTAAGGAATCCATTTGTATATTATTGACCTGAACAATATGCATATCCAGAAAATAGGTTATGGTTACCAACGTAAACCAAAATAAAATAATAATCAATTACATAAATTGCATCATTTGTTTTGATTTGTTTGCTGTTAACATGGTTAATATTGCACTCAGTAAGATTCTAGCCATATGATGACGGCCTGTAAATAATCAAGTCTAGACCAGACGATCAACCATCGGGGCTAACCACACAATATATTAACTTTTTAACCTCCCACCAATTAAACACTACTCTCTCTTGACTTATGCTCCGGCACGAGACTACACTCTGCACACAACTCTGACATTAAAGAATCTTCTGGGCTGTGACGTTCCTGGGATGTATATTGTCGACATGTTGTGGACCGCCTCCGTGATCTAGTGGTAGAGCGTCAGCCCGGAGTGCGGAAGGTCCGGGGTTCGATCCCCGGCCGAGTCATACCAAAAGACGTTAAAAGATGGTACTTGTTTTTACTTGACTGGTCGGCTCGGAGTCAGAATACTGTGTCTGAGTGGATATTCATGTTAAACTGCAGCATGGTATCTCAGTGAGCTAGCACTATAAATCGGCATCCGTCCGGACTAGTTCAAGCAGCCACACAAACACACACACGTGCATGCAAACACACACACGTGCTATATAAGTGCAATAATCTTGGACGCGACGTTAAACCCCATTGCACCTCACCTCACCTCTACATGTTGTGTATTGCAGTGGATTTTTTACACCCGGGTTTTACCATGTTCATTGTTAAAAGGCCCAAAGCATTTTAAGTTTAGAGGAATTTATATTTAAAAAATCATAACATTGTGCTGGCAAACGTGACAAACATCTCTGTAACTGAATCACAGACAAGTGTTTGTAATTGCAACGAATATTGTGCTAAGATTTTTTTTCTTCAATTTGTTACTTTGAACACAAAGAGAACGATGTATTAATAAACAAATACATTTCAACAATGGTTTACAACATGTGTTCAAGTTCATTAGAACCTTAGGTATTTGTTCAGATACACAAAATATACATCATGTATACAACATTTCTTTACAGTGCAGTTTACACGTTGTACAGCGATGGGACGAGAGGTCGTTCACAACACTGCGAAACTCAATTTCATGATCATAAACATATATGATCTTGGGAATAGTCAGAAAGCTTGACTGCATGCCCGTTCGCGACATAGCATCGCTGTTTCTTTCATAAAATGGAAACATTTTACAAATTCGTCAATATCTATGGCATCTTGTTCCTCCTAATGTCTGAGCGAGTGCACGTTACAATTTAAGTACTTCTTTACAGCTACAGACTTATAATGCTTAACACTTAATTGCGACAAATCAAATACTTCAAATGTGTGAAGCCCATTTCTGGTGTCTCCTGCTGTCATATTGCTTGAATAATGCTAAAGGCGGCGTAAAGCCATACTCACTCACTTTAAATTTGACTATGGTACCCGGTTCTGTCAAATTATCCATTTCCGCCTCAGGTTAGGATGCAGTGATCTAAATACACACATATATCACAGACATACTCATGAAGTCTATTAATGGCATTAAGAAGTGATACACATAAGGAGGAGAATGTATTGACATCAACTTCTTTATCATGACTATCACAACATTTTGGAGTATGTGCTTACTCCTTCTTTGGGTGAGTTTTCATGATTTTACTCCAACTGCATGGATCGATTCTCATTATCACTGGATTCTCTGGTCCAGACTCGATTACTTACAGACCGAGGTCACATAGCTGGAATAGTGCTGAGTAAGGCGTTAAACAACAAACAAATCCTGCCCGACCGCTGGCACCCGTCACAAACACATGCAAAGGCAAGTCAATTGTTCACCTGACAGAAACACGGGAACACATAGTACAAGTCAAAGTAGGGAATTCCTTTGGACATCATTTTTGTAACTGATGTTTCAAATTTGGAAATGTCCGAACGTCTCCAATGACTATAATGTTTCTGAAAGTTTTACTGAAGCCTTGAAGGTTGCAACAATTTCTCAGCATAAGGTATCCTATAAATCAGTCAGCATGGTTGTTTCTAGTCTCAATGTGTCATCTCGCATGCCGATGTCGCAATTCTGGCCTGTTTGGCACGGAATCATTATCTGCAGGTATATCGGTGACTTGATTGTATATGCAAATACGATATGTACCCCCCTGGAGTGCCAAGCACACGACACAGCTGACATTTCACTTATTCCGAAACAAACAATACTTACTGTTCGTGACCGCCTCCGTGGTCTAGTGGCAAAAAGTAACACAAAATTTGAAGATATCCTACGCAAAAATAAATCAAATTACAGGCAAAATTACAATGTTATCGCTTTCAGATATACTAACGATACAATGGTTCCAATGCAGAATATTATATACTTCCTTCCAACAATGATTTGTCAACACTAGGCTACATGGACAGCAGTAGTTGTAGTTTCTGTGCCACAGACACAGAAACACCTGAACATTTAGTCTGTATTGCATCACATCTGGAAACAACCCGAACACTCGCTGTATAACAAACATCAAATCAATATCAATATCAACTTTATTCATGTTGTGCTTAGTTATACAAGTAGAGACACTGACCCAGTAAACATAATCATTATCCTTCAAACACTTGATTTTCTGAAGTAAGCTAAGCAAACCTACCCTATTCCAGGAGTTCCAGAATGAAGTGAAACAAAACTATATGAGAACAAAATGTTCGTTCTTACTCGTGAGTGAGTGAGTGAGATTGGTTTAATGCCGCTTTTAACAGTATTCCAGTTACACCACGGCGTGTCAGCTTAATGTGGGAGGAAAGCCCGAAGTGATGCAGGTCTCAGACGTTTACCACTTCGGTGAAACCCACGAGCACGGGTATGGTGCTGACAAACCTAGAAACATAATTGGGGCCAACCGGAATTCGAATCCACGATCATAGGTTTCTGGCGTGCCCAAGGGACGCAACTCTGCACAGCGAATCGCGGCGCCTTAGACGAAAGGGTCACCCGTGCCCCCTTTACATTTAATAAAGACTGGTCTTGCCATGCTCTATTTCTGTGAAAACCCTGAACACTATTCTAATATGACCATTAAATGCCACCTTTGGGGATTATTTCGGCACATTTTGCCTACGTGTGCCTAGCGTGTTGATAATTATGAATTGTAGGGCATCGTAGTATAAGGGAATGATATAGATAGAAGAACTGACACAAGCTGACACTGGGAAGGATTAACCTATCATCATACAATCGTAGTTAACTTAACCATTCCGGGAAACGTGTTTCAGTAAGGGAACGATTTATTCAGCTTTGATTCATATATTTTTTCGAATTTCTCGCTTTGGGCGACTGTGAACCAGTTCTTCCAGTCACCGGTTTTTCCTGAAAGTTAAATATATAACATCGTATCATTTCATAGAATATGTGGGCATAAAACTACATTTTAACGATACTTTCACAGTACACACAGTTGCTACCAACACAAATAGTGAATTTGCCAACCATGGTGTTCCAGAAAGCGTATGGCAGTTGTTCAGTGAATATGTGTAAGGCCACTTGTGCGACGCTATCCCATGCTGTGGTCATTTCAAACCTCCATACTCACTGGCACGTACATTTAAAATGGAAAACTTGTGAAGTTCAGGTGCTGCCGGGTCCGGAGTAGCAGGAAACTTTACACTTTTCAGTTTCAGTACAAGTGATCCTTTCATATAATTTGCAGTATTTTGCCTTTTACTCTCTGTCATTGTGTGTTTGTTTGTTGCTTAACTCTGCACTCGGCAGTATTCCAACTATATGGCGACGGTCTGTAAATAATCTTATTTGGACAAGACAATCCAGTGATTGACATCATGAGCACCTGCATCAACAAAATCAGCGATTTTGACCACCCGATTCCGTCAGTCGCCTCTGACGACAAGCCCAGACCCGTGAAAATCCGGGTGAGAATAGGTCTTCTGCAACCCAACCAAATAGCGTCAAACAACAAAAAAACGACATGCATAGCCGTCTCTTTCGTGAACACCTTGTATCATGACTATTTATTAGTGATTCATAGAAACAAGCTCATGGTTTGTTTGGAAACGATCAATGGTTGCAAATTGGTTGGTTTGGTTGGTTTGGTTGGTTTGTTGTTTAACGCCGCACTGAGCAATATTCCAGCTGTATGACGGCGGTCTGTAAATAATCGCGTCTGGACCAGTGATTGACATCATGAGCAGCGATCAACTCAATTAGGATACGATGACATGCATCAACCAAGTCAGCGAGCCTGACCCCCCGATCCCGTTAGTCTCCTTTTACGACAAGCATAGTCGTCTTTTACAGCAAGCATGGGTTGCTGAAGACCTATTCTACCCCGGATCTTCACGAGTCCGATCAATGCTTTCAGCAGATATTTCACATGATTATGGAAACTGTTTTGTGGCCTTAATTTATATTTTACAGTTCGAGTAGTCACCTTTTCTGAAGTATCCACTTGAACCCTGTTGCCACTTGAAGTGGTAGGTCTGATCCTTGATGTTCTCGTTGGCGTGTTTCAGGTTGCGGAAGGAACATGCTTCTGCTATCTCAACGTACGTTTTCTCCGGAAGAGGGCGGTTAAGATATTCAGCCATTCTTCTTATCTCGTTCACGCAATTCTTTCGAAGTAAAACAGATGCTTTTGACAAATTAGATATCACATACGCAACTGACTAACATTTTTATACATAACTTTACTAGAAAGTATTGGCGAAACATTAGAGTCATACTGTCGAATAAAACTTACTCCTCATTGACAGTGTTTTAAAGTTACATGTAATGTAAATATTACACTTGTACTTGCACCATGAGGCACATTAAACAGTACTGTCAGGATTTATAATTGTTATAACATTTTGGATTTAATCTTCTAAGCATTATCAAACGTTAAAACGGACTATTGTTGAATCACTTAAACAATTATTGTCTTGAAATATGGTTATCCATTTGCTTCCATACATATCTGCCAGTGCATAAGCAGATCATAAACAATTTATTTCAAATGTTTAACATTTGAAGTATATTTGCTATAATATTTCGTACTGTGTTACTCACCTGTTTCATGTCTTTAAACTGAACTTGGCAGATACTGTATTGTTCTGCTGTTTTCTTCCAATCAAATATGTAATCAAAAATTGACCCGTACGCAACTGAAACAAAGACCAAATTTGAGAATAACTGGGGTTGAGGTTCCGTGACGCTTTGAGGTTCCGTGAAGTGAAATGGAGTTTAACGTCGCGTCCAAGATTATTGCACTTATATAGTGACGTGCATGCACGTGTGTGTGTGTGTGTGTGTGTGTGTGTGTGTGTGTGTGTGTGTGTGTGTGTGTGTGTGGCTGCTTGTACTAGTCCGGACTGATGCCGATTTATAGTGCTAGTTCACTGAGATACCATGCCGCAGTTTAACATGAATACCCCACTCAGACACAGTATACTGACTCCGAGCCGACCAGTCCTTGTTTTAGCCCCTCAATGCCGAGCGCCAGACAGGGTAACAACAAGTACCATATTTTAACGTCTTTTGGTATGACGCGGTCGGGGATCGAACCCGGACCTTCCGCTATCTACAGTATTGGTGATGACACATATCGTTTGTTCTGTTACTTTACTAAACTATATCATCTGTACGTTCATTAATAAGAACAAAGCTATCTTAACGCCAATAAAGATTATTGATCTGGGTCTTCTCATATGTGGTGACCCATGAAGATCCGGGGTAGAATATGTCTTCAGCAACCCATGCTTGCCGTAAAAGGCGACAATACTTGTCTCGCTGACTTTGTTGATGCTCGATCCCAATTGCGTTGATCGATGCTCATGATGTCAATCACTGGATTGTCTGGTCCAGATCGCCGTCATATAGCTGGAACATTGCTGAGTGCGGCATTAAACAACAAACAAACTAAATCTTATGGGGTAATGTTATCCATACCGTAACCATTCTGATACAAGGAAAGGAAGTCGTCCCATGACCCTGTAAAGCTGCACGTGACGTTCGAGTCATCTTTCCAGACCTGGTTGCTCTCCTGACAGAAGTAGGACACAGCACAGTCCTTGGGGTTTCTCCAGACGCACACCACCTTACATCCCATCTTCCATACCGACTCGGGCAGCTGCCTGCATGCATGGGGGGTGTATGAACATTGATACATACATGGATCATTCCTGCAATGTTTTGCAAACGTTACACATCAAAAACAAGAAGAAATGTAAACTGATAAGAAAAATAGAGGACAGCACTTTGCGTTACAACATGGCAAGAAAGTGAGTGATTACCACTATACAAATCTGTAATACATACCGGTGGTAGAGGGCGATTTTTGTGGGAGATTTTATTATTAATACCATTCTTACCGTGGCAGTACATGGGTGTGGAGGATCCTTGGTGATGCCAGTTCCTCCAGTTCTTCTTCAGTCCTGTATTCCAGCCATGCGGAGTTCTGCCAGTGTTTGGTATACTTGGCCTTGCCTGCTACGATCATGTTAAGGATCTCCCATGTCCAGTGAGTGCCTTTCGTTATCATAAGACAAACATTGTTATAGAGTCGTCGCTGTCATCTGTTTGTCATTCAACGCCCTTATGTAACGACAGGACACAAATAGTAAATGTTCAAAAGCTGAACCGGAAGGTGAATTTCAGCACAATCAGATGTCCTTTAAGGGACACATATATTTATTTGTTACCTGACTTTGGGAATGTGCACAGAAGGATGTCATCTTCCCGGAGTCGACGAGACTTCAACGTTCTTAACCTGTCTGCAATGATAGTCATTTGAACAACTCCGTCCTCGTCTGTCATGTCGTAAGGAATTCCCCCTGCCATTGCTATTTCCGCTGGGGTGGCCATCTTGACAAACTGTGACCAAATGAGAAAACTGCTGATATTGCTGAATGTGGAGTTAAACACACACACACACACACACACACACACACACACACGCACACACACACGCACACGCACACACACACACACACACACACACACACACGCACGCACACACACGCACACGCACACACGCACACGCACACACACACACACACACACACACACACACACACACACAATGAGCTCTATATATTAACAAATGGAAGGTTATCGTGACCCTTCTTCTGATTGGGTGACATTATGAAGGTGTATTTGTTCACATGAGTGATAATGCTGGCCACATCCAGCCACCCTAGTCAGGGTGTATCTACAGATGAACATGTATCCGATCAGCTATGCTTTTGCGCCCAAGTAACGTACACCGCCTGTTCCAGCCAGCTTGGCTGCATGTCAAAAATATCTGGTGGATGTGTCAAAGAATGAGTAGGATAAGATTCAGCTATCAAAGGTGGGCAGATATTAGTTGCGTTGTAAAAAAAATTGATTCCGGTACATTGACATCAGACTGATATTAAGTCGTTAATTTTGGAATTGTCATCAAAGTCTCTCTTCTCTGATTATAGAGTCTTCTCAAGGAGGTTTTAAAGGGTTTTCATTATTTTCAAACTCATTAACATAGTCACTTATCAAGAACATTTTGACAACGATATTGTTAAATAAGAGACATATTAGTTGCCCTTTGTTGAGTATATTTAGACAGCGTTATTTTTTATAGACTTGCATGGTTTCAAATTGCCCAAACCGTTTAGTCCCATCCCTGCAGTAAACTCAAAGCCTTTTAAAACAAAACGTTGATTGATTTACATTTTAAACGTGGCAATGACGTGATGTTAATGAAGGAATACGAATCTTTGAACAACAGTTCAACACAATCTATGATCGCAAATAGATGACTACAGGCCATGACCATGCTTCACTTTCTTTCTGAATAATCCATGTCTGTAAATGTTATACAAACTATTAAGTAGTACTGAAAGTTAAAGCGTTGAAAATTGACATGATGTAGAAAGTATACTTTATACTAACCAAGACACGTCTAGTTTTCTAAAAAACTGTTCCGATCCTACCTCAACCTACCTACCTTTCGACTCCTGAATTAAAAGTGTACAATGGTAAAGTCTTCAATGATAATGATGCATGACTCACCCTTACATGACTTGCCATAAACAGTATCATAATGAGTCGGCAATAGTTAAGCCACGTCACGGAGGACTGCTGGAGAGCAACGTGGAACAATGCGTATACTGTGGCCTGATTCAGCCTTGAATAATGTGTCTCTATTGCCCTGGCACAAAATACAAAACTTTTTTTGAGATTTGGAAGAGGTAAATGTGGCTGATTCAATTGGCATAATTCAGCATTTGCTTTGTGGTATATAAACGACGTGATAAGATTCATACGATAATATAAGAAACAATTAACTTCTGTAAAAAAAATAATTATAATGATGAATTGAATAACTAACATGTGTGCATGAATTTGATATTAACACATCATTCTAGCCCAAATCCAGAATCAGACTAAACACTTATAGCGGCGGACTAAGATTGAGATGCATACACAATCATATTTGTAACTGAAATCGTTTGTTTGTTTAATTTACATGACCGCGGCGTGTGTATAATGAAGTCTGTACCAGACAAGACAATAACTGATCTTATGAGCAAAGTTGTTGAAAACATTGCGTAAATTTAAATTTTATGGTAATGTGTTTATAGAAACGTTTGTTTTAGAATGTTTCAGGGACTATATCACATGAATCAGCAATCGTGTAGTCACAGATTCATGCAGGGGCAAGTTCACCTTCAAAACTAAAACAACACTTCCAGACTTTGACCTGAATCAAGATAACGTCTCCAAGGTCCGAAAATGAGCAAAACTCAAGACTGTACAAGTAACAGTTCAACAATTACTGGCATTGAAAGATTCATAAACTTTTTACCGCTGTTTTGGCTTTTACATCCAATGGAATCTGTTTTGGTGAATAATCGAGACTGGTTGTTCTCTGGCATTGACGTTTCATATTCACAATAAACTATTGACAATTACATCAGTCATGGGCTGGTTGTGGTTACTGGATGTGGCGATATTGGTAGCAGTGACTTGGTGGTAGCCATTGGCTGGTTGTCGTTACTGGATATGGCGATATTGGTAGCAGCTACTTGGTGGTAGCCATGGGCTGGTTGTCGTTACTGGATGTGGCGATATTGGTAGCAGTGACTTGGTGGTAGCCATGGGTTGGTTGTCGTTACTGGATGTGGTGATATTGGTAGCAGCTACTTGGTGGTAGCCATGGGCTGGTTGTCGTTAGTGCATGTGGCGATATTGGTAGCAGTGACTTGTGGTAGCCATGGACTGGTTGTCGTTACTGGATGTGGTGATATTGGTAGCAGCTACTTGGTGGTAGCCATGGGCTGGTTGTCGTTAGTGCATGTGGCGATATTGGTAGCAGTGACTTGTGGTAGCCATGGACTGGTTGTCGTTACTGGCTATGACGATATTGGTAGCAGTGACTTGGTGGTAGCCATGGGCTGGTTGTCGTTACTCGATGTGGCGACATTGGTAGCAGTGACTTGTGGTAGCCATGGACTGGTTGTCGTTACTGGATGTGGCGATATTGGTAGCAGTGACTTGGTGGTAGCCATGGGCTGGTTGTCGTTACTGGATATGGCGATATTGGTAGCAGTAACTTCGTGGTAGCTATGGGCTGGTTGTCGTTACTGGATGTGGCGATATTGGTAGCAGTGACTTGGTGGTAGCCATGGACTGGTTGTCGTTACTGGCTATGGCGATATTGGTAGCAGTGACTTGGTGGTAGCCATGGGCTGGTTGTCGTTACTGGATGTGGCGATGTTGGTAGCAGTGACTTGGTGGTAGCCATGGGCTGGTTGTGGTTACTGGATGTGGCGATATTGGTAGCAGTGACTTGGTGGTAGCCATGGGCTGGTTGTGGTTACTGGATGTGGCGATATTGGTAGCAGTGACTTGGTGGTAGCCATGGGCTGGTTGTCGTTACTGGATGTGGCGATATTTTGTTTACAATGACTTGGTGGTAGCCATGGGCTGGTTGTCGCTAGTGGATGTGGCGATATTGGTAGCAGTGACTTGGTGGTAGCCATGGGCTGGTTGTCGTTACTGGATGTGGCGATATTGGTAGCAGTGACTTGGTGGTAGCCATGGGCTGGTTGTCGTTACTGGATGTGGCGATATTGGTAGCAGTGAGTTAGAGGGGCTGATGAATCGTTTAAGGTATAGGAAAGAAGGGGGTGTCATATTCAAGAATAATCTCCCTAAAATATCAAATAAGTTCAAAAGACAGTTGATTAAATGACTTACTGTATTCCTTCTGAAATACTGTTATCAGTCGTGCCATGGGCCTGTATAGTGCGTTTACCTTGAGGGTTGCCTTTCCAGATCTGTTTTCTGGCTTGGTTGATACTACACATTCTCTAGTGTTTCTCTAAACAACATAAACTTACGTGTAGTGTTGCATACTGCGTCGGTGGTACCTCACGCAGCATAATCGTTTGTTTGTGTTTTTAACCACTGTAATAATGAAGACATGAAGCTTTATTGACAAGGGGCACGGGTGGCCCAGTCGTCTAAGGGGCCGCGATTCGCTGTTGCGTCCCTTGGGCACGCCAGAAACCTATGATTATGGGTTCGAATCCCACGACTGTGGGTGCCAATGTATCTTGAGTGGGAGCAAACAAATAACGTATATGGGTGGATCTACCCGCCAGCCACCCTCGTGTAAGTGCGAGCGGGCGAGAGTCAGTTTCGGTTTACTCAGGGTACAATTGCAAGCCATGTTTACCACACATGGCCTTCAGACATTGGACATGGAGAACATACGTGATGCTACAATGACACTTCGTGAGCGGGGAGTCCCCGGGGCCATCGGAAATATGTCGACCTGCCTATATAATGCGGAGTGCCTACATAAGAACATAGGCTTCTGCCGGGACCATAACGATACACCGATAAACGACGTGTCAAGTTAATGGATTTCCATTCAACGAAGTTTAAATCTTTTTAAATGAACTCACAATGGTGCTTGCACAAAATGGTGGTCATATTTATTGATAGTGAGATTCCATATTATCTAATTGCATTATAATACGCAGACGATGTTTCGTTTGTTGTGGCAGTGCTGCAGTAGAAAATTAACGTTCTTTAACATTTCTAGGAAAGGAGGTAATTATTACAACACACAACAACAACAACAACAACATAAATAAATAAATAAATAAATAAATAAATAAATAAATAAATAAATAAATAAATAAATAAATAAATAAATAAATAAATAAATAAATAAAATAAAAAATAAATAAATAAATTATGGTGTTTCGACGAGGCTTAGTATGGAAAAACTGTTGTGATTTTATATTATCAGATTTATAAATTACGATGATGAATAATTGATACCTTTCATTGCAAGGCGCCTTAAAATATCTGACAGTGTTGTCGTTCCGATCTTGTGAACCTTCAAATTGCGGTTCAACGTACAACAAATTAATTGGAAATGTCCAAATATCTTTCTGTAAACGGTAGCTTCGTCTCTATGAATAGACCAATCAGAAGGTACTTCAGGGGAGTTCTAATATAGACTCACACTGCAGTCTGTCTATGACAGAGGCACGTGACGGAACACACACGTCGGGCAGACATGGGTAACGTGGGCAGAGGTGAGAGACCGACACAAAAGAGACAGGGGTGTCCAGGGCCCGGATTTTCAGGGGGCACCGTCTGAACCTACTAGAAATATCATTAATGCTGTAAAACTAATATTTAGGGCCTCCTCTCAAACCTTTCTGACTGTGAGTGTCTATCATTTTTAAATCATTTGACATAAATGGATTGACAGAAACTAAATTTGATGATACATACTGCGAATAACTTTATGAAAAAAAATATAGCCTATCCAAAAGACCTTGGTGGAATTTGTGTTCTCGTAAAAAAAGAATGTTCTAGATCATGTTAAAACTTCATGTATCACAGAAAGAGGTGCATACCTATTACTTGACAAGTCACTGTTTGGACTTCAACGACACGTGTTACATAGTTGTGTGTATATTCATCCAGAAGGATCTACATGGTACGACAGTAATGTTGGATCTAAGAACGGTATGGATGTTGCCATTTCAGGATGAACTGCTTGACATTCCAGGTGATGTTGGTGACGTTTCGTGCATTTTAGGGGGTGATCTTTAATGAAAGGACTGGTGAAGAGCCTGATTATGCGGAGGATGATATACTTGAATATCTCAATGGCCAGGATACTTCTTACTGGGACTTTCTCTTAGACAAATTTTATCTCTGTAGATATTCATTTGATACAGTTCTTAATAATTTATGAAAATGTTTGATTAATTTATGTATAAATTATGAATGGAAGTTATTCCTGGAAAGGTGACTTTACATTGTTTGCAATGATGGGGCAAGTGTTATCGATTACACCATAGACATATTTGACTATATACAACTATTGAGTCAAGCTTCATTCAGCATTATCTTGCCAGTGCCGTACTGGGACAGCACGGGACTGAAATGAACACGTTAAAGGTCGGTGATCCTCAGTTGTCCGATCATACCCGCCACTGGTGATATCATTTTCACTGTATGCCTCTATAATTTATCTGGCGGCCGCCAGATACTTCCACTGGTGAGATCATTTTTCACTGTATGCCTCTATATTTTGCCAGATACTTTTCGTTTCAAATTGGCTTACCACAACTTCCAGATCAGTGCCCTGGCAATCGACAGGTTGGAGATTGAGCGTTGATTCTAAAGTAGGTATCACCTGCTTTATGAGCCATTAGCAGAGAATTAGTAGACTTAGTGCTGATTGGGTGCTACGTTGGGGCTAACTCACACATAATGACAAATGAAAAGTTACTCATACATACCCAGCTACCTCACACACGTTGACCAGTGCATAGTTACTCACATAATTATACAGTGTCCATAGTCACTCACAGTAGGCCTATATAGAGTGAACTCTATGGTCTCACATACAGTGACCAGTGTGTCATGTCATATGCCATGTCGTCATATGTCATGTCATAATTGTTTTTGTCATGCATTGAAAAGGACAATCCCCCGAGAGCTTATTTTTGCCACATGTAGTCAATTTACTGGGGACATCACTATGGCAATGGTGTCCATAGCATCCATTTATTTGCAACCCCAGTGGCCAATTTGTGTCCACGTGTACACGCATATAATGTGCTAAATCCACTTGCATATAATGTGCTACATCCACTTGTTTTTGCGTAGTGATCCTTTGTTTACATTGGTTGTACGGCTCCACGTGCTGTCATCGAAGCCCAAAGGTGAGTGAGCGATAGAGTCACTTTGATGCGTAAATATGTATTGTCATGCAACTCACTGTTGCAGTTGGAGTAGCATTTTTATAAAATTATGCAAAACAATATGTAAAGCACCCCAAAATACTTGCATTATTCGTTCTATTCTGTTTTCTGAAAAAGCGTGTTTGTTTACAAACAAGAGAAAAATCCGGTCACGTGATATGCAAATTAGCCCGTGGCAGTGGTGTTATGCTGAGTCACCACTGTGCCGGAGTGTGATCACTGGATGTTACTGTGCCTCAGACGAGTTTATCTCTGAAGGAGAAGACAGAAGATGGCCCACAGTCACGTTCATCCCAGAAGGAGAAGACAGAAGATGACACACGACCAGGTTCGTCCCAGCAGGAACTGACCGCAGAGAGTGAAGTGATATACATCGATACTAGTCTCCCATCCAGTGATTGGTATCATTTCGATTCTAACGATGGTTACATCGTGGAATATGTAGCAAGTACCAGCAGTGTGTACTTGCCACCAATTGATATGGACATGATGGAGAATGCAGCAAGCATTAGCAGGGGCACGAGCTGCCTACTTGTGCATGATTGTAGTCTGATACTGTCCGATGGTATAATATTATTTAACGGCCAGCCAAAAATCCTCTAAGGTTTTGTGGCATCTCAACAAAAGACTCAGTTAAGAAAAACAACTCATTATGAATCAAGGTGACATCGCTGGCAGAATCTAACAATGCAAACGTTTTCATAACTCTACCACTCTGTCCATACACAAGAATTGGCACAATCTGAAAGAACACTGTGTTTCAAAATGACTGCATCTTCTTGTTTAGTGCTTCAACAGTTTCTGAATTATTTCGATGCAACAATGTGTGATGTTTCTTGCCACATCCTGGTTCTCGGCATGCCATCACAGAGAAACACTTATCTGCTGTGTGAGAGGGTTTCAAGCTGTTGAAACAGAGTTTATTCTCAGGGACGACAGTACTTCGTTCAGGAACAGCCTCGTTTGAAAACAGTGGGCAGTGATATAGATAATGAGGCTGTTTACACATTGGGCATGGTAACTTTGAACGACTGTCATATTGCTTGACTGAACCTTTTCGAGCAAGCGGAGTCTTACTGTTTTGTATGTCAGGCATGGAAACTGTCGTAGCATATACTGTGCTTTGTCTTTCAGGTCCCTTGTACCCTGAAGATCCGTCATGTTTAGTCAATTTCCTCTGGGTTGATGTATGAGCAGCGAATGCAACAGCATATGGGTTGAAATCTGCATCTACCCTGTCTCTAAGCCAATCGTTCCAATTGAGATCATACAGGTTGGGTTCTCTGGTTCTTGTGATGTGTCGCACAAACTCATTCCATTTTGTCGTTTGGGAAGCGTCTTGCAATTCTGAGCACAATATCTGGGCTGTGTAAATCAGACAAATACTGAAATTGCTCAAGTGTTGTAATGCAGTCCCGAATAGTGACGTAGAACTTTCGAAGAGATGGTGGGTCGTGACTTGCAATCATCGATCCTGAGGTCACTCTGTCCAAGAAAACTCTTGCGACCTTGATACGATGGCCGAAGGCACGCTTTAACTCTTGTAGTGCTAAAGCATAGTTGCGACCTGAATATCATAGCCCTTGCACAAGGTGTTTTGCATCCCCTTCCAAGTGAGACTGAAGTAAGTCCATTCGCCGAACATCAAGTATTCCGGGTCGAGTATGTACTTGCGCATGAAACTGCTCGATGAAACAAAGCCATTCAATAGCTTTACCACTGAACTTCGGTAAGTTGACCTTAGGCAGATCGCGCTCACTCTCAAGCTTGATAAGAGCATGAGTTAGGTGATCTTTATCTGAAGAATTCACCTCTGATATCGTTTCTTGTCCAAGAATGAGGTGATCAATCCATGCGTCCATCGGTCCAAATGGTTGACGGTTTTGCAGTGACAGGAGGTCGAGATACCTCGAAACTGGGAACATGTATGTTGAGTTGTGTTGGTTGTGATCTGAGTGTTTCTTTCATACTTGGGGTAAGTGCTTCTGAATGAGGGTTTTGTTGATCCACGTTACTACACTTGACAGCACCATCAGATGCTTCCAACCACTTCTGAATATATTCCCGTTTTCCATGCTCCTGAAAATGAGTTTTCCTATCAGCCACATTACTACCTACTTCAAGCATGTCTTCACGCATTTTCACCTCCAAATCTGCTTTATCATTTCTGTGTTTTGCTTCCTGCTTGACTTGTGTGGCCTGCATTTCAGCAATTTGCTTAGACTGATTTACATGAAGTTCAGTCATTTTTGCAGCAAGTTTTGCTGCTTCCTCAGCAAAAAATGCTTTCAGTTTTGCTTGTTCAGCTTTAAACACCATATTTGTATTGCTGCTCTTCCCTTGGCTGTAATTGTCATTTTCACTTTCAATTGATCTATTGTCACCTTGTGAGCTTATCACAGACAGACATTTAACAGATTTGCTCACTAAAATGTCTCCAATTTCTTCCAGTGCTTTATTTGCAATTATCTGCCTTTCCTTAAACAAAACCATTGCCTGCTGACATTCTGTTTCACCTTGCAGCACTGACAAATACTGCCTATGGGCATCATACAGAGCTTTTACCGCCACTTCAATTTTGTTGCATGTCACTGATAATGTTCGTTTCGACCTCTTTTCCGTAATTTGAGACCTTGCCGTAAATAATTGCCGTCAAACGAGCAGCATAACCACTCCTGGCATACTTCAAGTCTTGTGTTTCTGTGTTAAACTCGTATCTATCGGGATTAATTCCCTTTGTCAATCTGCTAGACTGTCTCGGCAAACCAGGCTCAGAACGAGTGTTTCGCAAGTGTTTAGAATCACATTTAGTATTAAGTGACAGTTTTGGGGGCTCAGCTTGCTTAGATTCCATCTTTAAAGGATAACTGAAAGTTCAAACACTTCTGTGCTAGATGAGAGGAATGTACTGTTTGAATGTTACAAGGCGTTCAGTTTTCGCGCACATGAAGAAAAGAGAACAAAGACGTATTAGTGTCTTTAGATATTTTAATCCGCTGCAATCGACGAGAAATACACAAATGGGCTTTGAGATTGAGTTGTGATTGTGTTTTACCCATCATTACTTTGTTTTTCTTCGTGACTGGCATGCGAAATTACAACGACATGCAATCCTCTCAATAATAGTTTCACCAACACAAGGGAGATAACTAAAAGATAATTATTACGGACTACCGCACAAAAGAAATAATCACACAAACTGTAAACAAATTAATGCTGGTCGTTAACACAGATGCTATCGACAAGGCAATGATGTATAAAATCCAAATCGGTCAAATGCCTTTGATGAAAATAAGGTAAATGTTACTATAATTAAGTAGGGTCCACAGACGCTCCTAAAAAACCTGACCCGTGAAGATTGCGGGGTAGAATAGTTCTTCAGCAACCCATGCTTGCCGTAAAAGGTGACTATGCTTGTCGTAAAAGGCGACTAACGGCTCGCTGACTTGGTTGATGCATGTCATCGTATCCCAATTGCGTGGATCGATGCTCATGATGTCAATCACTGAATTGTCTGGTCCAGACTCGATTATTTACAGACCGCCGTCATATAGCTGGAATATTGCTGAGTGCGGCGTTAAACAACAAACCAACCAACAACCAACCTAAAAAACCTGTCCACTTCATATGAATAAAATTTATTAAGAAAACCTTGATATATTTCAATAACAAACAGCATGGATCACCAAATCTGAGTCAAAACCATGCAGAAAGCAAGGAGCTAACTTGCTAACAACAATTAAGAGATATAATCAACATACCAACACGGCCTATTGCTAATCGAATAATAATAATAATAATATGGTCTAATGCAAGCATTCCATTTTAGGACCATTTTAGGTCATTCATACTATACTCAACAACAAAAGTTCCTGTGACACCAACATTTTAGTGTATTTGTAAAGTAAAGTAAAGTTTGGTTTTCAAGCATAGAATCAAGTCACAAAAACGCAACTGCTACAGTAAAGCATGCATTCCATGCAAAAGTTGACATTTATTCACTACCCAAGAATGGGTATAAAAGCACGTGCGTTAACGGGATTCCATATGCATTGTTTGGCATCGTGCTGAAAACAACCACTCAGAAAAACAACAAAATAACGCAATTATTCAACATTACGAAATGTCACGCCTGTCCGAAAATGAGCGTCTGCGAGCTATTCGTATGCTTGAAGCAGGATCGAGTCAACGTGATGTTGCAAGACAATTTAACGTCCACAGAAACACCATTTGGTGTTTATGGCAACGTTGGCAACAGACGAATGCAGTCAGAGACTAACCTCGGAGTGGCAGGCCACGCGTATCCAATAATCGACAAGACAACTGGATTCGAACAACACACCTACGAAATCGATTCCAGCCAGCAACAGTGACTGCAAGAAGCATCCCTGGCCTTCGACGAATATCTTCACAAACCGTACGTCGTCGCCTCAGATGTGCAGGGATTGTCGCCAGAAGACCCACCAGACGTCGCATTTAGACATCCCATTTTCACCGTCAAGCACGTCTACATCGGTGCAGACAGCGTCAACGTTGGACGGCCATGCAGTGGGGACAAGTTCTATTCACTGACGAGTCTCGTTTTTACCTCAGCCACAGCGATGGACGGATTCGAGTTTACCGACGTCAAGGTGAACTTTACGTCAATAATTGTGTCATGGAAAGAGATCGGTTCAGGGCGGCAGCGCTATGGTATGGGGTGGGATTACAGCAAGACAGAGGACCCTTTTGATAGTGGTAGAGGGAAATCTCAATGGACAGCGCTACCGCGACGAGATCATCGGCACCGTTTTTGCGTCGTCATGGCCCAGGCATTACCTTTCAACATGACTACACCCGGCCTCAATTGCTCGACTTGTTCAGGATTCCCTTCAACAAAACAACGTGAATGTCATCCCCTGACCAGCTCGCTCCCCTTATCTCTTACCAATCGAGCACATGTGGGATGAGATGGATCGGCGCCTTCGACGTCAACCACGTGTTCCACAGACACTCCAGGAACTTCGAAACATGCTCCAGCAGATATTGACAGATATCACACAGGACTTTGTGCGACGCCTGGTCCATTCCATGACACGAAGATGTGTTGCTTGCATCGCAACCAGAGGTGGACACACACGCTATTGATTTGTTAATTGACATTTTGGCATGTTCATGTTTTTTTTTTATGAAATCGCGCATTTTCTTAAGTCAGTATGGCAAACTAAATCATTTGAACACTTACGGAAGTCTCTAATCTGTTGCAAACCGAAATTGTTTCAGATTTGGTAAAAAACATAACTTTGCATTAAATCTTATTCAATGTCACAGGGACTTTTGTTGTTCAGTATATATACAAAACATGAATTGATTTGTTGAACATAAACAAAAGTAGGTAGGTTATATTCATGATCACTCGGGTTATGAGTCAATATTACTGTGTTTTCAATGTAGAGCTCGGTTTTAGATTTAACGCTAAATTGAATTTGGAACGGGCAAGGAATATCCGATTATAAATCAGTATCTGGAATGAAGTAGTGAACTGCTTGCACACGTGTAAAACAATTCTTTTTTCCATTTCTGTCAAACGAGTGAATAAGAGGGCTTTTGCGCCACTTTCAGCAGTTTTGAAGCAAACTCATGGCTAGGAGACCCGTGAAGATTCCGGGGTAGAATAGGTCTTCCGCAACCCATGCTTGGCGTAAAAGGTGACAATGCTTGTCGTAAAAGGCAACTAACGGGATCGGGTGGTCAGGTTCGCTGGCTTGATTGATGCATGTCATCGATCCCAATTAGTCACTGGATTGTCTGGTCCAGACTCGATTATTTCCAGACTGCCGTCATATAGCTGGATTATTGCCAACCAACCATGGTTAGGAATTGCAACACAGTTTAGCGAATTTGGGCGCCTTAGATTACTGGTACAGCAGATGTGGTAATAGTGTGCAAATAATACGTTGCAGAAGGTGAAGTTTAAAATTGATTAACCGTTGATTTGCGTGCTAGATTTTATAAGTTTTTAAAAGAAAGATATTTTTATGGCAGACTTCAAAGGAGAGGCTGCTTCATCTTTTCTTCGTATATTTTATCAAATCTCTCGCTCTGTGCCACAGTGAAGAAGTTCTTCCAGTCACCAGTTTCACCTGTCAAATCAATGTTATAGAATCAACATCATCCATGTTTGATATTCATATTGTTTGTTCGTTGTTTAACGCCGCACTCAGCAATATTCCAGCTATATGACGGCGGTCTTAATCTATTCTGGACCAGACAATCAAGTGATTGATATCATACGCATCGATCCACGCAATTGGGATACGATGACATGAATCAACCAAGTCAGCGAGCCTGACAACCCAATCCCGTTAGTTGCCTCTTATGGCAAGCAGGGGTTGCTGAAGACCAATTCTAACCCGGATCTACACGGGACTCAAGCCAGATAGGAATTTTTTTACATAGCCCATGTAGCCGTCGTATATATTTAATAATAAACTTGTTGATTAGGCGAGACATTTAAAAACAATATGCAATATAACGTTGAATATCTTCTTTTTTGACTACAATAAGCGGAACCTACTGCAAGTACCTCCTATTTGTCTGACAGTGTGTGTTGGGGGTGGGTGGGTGTGTTTATGTATACAAGTGACGTCGTTTGCAAAGATTTCACGGAGAAACTCTGAACTCAGCAAATTGCCATTCTACAAATACATGTTCCCTATCTCTTGTTCCCACATATAATACAATCACATACACTAACAATATGTGCTTTTTGATTGATGTTTTGTTTTACATTGAAAGAAGCATATGCAACAGTAAAGACATTGCCAAACAGATGCTAAACAATGATACCACTCAGATAATCTAATACGAAATAGGTCATAAATACATAAATAGGTCATAAACACATAAATAGGTCATAAATTGACGAAATCTAACGTAGGCGTCATAATTTCATTTAAAACCTGGATCAAACTTGAGTTCCTAACGTCTGAATTGGAACGAAACACTGAACGTTATTGTCTGAATTCATTGTCCCCATTCGACCATGACAAAGTGACAAAATACACGCTCGTTGAGGACATCGGAAGTAATGAGAGAGTGAGTTCGGTTGAATCTAATGTCTTTTTCAGATAGACTTTGGACTCTGGGGTCAATGACTACCTGTTCTGATCTGAACATATTTGCATACATAAATACAAACTATAATTTACGCTATAGGACTTAAATCACCTCAAAATTGAATATTTTAACGAACCGCCACATGCATCCTGTGAACGATCCTTCCCCTGCAAGCTCACGTTCACGCCACTGTCCGTATCTCATAATTTTCTCTAAGGCAGGCAGTCCGCATGTTTTGACGTGGTAGACACGAGATGATAATATGTCAAGTTGGTTGGCTTTATTTTAAATACCTTACCGATCAGCTTTGGGGAGAAAGTGCTTATAAAAAATATTTTCTTTCGTTCTGATGCATAAGGAAAACATTGGTCGTACGAAAAGTTATTACCTCTGGCGGGTCAGTATTCCACTTTAGGTCCACACTATTTCAATTACCTTTCCTGAAGTATCCGCTCGACCCATCCTGCCATTTATAGTGATACGTCTGATCCTTGATTGTTTCGCTGGCATATTTGAGATTTTTGAAGGAGCATGCTTCAGATATATCTTTGTATTTTTGTTCCGGTAGAGGGCGCCCAAGGTATTCAGCCATTCGTCTTGTCTCCCTAACGCAATCCTGACAAAAAGACTCATTATAATTTTAAAGATATACATAAGTTATGCTACCATATACACATATTCCTTATTCTAAAGATATACATCAGTTATGCAGGGGGCACGGGTGGCCCAGTCGTCTAAGGCGCCGCGATTCGCTGTGCAGAGTTGCGTCCCTTGGGCACGCCAGAAACATATGATTGTGGGTTCGAATCCCGGTTCGCCCCGATTATGTTTTTAGGTTTGTCAGCACCATACCGGTTTCAACGAAGTGGTAAACGTCTGAGACCTGCATCACTTTGGGCTTTCCTCCCACATTAAGCTGACACGCCGCGATATAACTTGACAACTGTTAAAAGCGGGGTTAAACCCAACTCACTCACTCGCTCACTCACTCAATATAGTAACGGTAGAGACATTAGCTCACGGTTGTGTTTGAATTGCGAATGGTTCCAATGTTCTGCGACTGCAGGTGCCAATGTATCTTGAGTGTGTGCAAACACATAACGTGTTTATAACATAACATCACTATCAGAGAGCACAACACATTTTGCTACTAAGGATTTCAAGAACTGAATGCACCCTCAACGTCAAAGACGCCGTTCCCCGCCTTCGTGGTCTTGTGGATTAGAAGCTGCCCAGAGAGCGGAAAAAAGCTTTATACCAAAATACGTTAAAAGAATGATGATACTTGACGGCCTGGTCGAATCATTATACTGTGTTTTAGAGGGATATTTATGTTAAACTGCGCCATGACATTAAAGTCAATTCACCTGATTTACCAAAGATGTCGTAGGACGACCAAAAAATTAGGCAGATACATTGGCATCCTTGAAACTGGGTTAGCACAACGTTATGTTGCAAATTGCTTGGTATCAGCCAAGGTGTGATGAGCAGGGCATGGCATGGAATCGATACCATGACGTCATCACTTCGTGATTGCCACCACACTCAGAAATGACCTGCTTTAATACTCATACAGTATGTAATGGTCTCCATGTGGCTGGCCTCCGGTCAGGAAGGGCATGCATTCCCATCTCACTGACCCGACATCACAGGCACGCACGTTTGGATTGGGCTTGAAGATCACGTCAATTGACAGACCAGAGCCCCGTTCCACAAAGCCATCTTACGGCTAAGGTGATCGTAATTCCCATACTTTAACACTAGCTTACGATAGTCGTAGCGCCAAGATCGCTTCGTGGAACGGTGCCCAGGACTGGGCTCCAATACTTTTTACTGATTAATTGAAATATTGTCTAAACTTTACAGATCGTCGTCCCCAAATGTGGTGTAGACAAGGAGAGGATTGAGGATTCCAACGTAGCAATCAGACTCATTGACGATAACGCACGACGTCATCGTGCCAGGGTCGTTGATACCTACTTCGAGCAGGAGATCAATTACCGAATAGAGTTGCCAGTTCGGTCACCAGACCTCACTCTGTTAATCACATGTGAAACGAGCTCTTAAGACGAATTATCAAATCGTCAACTCTACAGGAACTCAACAATGCCCTCACTGAAATGTCGAACAATCTTCCCTTGGAAACCATCCAGATACTTTTTGAAACCATGAGACGACGGTGTCAGGCTGTGATCGCATCACATGGATCACATACGCGCTTCAGAGAGATGTTTTTTTACAATGCATTTGTTTTCGTTATTTAAATACGTTTCAGTTTAAGTCAGATACTCGCATTTGGAGTGAGTGAGTGAGTGAGTTGGGTTTAACGCCACTTTTAACAGTATTCCAGTTATATCGCGGCGTGTCAGCTTAATGTGGGAGGAAAGCCCGAAGTGATGCAGGTCTGAGACGTTTACCAGTTCGGTGAAACCCACGAGCACGGGTATGGTGCTGACAAACCTAGAAACATAATCGGGGCGAACCGGGGTTCGAACCCACAATCATAGGTTTCTGGCGTGCCCAAGGGACGCAACTCTGCACAGCGAATCGCGGCGCCTTAGACGACTGGGCCACCCGTGCCCCCTTTATTTGGAGTGAGATCTGACTGATTATTGGTCACATTGCCATTGTGTGGCACATGACAACCGACTTCATTAAACATCTTTTCACACAATATTTTCTTTGGCTATGTTGTATCAACAGATGCAAACAATTTGATGTATTACCTTTTAAGTGGGGATCCTCAGCAAACGTTGAGTGGTATATCTAATTGTCTGGATCATGCCAGTGAAGCTCTGCATTTGTTCTTTCCAAAATATTATTCATATATATTTGTGACATACCTTTTTCATATCTTCATACTGCACACTGCATACTTCGAAGCCTTTGTAAGCGTCGAATATGTTGGTCATTTGAAGTCTGTAGTCAAAGTACGATCCACATGGTGCTGGAAAAGGTATTTGAAGAAACTAGCTTAAAAAATGGTGGAGAATATATGTAGGGAATTCTGACAGTAATATTTTGGGTGATAAGGAAGAAAATGTTGATGCGATTGGTGGTTTTAATCTTGACACAATGGGAATAGAATATTTGATGACAATTTTGATGAAGAGTTCATTATGGTGATTATGAGGCCCAGGAAATAAGTAATACGGGAACATGGTGTTGTTGTGCGCTGCTTTTGTAATATCAATATCCCAGCAATATCACGGCAGGGGACACCAGAAACACACTGAACCAATCTGGAGTGATGGAGCTGCGCTTTCGCTGTGGCAAACAAGCGCTTTAACCACGTGGATGCCCTACTGACCAGTTATACATGGTGGTGATTGTTAAGGAAAGGGTTGTTTGTTTGCTTATTTGTTTGTTTGTTGTCTAACGCCGCACTCAGCAATATTCAAACTATATGACGGCGGTCTGGAAATAATCGAATCTGGACCAGACAATCCAGTGATTTATATCATGAGCATCGATCCACGCAATTGAGTAACGATGACATGCATCACCAAGTCAGCGAGTGTGACCAGACGATCCCGTTAGTCGCCTCTTACCACAAGCATATTCGCTTTTTATGGCAAACATGGGTTGCTGAAGACCTATTCTCCTCCGGATCTTCACGGGTAAAGGAAAGGGTTGAATTGTGCTGACGCGGTGAACATTATTTTTGGAGATGACATGATGGTAATACGTATAATTAAGAACAGAGTTTCTGGTGGCAGTTGGTTGTTGGTGGTGGATAATGTTAGTGGTGATGTATGTGCTGTTGTTAATAGAGGATGTGATGTCGTATTTGAAGACGAGAAGTTTGAGATCGAAGGTGTTGCCTGAGTGAAAGTTCTCGTATTTGGCAGATGTAGATAAATGATGAACATACCGCTGCAGTGGTGACAGTTGTTGAAACAATAACGATAGAAAAAGGTTATTGCATGTAGGTTCTGCTATTGGATTGAGTGAGCGAGTATGGTGTTGCGCCACTTTTAGCAATATTCCAGCAATGTCACTGCGAAGACACCAGAAAAGGCTTCACACAACTCAATAATGTATATTGAGAGTCTATATTACCTTTTAAGCAAGCAGGAATTTCCGCTTTTAAAACGTCATCTCAATGTTTTACCCAGTATATTATTCATTAATGCCACCATGTATGTGTACAAGTGTTTACGGCACTTACTAAATCCGAAACCATCCAGAAACAAGTCAAGATAGTCATCCCAAGAGCCAGAAAAAGTTGGTTTCTGTAAAGGATTGTCTTTCCAGACTTGTTTGCTGACCTGACTGAAGGAGGACACTGCACAATCCTTTGGGTTCCTACTGACGTACACCACCTTACACCCACTCGTCCATATGGCTTCTGGCAGTTGGCTGCAGTCATAAATAGTATTCAATTTTAAATGTAACGCCACAATTATATAGCCACTGTTTCTCTAAAATGAAGTCTTTGATATGCATTTAGAATGTTAAAGAACATGAATACATGACGCTTTTTTATGGATCGCATCTTAAGTTTCCTATTGCATCAAAATTACCGCGCAAAGCTAATTATAGATGACATATAGAGAGACAAGTCTGAAGAGCGTTGTGGGGAATAATTGTACTCGAGTATCTACCTTCACCCTAATGAAAAAGAATTGTCCATGGTTCAACGATACCTGCCTATTTTGAATCAAGTCTTAAAATGGACAAGTTATTGAGCAAATACAAAATTATCAACAGGCAAAGACAACCAAAAAATCTTAGGAATTTGATTCAGTTGTCATCACTCCACGGATTTCTAAGTGCGTTGACAAACGTTGCCTTAGTTGCAGCAATAGTTGAAGGCTATTCAGTCCAAATTACAAAGGCTACTAAATTCACTTTAAAACAAAATATGACTTGTGATACTGGAAATGTTATTTACTTGATTGTTTGTAGTGGGTGCAATGAAAAGTATTTCATTCACATTAAATGTGAAGGCGAAAGTTATTTGTCCATTGTCACCTTGGTATTGTGACGTCATGGTTCTCCTAAATGTTACGAGGTCACGTTACTATATGTTACAACTTCATGTCCGTTATTCATTTTAAAAACACCCAGCGTTTTCTCTGCCCTTTGTATAATACCTCGGAAGGAGATGGGTGTGGAGAATTCGCGGAGATGCCAGTTTCTCAAGTTCCTCTTCAGTCCTGTATTCGAGAAATGCTGAATTCAGCCAGTGTTTAGTATACCCCACTTTGCCTGCAACGATCATGTTGAGGATTTCCCACGCCCAGTGAGTACCTTATGGAAAGGCAGAAGATGCATGTGAAGATTTATTGTAAATGGAATGTTTGTGAAGTTATCCAAAATAAGTTTAACGAATAGATTCAAATTCAAAACCGGTTTGTTCGTGGGCAATGATGTCAAAACCGCGCAAGCTCGTGAACGTTAATCACTTTGATGAAACCGATCAAGGTAAAGAGGTAACTGAATCTAATTATGACGAATATGGATTCAAATGTGAATCATGCATGACGTATTGGAATTGTCTCAGGATACTGGTCACCTGGACGCTATACTTACTTAATTTCCTGACTGTTCTACGATTATATCTTACTGATTATGTATATTTATATGAAACCTGACTGAGACATACATGTATATATTATTAGTACAGACCTCAGTTGAAGTCATTGATCCATTAAGTCGTCTCATGTGATGCAGATGTTCCAGGGATCAAACCAAACCTAGACCAGTATTTATTTCTTGGAACCCCTACCTGACTTTGGATATGTACACAGGATGATGTCGTCGTCTCTGATGGGGTACGTTTTCACCTTCTTCATAGTATCAACTAGGAACCTTGCCAGTACAACGCCGTCCAGTACGACCAGGTCCAGATTATACCCGGACGCCATGGCTTTTTCGGCAAGGGCTGACATCTCCTCTAATATGTTGATGAATATTGATGAATGCTTACACCTTGCTTTCAGTAAGTAACAAGAAGTTTGCTGACACGACAACTTCCATCCACTTCAAAGTTTCTTTTTATTTCTATATTTTTCAAACACAACAAAAGTGATTGATCAGAAGTTAGTAACTAAAACTTCATTGAATAAAATTCTGGTTGTGCCTTGCTTTCAATATAAACGTCAACAGTTGAAATATAAAATAGACAACATATCCAAAAAAGATAATAAAACGTTTCTACAAAGTTTGTATCACACCACAGGTGTAATGTAGATCGTACCAAAACAAAGTTCACAAAACTATCCAGTTCAATAACCTACCGTTCTTTGCAAATGACACAATGTTCAAATCTGCGTCTTGGTTCGACTAAGCTTCCATTTCGTCTGCGTGACAACAGTCGTGTGTGCACACATATGGTGGGGTTTATGTGGGACAATTAATGTTGAAGGAACATGATGACACATACACGGCTAGGTCAAGAAGATTACTATGTCATTGTATTCAGTGGGTGGATTTTCCCTATTCTGATTTATTAATACCATTTGAACTTTATTTTTCCAGGTGGACAATTGACGTACCTTTGCATGTGCATGTGACGGGCGCCACCGGTGGAGCAGGACCTTTGTGGTAGTGTTTCATAAACTGATATATGACGCTCCATATAAATGGTTTAACACAAATGACATGCAAACAGTGACGCAGTCAGGAAGAGAGTCATGTATCAGCATAAATCAGAATATCTAGTGTCTTATGAGCTAAACAGATATGAGGACACCATGAGTTACAATTTCACATTTTCCAATTCCTCACACGGGAGGTACGTACACAATTTCCGTTCTTGTTTTCGCTTTTGTGATGACAGCGTTTGCTGATTATGTGACTATGCCAGACACGTGCGTCTGACCTCTGACTGACTCTTAATATTTTTGTTCTCATTGTCCCAGGTTTGCTAACCATACAACTGTCGTCCTGCCTGTACCTGTCTGACAGATGCCATGATATCGATGGTCGTATGTTCGAAAAACCTCTTGGAAAACAGCGAAGCAGGGGCTCATAAATAATTTCGTTTAATCATACAAAACGAAGATTGATATAGACTGGTGTCTATAATCAATTGCGTGGATCGATGCTCATGACATCAATCACTGGATTGTCTGGTCCAGACTCGATTATTTACAGACCGCTTTCATATAGCTGGAATAGTGCCTGTCTGACAGATGCCATGATATCGATGGTCGTATGTTCGAAAAACCTCTTGGAAAACAGCGAAGCAGGGGCTCATAAATAATTTCGTTTAATCATACAAAACGAAGATTGATATAGACTGGTGTCTATAATCAATTGCGTGGATCGATGCTCATGACATCAATCACTGGATTGTCTGGTCCAGACTCGATTATTTACAGACCGCTTTCATATAGCTGGAATAGTGCTGAGTGCGGCGTTAAACAACAAACAAACAACAAACTATAATCAATCGTGTACACTATAATAATGGAATAACAATAACAATGACCCTCATCAATGCTGTTTGTGGTTGTCTGCTGAACGCGCCAAACCAAGTTGTCAGTTGCCCTTTCTCTTGTCCGTCAGACCAGTGGTCATTCATTAAATGTATTTGTCCTCACAAATCAAGGCAGGTCAAAGGTAAGAAATTGTGGTATATTTGAATCACACGTCTTAACTAAAATTAAAAAAGATTATAAACCTCCGGTGACGTCATCCTATTGTTCTCCAGTCGGGTTAAATCTCATAAACAGGGACGTGGTAATGTCCCAGGGATTTTATATATTATCCCCGGGATTTATTAGGATGTTCAAGCCATATTTGCTATATAATGTGTTATAATATCCCAGGGATTTTATATAATGTCCTGGGTATTTTATTAATATAACTTCCTTTCAGATTGTAACATGTAATGTAAAATCAGATGACAAATGTTTACCTTATATTCCCGAGGATCGAACTCGGAACCTTCATATCTCTAGCCCAGTTAGTGTACCACAAGGCTACAGAGGTGTTGATATGCCGCACTGCTTTTTAGAATGTCCTTTTCAGGATCCGTACGCCAGCAACAGATATTTTTCGCCCGTTTTCTAAGGTTCATGGAAAGTATGTTCGAAACATAAAAATGTTGATAAATGTTGATTTAAGTTTCTTTTTTCGGTTCATAAGTTAGATAAAACACTTCCCCTCGGATTTTTATTATATCTAAAACCGTTATCCTTGGGATGCGTGTTTTAAATTGAAAAGAACCCTTGGACGTGCTTTACTGTACACTTATAATGGGTTGAAATTTAGTTTGGGGATAATTTTAAGGTTCAAAATCGGTTTATAAGTAAGATAAAACACTTCCCCTCGGGTAGTTATGATATTTAAAACCCTTCCCCTCGGAACCCCCTCGGGATGCGAATTTTAAATATCATAACAACCCTCGGACGTGTTTTATCCTATACTTATAATACCACGATCATACATGTCCCTCCATTCCCAAAGTCTCCTCGATTCTGATCTGGTTCTGACAGATATGAGCTATGTTCGTGTTTTTCACCTAAATGGAAACGGAACAGCCCAAACTATTTTTCTTTGAAACGGCCAAATAAAAGTCGAAGTGATAAAACTTACATATTCACCTTCTCAAATCAATGCCTTCACCTCAAACAAGCATATCTGGCACTACGAGCACAAGCTAACGCGGGCGATGAACGGAATGACGAATGTATTTACTAATTCTATAACTTCGATAATCATCGTGACAGTAAACTAAATGGTAATTCGTGAATGGTAATTGTGACACGTTTTATTCTCATTTGTAAGCCGAGGCAGGAAGGTTACAATAACCCATGAACCTGGCATGGATGGATGCAACACACCGGGGGGCCACCAGAAATGGGCTTCACACAATGCACCCATGTCGGGAATCGAACCCGGGTCTTCGGCGTGACGAGCTAACGCTTTAACCGCTAGGCTACCCGACCGCCCCTCTTGATGTTGAGGCGGTATAGTAAATATCGAATAATATAGAAGTAGTTTTTTTACAGCATTATGTATAATAATAATTGCATTAATAAGTCATAAAACATATTTGTTCGTGTAATTTATCGTCCCGCAATGACGCTATAATGTTCTGCAGACAGGAGTGAGTGAGTATGGCTTTACGCCGCTTTTAGCAATATTCCAGCAATATCACGGCGGGGGACACATGAAATGGCCAAAAGATAATTGTTAATTGATTACACCAACACGTTAAGTTTGTTTCCTTAACAAACCTGTATCGGACTATCCAAATGCATAATCGTTGTGGATAATTTTTGTGAAAATGAAAGAAAAATTTATACAGGGTGCTAAGTGTTTTGACATGACACCATGCAGCAAATGACTGCCACAAACAGGCCACATCGGTGCAGAGTACTGCCACACGGAAACACATATTTCGCTTACACCTGAGCTTCTCAATCAAGGCTTTACCATCAAAGGCGTGGTGAATGTCGTTCCTAAAGGTTATGGTAGACATTCATATCCCATCCATCACGTTTTGCCTTGTTTTCCCAATGGAATGGAGTCTCAGCAGACAATCGAGTCGCTGACCAAAGCAAATGATATTTATGGATTTCTTATATTTCTCAATGTGTAGGTATATTTGATTATGAAATGATCCGCGGTCCCAATAGGTTGTATTCAAGACATTCAAACCCTACAGGGGCGGTCGGGTAGCCTAGTGGTTAAAGCGTTCGCTCGTCACGCCGAAGACCCGGGTTCGATTCCCGACATAGTTAAAATGTGTTAAGCACATTTGTGGTGTCCCCCGCCGTGATATTGCTGGGATGTCGCTAAAAAAGCGGCGTAAACCCGTACTCACTCACTCACTCAATCAATCCATCACAACACATTTGACGATGTGTTCGTGGCACCAAAAGAAACTATCACCACACAAAAAGGAGAGGAACCGCATACCTTCACACTTTGAATTCGGCCCAGATACCTTCCGGAAACCTTCTCTAAAGATGGGGAAATTGTTGAGGGTGCATCTTGTTCAGTTAAGTGTGAAACATATCTGAAAGGTATCCGGGTGCAATCAATCTTTTTATGTTTTGGGCATAGTATCATACAACTTCAGTAATTTCCTCCCTCATGTTATTTCTTAATATCCTCAGGAAATTGAGAACCTGTAATCTTTGAAATGTTTTTCACTGAAACAACTGACTCATTTGTTGACATAACTGTACAGTTCTGTGAGCTCGGCGTTCCTGTCAAAAGCGTTCTTAGATCAGCTCTCAACGAACGCTGCTGTTTTAACAAGAAGGTGGTTGCATGTTTAGCGGAGTGACCGTCACCGTAGCGAGAATTAAGATATGATTTTAATGAGATTGAAGGGCGGTCATAATCACATAAATAAATTGCAAGTGAGTGTATTTGTCGGGATAAAAACCAGATCCCTGTAAGAATATCGCAGTAGTTATATTAACATGATGGCAAGTCAATTGTGAAACAGTATTTTCCATACAGTAATTATTTCTTTAAACAATAACGTATTGATTATTATATAATTATTTAGTAAAGCGACATTATTAGTGAGAAGCAAGTTATAACTCACAGTTTGCACACCGGTGTTTACGTTGATATATCCATAAATAAAAAAAATATTAAGGGCAATTCTTACTTACTGGAGAAGGAATCAGCCCACTGAATGTTGACATGACCATTGCACTGCAAATTCCGTGTTAGCCTGGGCTGACACGGTTAACAAAAACATCCAGGCCAAAGGTCTGGTGAGTGGTCGTATGGCGTTAATAAATCTTACAGCGATAACGTCAATCTGAATGGGTAAATAGCTTCGTTAGATACAGTGCAACTTAATTAATATCACCTCCTCAGCTGGCTGCTGTGAGAAGACGTAGCGAGATAAGGAGGGCTTGGCGAGACTGTACACACCAGAGACCCGGGAAGATCGGGGTAGAATAGGCCTTCAGCAACCAATGCTTGACGTAAAAGGCGACTATGCTTGTCGTAGGAGGCGACTGACGGGATCGGGTGGTCAGGCTTGCTGCCTTGGATGATGCATGCCATCGTATACCAATTGGGTAGATCGATGCTCATGATGTCAATCCCTGGATTGTCTTGCCCAGACTATATTATTTACAGACAGCCGTCATATAGCTGGAATATTGTTGAGTGCGGCGTTAAACACCAAACGATACGTCGTGAGTCCATCAGCCCTATACACAACGTGAGGAGTGACCATGCTTGTTGTAAGAAGCTACTGACGGGAGGGGGTGGTCAGACTCGCTGACGCATCCCAATTGCATGGATCCGTACTCATGTTGTTTATCACTGAATTGTCTGGTCCAGACTCGATATATATATATAGCTGTAATATTGCTGCGTGCGGCGTTAAACACCAAACAAAGAAGCAAACAACGCCAAGCTGACCTGGTCTATAATCACAGGGTACCGTGGAATGAAGGATGTCTTCACAGGAAGGGCACTCGTGAAGAGCAACCTCCTCGTGGTGAGTGCTGGGTAGCGCTAATAGCTCTTCCCCCGTGTGGAACCGGGGTAGAATATTTCCACAGCACCCCATTGCTGGTCGTACAAGGCGACCGAATTGGGCAACCTGTTTGCCGTGGGTTGCGCCCCTGTGTCGGCGGAGGACGG